GAAACCTCCTACACTAACAGTCAAATCCTGCTGATAACAAAGACTTAATAAGTGAGACTGCTCACTATGCACACTGAGCATAATAGCGTTTGTGATTTGCATTATTAACATATGAAATTGTGAATTTATGAGTGACAGTATTTGTAGGAGTGTATTTACTGAGGAAGTGTGTGTAAGTCTATAGTCATGTAGATATTAAGTTTGTGGGCATTCTGGAATAAAGATTCATAATGTAACAGACTTCTTCATCTTTCATCTATAGTGGGAAACCTTTATTATAAAATGAAACACAAAGAAAATAAAACAAAAAACTAAGCTAGAGGTTTTGATATAACAGTGATTATACATTGTTGCTGTGACTGTGTTGGTGTGACTCAAATTTTAGATGGTAACAAGTATCCTGGTTTATTCTGAAGAGTCTGCTACACTTCATGTTCAAATAACAGCATTCAAAATGTTACAATCACATCCAGAATCCTTTGGGAGCCCCTTTTAAAAAACTTGCACACTTGGCTCTCTAACTCTGAACAGATTGTAGTTTTGCTATGGCCTCAGGCCTACATATGCCACTTTTTTCAGTGCCAGACCAGTACAGTGTTCCAGCCTGGGGCTGGACAATGCTTGTCAAAACTCAGCCACAATGTTTGTACATTCAGTGCTTTCACAGTGCAAGATATATCCTAATGTTTTATGCTTTTCTCAGTTTGCCGAAGTGCTATGTGAAAAGTGGCCTGTGTTTGGTAGTGTGTACTGTGGAGGCTCCAGACAAAAAATTAGCTTAAAGAGCCACTGGCTTTTGAACAGAATTTGCAATAGAGTCTGCTTCATGTTGTCATACCTGAGCCGCACAAATTCCTGAAGCCAAGGAGTGCTGAAACGTGTTTCTGTGGTTGTGTTCTTGCATAAAGTGCTTAAAGTGGACGATTGTTCAAATACATCTTCGTGTGCATCTTTTACTGGTCCTAGCTGAGTCAGACTAGGGTTGAGTAGATGATTGTGTGAAAAATCTGCTATTTTTCACTTCACCATTTTCTACACGCTGACATTCACTGCAAAAAGCTCAGCTCAGCTCATCTGCTTTGTTTGTCACGTTTTGCTACTCTGGTTGAAATCCCGAAAGCACAAAGGCATTTTTTTTTGATAGGCGGATGTGTCCATGAGACACTATAGCCTGTCAGTTACGTTTTAAGATGTAAAATGCTAAAACAAAATATATAAAAACAAAAAAGTAATAAATGCAAAACAATAGTAATAAATAGTTACCCATGAAAAATAATAATAATCCAAAGTTGCTACCTGTCATCACTGGCGACTTATTTCATTTTATTATTCGCAAATTAATAATTGTGGCTGCAATTGCGACCAATTTAGTCACAATCTGGAGCCCTGTAGAAGAGATCATCAGCAATACTCAGTCCCATTCCTGGAGTTAATCCTGCTCTTGAGTCAATGTGTATGGTGCTTGTTAGAGGAATAATTTTGCAAAAAGTCAAATTTACCCAACTTTCCCCTTACCTCAAATGTTGTCAGTCAGCCAAAACAAATTAATAAAGGACATCACAAAGCTACAAAGTGTAGTAGCAGCCACTTTTATAGATAACAGTATGTTCATAGACTGTCAGAAACCACAGCTCTATATTGTCTGAGGCAAATATGATGATTTAGGCATACAGTTTGTTAATTGGTGTATGAGATTCTATTACTTGTTAGCTCCACTAGCCTTATAGCACCTGCCCAAAACTGTACTACAGTATGGAGTACAGTGTGAGATATGGTATGGTCATATAGTGTGTTATGTAGTGGTGAAATGATACACATTTTCAGAGTCAATATGATTTTTCAATTCTGAGGTTAAGATTGGATTCGATTTTCTATATTCTACGTGTTAAAAATATTTTGATTCTACAGAGCCCTGATTATATGCACAGATTGGTTTGGTTGAGATAAATAAAAGTTCTCATATATATTTTTCTGATTCTTTTGTTAGAGGGAATCAAAATTGCAAACCCCTCAAGTGACTTCGGAAAATAAAAGATTTGAGCATGAGCATGCGTATCATAAGCCCCACCCCCTCCCTGCCCACATTACTCAGAAAGCTAATCCTACATGCCAAGTGTTGATCACTGTCAGTGATTTTCATGAAACAGTAGATGAGAGACCATTGGAAGGGACAGAGGAGTGTTTCACCAATATGGTTATAAAATTTGATATAGTGTTCATTTTTTTCTATTTTTCAATCCTATATAGAAATTCAAGCCCCTTCAGTATTGTTTCTGTATGTAGGTATAATGACCAACAGCAACAGATTGAATTCACATTGCAAGCCTTTACTGATCTTTGATAAGATTGTTCGTGTTAGTGTAGATGTGGGCAGGTTAGAGCAGTGTGCGGTGTGATTGGTCTGAGCAGGGTGCATGAGCAATGTAATTGGTTGAGCTTTTAGGGTCTGAAGCTGCAGGCGCAGCGTAATCAGCTCTGACAGCTTCCTGTCACTCTCTGCAGCAGAAGAAAAGGAGTGTAATTAAACGGGTCTAATCGCCCTGCAGTGAATTATTTATGCACAGCATGTTCTGTCACTTCACTCTTTTTCATAAACTGTACACCTACACACTGAACCCCCAACACCCCCACCCCACCACAAAAGCAATTAGATATGATGAGAGAATGACTCCTGAGTCCTCTTAGAATGGTGACAATTTTACTGATGTCAGCAACAACCAGCAGTCATCACCTTTTCCTGCTCTGAGAGTGCTGATACAGCTGAGCTCTGATACACACACACATACACACACATGGTTTTATCTCTTTACGTGAATGATTAACCTCGCCCGTGATGCTGAGTGCTGTGGCAGAGCCAGGGCACGAGGATCATAAGATCATTTAGAAAAGCATGAAATTTGATATTGATCTGATTTGATTGCATACTCATAGTCTGTAAACACTTCAGCACTTGAGAATGAGACAGTAATGTATATTCAGCTCACTGCTACTAGCACTGCACTTTTGTAGGTGTGATGAACGACAGCAACAGATTGAATCTGCATTACAATCCTTTATCCTGAGCTTTATCCTAATCCTGTTCTTTGATGAGGTGGATTGGGATTGTTCATGTCAGTTGTATGCACTGACACACTCATGGCCTGTAAACATTTCAGCAGTTGAGGATGCTGCTGTAATGTCTATTCATCTCACAAAAGTGCAATGCTAGTAGCAGTGCACAAGCCTGCAGTGCTGAAAGAAAAATCAGTGTTGCGTGGTGTGGTGAAGAGAAGTCAGTTTAAATTGGCCAAATTGCATTCAAGCTCTGTTTTGCAGCATAGCGCGGTCAGAATACGGTGGTTAGCTATAAAAGAACACCAAGCTCAGGCTCAGAGCCCCGTGCCATTCTGCTGTTTTTCTCTCTCTTAGCCTTTCTGTTCCCTCAGAGATCACACTTTGGAATTCTTGTGAATTGCTCTACTTTTCATAATTTGGTGGCCTTTTCCATGCACACTGATCCACAATATCCTGTGTACACTCTTAAAAGAGATCAAGGGTTCTGAATAGAGCCATGAACACTCAAAGAGGCATTTGCATACTTAAATGGTTCTTTGCATGGTGAAATAGCTGTTCAGATTGATGGAGAATGTGTTGTGTATGGATCTATATAGAAAATTGGGTCTGTGTAGCACCATAAAGAGTTCTTCTATTGTTACAAGCATGACATTATATCAGTAGCAGAACACTTTTGGTTGGCTTGGCTGTATAATAGGACATAACCTGTGAGAGCAAACGTGATTTAACACAAGGATAAAAGTTTTGTGTCCTGAGAGACAGTATGTCTTACCAGTGCACAGTATTTACACATCTTTATTTAAAATGTGTAAGATTTAGATTACATTATAATGCATCCTAGTTTCTAACAAGGTACTTGGCAATCACTGAAAGACATATGCATTACTGACTAATTAAATCTATTTTTTTTGTTCTGCCTTTTAAAAAAAACTGCTTACTATCAGACATTTGATATAAAATATTTATATAGTTAGAAAATAAAAAAGCTAAAATACTTTATAATAAATTAAATGAAATAAAAGTTCTCAGATTTAATTCTTCTTAAAAAGTACAGTAAAAGGGAAAAATGTACGATGACAAGAGTAAATGTAATTCATCACTTTCCACCTCTGCCTCTGACCAATCACAATGTTTTTACTGTGTGCTCTGATTTTCCTGACAAGGTGAGTTGGAGAAAAAGGGGAAATCTCTCTTGCTGGTTGATGTAGTAAAGCTGGGATGTTTGTATTTCACTCCTGCTTCCCACACTCACACAAAACACAGGGTCACTCGAGTCTCTCTTAGTCTGTTTCCTGTCCACTCCCCCATGGACTGCTCTTACATTCCACAAACTTACATCAATACACACCCACACACAAACATAAGCCTTTAGAGATTTGGGGCATGCATCCACAAGCCTGTATAGTTTTGGGGGTTTTTCTCTGTTTGTTCATTCTTTGCTCTCAAAGAAAAGCCACCCCCCTGCTGTCACAGAAAGAAACATAAAATCATCCCAGTTGAAAAACTGTCGTCCTCTCCCTTTTGCATTAACGTTCTTATGTGATTTCTTCTATAAGCATATAAATTCATTTTAATTACAAAGGGCTTATACTTCTGTAGCAATAAATGGCCACTGTAATACTGGTATAAGATGTATGTGAAGTCTAATATCTGTAGAAGTGCACATGGCTTATACAGTGTTTAGTGTAAACGAATGGTTGTGTAAAGTATTAAGGTTTTCTAAAAAAGTATACAAGCAATTTTTTTGACCTCTTGTCTGTGCTTGAAAACTTTTTTTACAGTTTTAGCACAGTTTACAGTAATACTTCATATCACTACAGCAGTGCTGTGTTCTCAATGTCCCAATCCAGCCTCACCACCAGGGACAGCAAAAAGATCCTAGTATTCAGACCTTTAGACAGAAACACATTTATCTAACCTCTCTCTCTGTCTCTCTCTGTCTACAGGAGCAGCTCTCTCAGGCACTGAACATTCTGTCGGATCGAGCCACTGAGGCCAAAGAGTTCCTTGTTCAGCTCAGAAACATGGTGCAGCACATACAGGTACTGTTCCACTTAGGACACACCTCTTAATCATTGAATTCAAGTGTTTCGTTCAGTCCTATTGCCACAGGTGTATAAAATCAAGCGCCTAGCATTGCAGTCTGCCTTTACAAACATTTGTGAAAGAATCAGTCATTCTAAAGAGCTCACTGAATTCAAGTGTGGTACTGTAATAGGATGCAATCATTACGACCCATCAGTTTCTGACATTTCTTCCATCTTACATCAACTGTGAGTGATATTATTGAAAAATGGAAGCATTTAGGAACCACAGCAACTCAGCCATGAAGTGCCAGACCATGTAAAGTTACAAAGCGAGGTTGCTGAGTTCTGAGGCGCATAGTGCATATAAGTCGCCAACACTCTGCTGACTCAATAACTGCAGAGTTCCTAACCTCCTCTGGCCTGGAGCTTCATGGCACGGGTTTTCTTGGTGGAGCAGCTGCATGCAAGCCTGACATCACCAAGCACAATGTCAAGCGTTGGATGGAGTAGTGTAAAGCACGTTGGAGCAGGGGAAGTGTGGAGTGACGAATGACACTTCTCTATCTGGCAGTCTGATGGATAAGTCTGGGTTCAGCAAATGCCAGGAGAACATTACCTGCCTGACTGCAGTTGTGCCAACTGTAAAGTTTGGTGGAGGAGGGATAGTGCTATAGTGTTTTTTTTAGGAGTCCCCATCAAACACCTTTGGGATGAACCAGAACGGAGATTACAAGCTAGGCCCTCTTGTCCAACATCAGTGTCTGACCTTACAAATGCTCTTCTGGATGAATAGGCAAAAATTCCCACAGACACACTCCAAAAATCTGTAGAAAGTTTCCCAGAAGAGTAGAAGCTGTTATAGCTGCAAAAGTTGCCTATGTATTTACAATGCAATGTCATAAAAGCTCCTGTATGTGAATGTGTAGGTGTCCCAATACTTGCATCCATGTAGTGTATTTGGCTCCTGTTTCACTGAAAACTCGCTGTCTGATTAAAACAGTTTGTCCTCAAAGCTTTGAGGATTCATTTTTGTTAGTACGTTAGCGCATCAGAGCGCTAATCTTCGCTTAGCTTACACTGCACTAGTTTCATGACCTACAACTTTGGCAGGGACTGAAAATAAAAATAAATCGCAAAACAACAAAGTGATCGTATGTCAGCCATTTTAGTCTTTTTCAGTACATGTAAAAAATTAGTACATTTCAGTGCATTTAAATCTTCTGTGCCTTTAATGTAGCATCCAGCACCGTCCTCGATAGGTATCAGCTATCGACTGATCATGTGGAAAGGGGACTGGTGATTGGTTTTTGGCCCCAAAAACACTGATTGGTCCATCTCTAGTTCCACTCTCACACACACAAAAGATTTAAGGAAATTCAATGGAACATGTTTGATGTGAGAGTAAGAAGGAGATGGAACATGAGCTTAAGATGAGAAGAGGAAGATAAAAGTGCATTCTCACTCTTCTCATACATGTGCACATTGCCTGCCCTTCACCTGTGCTATTACTTTATTTAGCCTGAATCTAAATGTGTGTATGTGTGTGTCTGTCTTGCTCAGGAGAATGGAGTTGAATTTGAAGCCTGCTTGGTGGCTCAGTGTGACGCATTGATTGAAGCACTGAACCGCAGAAAAGCTCAACTACTGACCAGAGTCAACAAAGAGCACGAGCACAAACTCAAGGTAAACAAACGTGCACACCATGTTCATAACCTTGACACTAACTAGCAGTAGACAATGAATGAATTGTCTACTGCTAGTTAGTGTCAACATTATTTGTTGTGTTACACTGTGTGGAGATGGTCATAGTGCAAGTGTCTTGTGTTGTTTAAAGCTGTGATTCCCAGTGCAGGTGTACTGGCCTGTGTTGTGCTGTGTTGTGTTGCACTGTGCTGTTATGTTGTGCTGTGCTGTGTTGTTTTGCATTGTGCTGTGCTATATTTTGCTGTGCTGTGCTGTGTTGTATTATACTATGTTGCGTTGTGCTATATTGTGTTATGCTATGTTGTGCTGTGCTATGTTGTGTTATGCTATGTTGTGTTATGCTATGTTGTGTTGTGCTGTTTTGCACAGTGTATGTTTTGTGTAGTGTTGTGCTGTGGCAGTGCTGTAATCAGATGTTTTTTGTTGAGTACTTTGCTGCAGTGTGCTGTGCTGTGTTGTCTTGCATTGTGCTGTGCTATATTTTGCTGTGCTGTGCTGTGTTGTATTATGTTGTGCTGTGTTGTATTATACTATGTTGCGTTGTGCTATGTTGTGTCATGCTGTCGTGTTATGCTATGTGGTGTTATGCTATGTTGTACAGTGTTTGTTTTGTGTAGTGTTGTGCTGAAATCAGATGGTTTGTGTTGAGTACTGTGCTGCAATGTGCAGTGATTTGTCATGCTGTGCTGCTCTGTACTGTGTTTTGTGTTGTGCTTTGCTGCTTTGTGTTATAGTTTCTTGTATATGGTTTGTGCTGTGTGTGTTGTGTTGCATTGTGCTGTGATGTGTCATGTTGTGTTGCACAGGACTGTGTTTTGTTGTGCGGTGATGCATTGCATTGTACTGTGTTGTGGTGCGCTGTGATGCATTGCATTGTACTGTGTTGTAGTGTGCTGTGTTGCATTGTATTGTGTTGTGGTGTGCTGTGGTATGTTGCTCTGTACTGTGTTGTGATGTGTTGTCTTGCATTGTAGTGTTGCATTGTGCTATGTCATATTGTGCTGTGTTGTGCTCTCTTGTACTGTGTTTATGTTGTGCTGTGCTGTGCTGCGTTGTGTTCCACTGTACTGTGCTGAGCTGTGCTATGCAGTGAATTTGTTGTGCGTTCTTGTACTGTTTTTTGATATTGCTGTATGGAGTTGTTTTGCATTGCATTTTGCTGCACTGTGTAGTGTTTTGCTGTGTCTTTTTGTACTGTGGTGTGTCGTTCTTTGCCGTTTACTGCTGTGCTGTTTTGTGCTGCGCTGTGTTATTTACCACTGTGCTTTGATTGTCATGGTTTAGATTGCTCTGGCCTGCTGCTGCTTGGCACAACTCTGTTCAGGCCTGCTCCTGCCTTTGGTCTCCATGGAGCCACAGACCTGTTGCTATGGTTACCAAAATGTTAGGTCTCCAGAATTGTTTAGTGGCTCAAGTGAGAGGAAGCAGATACCCACGCATGCACACATACGCAGCAGACATGCTGTTTCTGTCTGCTGTAGATATGTAGTCAGTTTGATTCCAAGTGGTAGTCACAATTTATATTTTAAACCTATGCATGATTTCCATCATGGACCTTGGATTATTAAGGATGGACATCACCTAAATGTATGGCATGTACATTTTCATAAGGAAGCAGCTATATGGTCTTAGCCACACACACACACGCACACACACACACACAGACACACACACACACACATGCGCAAGGAAAACACACACACTGCTTGCTCAAAGAGGATGCAAAGAGCCTTTCCTGCTGTTGCTTAGCAACCCAGCCTCAGCACCAGTAATGGTAGGGAGATTCTGATATTCAAGCCTTTAGACAGAAACAAAGATTTATCTCACTGATTTATCTAAAGTGGAAGAGAGAGTGAATGAGAGAGAGAGCATTAATTATTGTGCTCAGTATCACTTTTCATCACTGTTCAACTGCGTCTTGTCTTTTTTTCTATCCTTTCTATATCTCCCCTCTCCCTCTCTTTGTATCTTTATCTTTCCTTTGCTCTATCAGGTGGTGCGTGATCAGATCTCTCACTGCACGGTGAAGTTGAGGCAGACGACGGGGCTGATGGAGTACTGTCTGGAGGTCATCAAGGAGAATGACCCCAGCGGCTTTTTGCAGGTCACCTAGCCTAAGCCAGATTCTTTTACACAGTATACTACCATAAAAATAAAAAGCACACAATATGAACGAATGTGAAGCACCACTTTTGTTAGAAACATAGAAACATAGACCAGTGTCATTAGAAAGAAAACACTAGTGGGTAGACAAGCCTAATATCATGTAAAAGTATGAATAAGTTATAAATAAATACACCTTTCCAAAAACCAACTGGAATAGACAAACAAAAGCAGCAGGTCAACAAACTACTAGAGGAAATACTGAGTAATTTAAAAGTATAGCATGGTCCTTGAAGTCCAGTTGTGTACCTGAAATGAGTTTTAAAGGTACAGTATGTTCATCCCAGGAGAAAGGTAACTTAACTTATTAAAGTATTAAATTAAAGTAAAAAGCAGGGTATCTAGAGTCATAATGATGATTAAACTGACTAAAACTTCACTACACTTGACCAAACATGGGCATTTAAATATGTGTCTTTGTGTGCAGATCTCTGATGCACTTATCCGTAGGGTGCACATGACCGAGGGCCAGTGGGGTAAGGGTACTCTCACACCTCGTATGACCAGCGACTTTGACCTGACCCTTGACAGCGGCCCGCTGCTACAGACCATTCAACAGCTGGACTTTGTTCAGATGAAGGGTAAGACAACATGTGAATTTGAGCATGTATGCTGATTTGTTTATGCTCATTCGTGTATAAGCAGTCTCTCTGGGCCCCGGAGCCACCAGGTGGCCCTGACCATGTGCTTATTTTAAATGTATTTAATATTATTTGTTAAACAGCACAGTAAGTCCAGAGATTTTCCAAGCATTACTTACTTGTATACTAAAGAATAAGATTGGGTTGCCCCCATAGGATGTTGCTGAGGGACCCTGAATGTTCAGAAACAGCTCTGAGTTTATGACTTTTTGTGTGTGTATAGTCCCTGCAGCTCCAATACTGCAGCTGGAGGAGTGCTGTAGTCAGACCAACAGTGCCACTCTGTCTTGGAAGCAACCGCCGCTCTCTACCATTGTAGTGGACGGCTACATACTTGAGCTGGATGATGGCAGTGGAGGGCAATTCAGAGTGAGTGTTGTGTACATATATACACACAGAAATACACATATACACATACAAAAGTTTGGAATCACTTAACTCTTTAAAATACCAGGCTTATTACATGCTAAGGCTTATTATTCAGTAACTATACAGACTAAAATGGAAACGAGCTGTCCCTAGGTTTTAGAAGTGTGTAGTAAAACTTTGGGCCTGCTGGTGGGACCTGGCCATCGAAGGGGTTAATATAATAATGGTTGCCATTTTATTCAAATTTAACTTATGAGGTGTACTTTGAAATATTAGAATAATAGAAGAAATCTGAAATATTAGAATAACAGAAGAAATTTGAAATATTAGAATAGAAATTTGACAACAGAAAGTATTTTTAAAAGTCTTATTCATTTAACTTTTTCTAGTCTTTTGAGAACAACAAGGAATTGTTAAATAATTAATAATGTGCCGTAATTATGTTCTTATTGTAATTATTTTCAAATTATTTTCCTTGACATGAGATCACCACTTTTGGAATACGAGGCATTCTGGAAGTTAATTTTATTATAACTTCTTAAACATTCTTAATTTCTCAGCTTTCTCAGTCAGTAAATATCACATAATATCCAGTTTTTTTACAATCCCCCCCTTTTTTAAGCATTAGTTTGCTGTGCAGTGCAAACATTGTTAAATCTTCAAAACACATCATTTACCTCCAAAGTCCATTCAGCCTGTAAATGGAAACTATCCTGCAAATCAGCTTGCTTTGAATTGACTGTACATTTTTGCATATGTACACCTACAGCAGTTTAGCCCCGTCCACTGATGTTGAAGTTGTAAGGAGTATTTCACCCTGGACTGCTTTTTAAATGAGGCATAACAAAGGGCAGCCAATCAGAACAGAGATAATTTAAATACAAATACATCTGTCATAAAGGCTCAACAATAAAAACAGCCTGTTTAATTCTAAGTCATAAAGAGAGTTTGGAAAATGGCTATGTAAAAACTAATTATGACTGTTTTTATGAAGGAATTATGACAACTACATATATTTATAAGTGGACCTGGAAAAATGAAAATAGGAAAAATGTATGATATGGGTTCTTTAAGGAATCATCTACAGCTCTGTTCATGATTTTATACATCTATCTGGTATGATTTCAAACTTATGAACAGAGATTCCAGTCTTTTATACGGTAGTGTGTATCAGTACACAAGCAAACATCCACATGTACACACCATTATTGATTCACTCTCTTTAATGTAGGCATATAGTCTTTCTGTATGATATAATGCATGTTTGATCTTCTTTACCACAGCTTGCTATTTATACACCTCTTAGTAGGCTGCTACACAGACATGCTCTCTCTAAACAGGCCAGGCTCTTTTTTAAGCACCTAGGTTCTTGTGTTCTGATTTCTGCTCCATTTTTTTGCTCCAAGTCTGACTGATGAACCCCGGCTCTTTTCTGATTGCTGTAGCCAATTCTGAGAGTCTGTTATAGATAAGTTATAGATCATTATACCATTAAATATGGTTAAATAAAGTGTTGGAAGACTCTGAAGTGTAACAATAAACTTAAGAAATAATGCGCACATATAGAAGCACGTACTCCACTATGCATGCTCACAAAGTGTGTCTTCCGCAGGAAGTGTACGTTGGCACGGAGACTATCTGCACGGTGGATGGACTTCACTTCAACAGCACATATAAATCACGCGTTAAAGCCTTTAACTCCAGCGGCGTCGGGCAGTACAGCAAAATACTGGTCATGCAGACCTCTGAGAGTGAGTTACATAACCTGCTGCCCCACACACACACCTGGTCGCTTTGCCATTAGATATGCTCGGCTCCTGATAAGTAGGGAAGCTGGATGATGTTCAGTATGTAGCTGCTAAGCTAAAACAATAAATGTAATATACTTCACTTTTAAAACGCAGGATAAGCTTTTGTTTCTCATAGTGCTTCTGCTGCCTGTTAGACTGTATGAGATAAGATGCAGCATAATAAGTGAAAATGTTGTTATAAAGCCTTTATTAATGGAATGCTTTGCCCAAAATTGCTAAAAATGAATGAAAGCTGGTGGGGGTCAGTTACAAGTGTGCAGATAAGCTCATGGTCCCTGCTAGCTCGCATTCATTGTTAGCCATGTTAGCTTTTTTGGGGAAAGTAGTCCCAGTTTTTTAATGCATTCCAGTATAATTAACAGAGGTGGGTAGTAACTAGTTACATTTATTCATGTACATATATTCAAAAAAATTTTGACAAATCTGTACTAGATATGGCAAAAATGTAATATGATACTCCTAGATGTTTTCACATATACAATATTTTATAATATTTATTTTTTCTTACATCTAATCAGTTGGAAAATATGAAGTTAAGGCCACATGCTATCGAAAAAACTATGAATGAAAAATTAACTATGAACCATGAAAAATACTATCAAAAACTATGAATGCAATTATTATTATTCAACATTTCCACATTTAACATTTTATTTCAGACCAGGAAGATCCCAAAAAAAGAGAAGAATAGCTCCTAACAAACATCAATTCTTGTACTGATAGACGCTCATAGCTATTAAAGGGGAATTCCACTGAAATTTCAAAATGTCTGCATAATTAAACAGTTAAGATGTAAATAAAGTCATTCAGAGTGGTTTGATGTGACATGCTCCATTCTAGTGAAACTTACAGAGTCAGAATTGTTCACAGTGGTGGTGATAGGAACTAGATGTCCAAAATACGTAATGCCCCTAAAAGCTCCCTCACAGAACGCTGCTACATGAAATTGTTATGACTATATTGCCTGGTGGCTAAAACGTTGGTTTACCATAATTTTAATGTAAGATTTTAGCCTAAAATTGTTTTTTTTATATCAAGTTGTGGCAGAGAGTTGCATGGTGGGTGTTAAACAGCAAAATAATCCCCATAGTAAACTTTTTTTACGATTTTCCACTATTTTACCATAACTAGCATTAAAAACTCAGAAGACACGTGTAGGTTCACTGGTGGTTTTAGATAGTAAATAAAATGGCTATATTTGTGTTGTAGACATTGTGACCCCTGGTTCCTATCACCACCACTGTAAAGAAAATCTGAATCTCCAAGTTTCCCTACAATGAATCGTTTCACAGCAAACCCCTCTGAATGATGATGTTTACATCTCAACAATTAAAACAATGAGTGGAATTCCCCTTTAAGTTGTTTTTCAGCTTCTACTTTTGTACCTCTGCTTAAGCTGAATTGTCTTTTATTGAGTATGGGTTTAAGCTAATCTACCCACCTCTGACGATCAACACGTCTGCTTTAAAAAATAAGTTGTTTAGTACAGAATATGTTAAACTAATGTGTTATGTCATGTTTATAAAGGCTTTATGACTGTTGTTGAATGTGTGAAGTGTGAAAGATAACTGAGCAGATCCAGCTTCCCCGATCAACTGCTTTACCTCCCTCTTTCTCATCAACCTTCCTTTCTATCACTCTATATTTTTCTTTTATCCTCCCCCCACCCTCTCCTTTTCACTCACCCTCTCTTCCCCTTTCCTTCTTTCTCTCTCTCTCTCTGTCTCTTTCTCTCTCTCATCTCAGCCGGACACCCCCCATGTGATATTAAATCTCTAGCTACAGGTATGGATGGCTTTCTTAAACACAATCCTCTTCCTCCTCTTCCTCTTCTTTCTCATCATTATTATAACCATCTCCTCCTGCTACTGTCTTTTTGAGTTGCTGGTGTGTGTATGTATGTTTTCTTTGTATGCATGTGTGTTTGCACTGGTCTGTCTCTGTCATAAACGCGTGTCATTCAAACTGTCGTAATGATTCATCCAGTATAAATCTAAAGAAATCACACATATCTGATGAAGTGTTCAGTGGGTAATACATAATGTGTGAGTTTGTATGTGTTTATTTTTTCTGCAGTTGCTTGGTTCACCTTTGACCCTGCATCAGCCCACCCTGACATCATACTGTCCAATGATAACCTGACCGTCACGTGTAACAGTTATGATGACCGCGTTGTCATGGGCAACACAGCCTTCTCCCGCGGTGTGCATTACTGGGAGATAACCATTGATCGCTATGACAACCATCCGGACCCTGCATTTGGGATTGCACGGGGTGATGTGCTGAAGGACGTGATGCTGGGAAAGGATGATAAAGCCTGGGCAATGTACGTGGACAACAACCGCTCCTGGTTCATGCACAACAACTCCCACACCAACAGGTATGTGTGTTCCTGCATGTATGTATTTGTAGGGGTGTCAGTGTAGGCATGTGTGTCTATGTGAATCTATTAACCCATAAAAGTTATTAATATCATTGTTCTATGTATTTTATTCATGCTACCTAATCATTACAGACACAAATGTGTTATTGATTTCTCTGCTTGTATCAATGAACGTGTGAAATATTTTCAAATAAAATGTACGAAGAGTCATTACAAAGCTTATATTCCATGGAGAGAATTAGGCCACAGGGGTTGAGCATATAGGACAAATTGCAGCTATACTCAGCCTGTGCACAGACATATTGGGGGCAGGGGCTCAAGGGGAAAAAGGGCAGCATACACATGAATTAAACTTACTTTAATTTACAACATATTGCAATCACTCTTAGCAAGGGAGACAATATAATCATGTTTCAGATAAAACCAAACATGGTGTTAAGACCTTTTTCCCAAAGCAGCCAAAATGCACTAGCATTACAATCTATGCAGGAATTTGAACCCCTCCCGCCAGCCTGTAGAGCGGTGGCATTACTCACTGCACTGTTTAATTCCCACAAATACTTGGTGCAGCCAGTTATTCATGCCCCTTGTTGCCAACATTTATTGTTCAAAATAACCACATTATCGAATGTGATGCTTCCTAAAGAGAATTTCGGCATTTTTTCTGGTGGGATTTCCTGCGCTATGGGGACGCGTAACAGGTCGCATTTACTGAGGAGAACCTCAGGTGGTCTAAAGGGATTTTAAAGAATGGCAGAGAAAACAAATACTATTATTATACACCAACTACAAAGGCCCTTATACAGTCTGTAGACAAAGGGACAGGGGCTCAAGCCCCCTGGGATCTGTCTGTGCACGTGCTTGGCCTTTCGACATAACAATAAAACCTCTGTGTAAGCTCAGGTTCAAACTCACCTTGACCTCAAGTACAAGATAACCAATTTTTCATTTTACACTCTACTTAGATTTAGTAGAATAAACATATATTAGAAATCATATAACACATTTATTATATTTGGTACCAGCTAACTAAGTCTTCATAAATAGCTTAAGGTAGTAGTTGAAATAGAAGTTACAATGTAAGAATGAGGCAAAACTAAACAACTTGATTTTCTTTTAAAATATTAGATTGACTCAAGCCACATCTACCAGAGATTTCTATGGTCCTGTTCTGGCATTAATATTGTGGCGTTGGTGTAGAAGGAAATGCAGGAGAGGCCATTATTTCTGCCACAAGAAGTGCTCTTTTATTTACCAGCAGAAAAGGCACACTGAAAAACGGCCAGGCAAAGCAGGCAGGTCACTTCTAGCCATACAGTTCCTCTTTTTGGTAGACACACAGCCCCTAACTATCTCACCACAGCCCAACCTAAAATAATATAAACAATACATACGCACTACTCAAACTCAACAAAACATTAACGGAAACAAAAGAGCAACAAAGGAGGGGGACGCGGGTGAAGCGCATGGTGTAGTTTTGCATACCACTCCTCTTAAGCCCCTTCTGCAAATTGCAGCAAATGGCAGCTGGCACAATATAACACAGTAATAACAATACGCTATGTGGCATTCAGTAGTGCTCAAAGACCTTGAGCAATGCTGGACAATGCAGAGTAGCTGTCCATGCAGAACGTGTCATGAAAAACAAGGATTTCTGTTTTGTGCATTGTGTGTGGTACTGACACATCTGGTGCATTAGCCTTTAATTTCTGCATATGATTTGACTTGTCTGTGTGACTTAGATTTTAGAATCTCTCTCTCTCTGTTTCAGTTAAAGTTAGTTGTCAAATTGTACTTCATAAATGTTTATTTGCTTATGTAATCTTGTTGAATAAAACTCAACCTCTTCCCCATTGGCTCCCGGCAACATCTATTTGCATGTTGTTTTGCTTGATGTACTGACCCTCTTCATGTTGTCTTTTCCCCTGGCCTTCCTTCCACTGGGTGCATGTTTCTTACAATCCACAGTTAACTGACTAGCCACATTGTTGTTGGCTGTCCGTGCAAGTTACTATGTAACCTACTGCTGAGCGTAATTTTTCAACTGCTCAGCAGCACAGTAGTAATGAAATTATACCAATAAACTTAAACCAATAAACCAATAAACTTTATGTTCTTTTTTTACTTGGATTAGTAGAACACAGCCGAATTAGGTTTAATGTTGAAATAACACATAAAAATGATCAGTCCAGTTAATTAGAACTTACTTGTGTGTGATTTACATGAATTCACTGAGTACATGTTACTCAATTGAGGATCTTAGATGCTACTTAACACAGTTGTGTGGAACCACTTAACATATAATTTCTAAGAAAATCCATTTCCATCCAGTTAATTAGTTATCCAGTTAATCAAATCAGTTTAGTGTGATTTACTTGAATTTATTAAGCACATATTATTCAATCAAGTATATCAGAAGCTTCTTAAGACTTGCTTAGAACTTTGACATAATATTGTTAAGTAAATCCATCATTTCAGTTTTTTGTGTTCTCTTTCTCTCTCTCTCTCTCGCCCTCTCTCTCTCTCTCTCCCTCTCAGAACGGATGGAGGGATAGGTAAAGGAGCAACAGTGGGTGTCCTGTTGGATTTTTCACGAGGGATTCTGTTATTCCTTATCAATGATGAGCAGCAGGGTCCCATAGCCTTTGACTCTCTGGAGGGTCTTTACTACCCCGCTATTAGCCTCAACCGCAATGTTCAGGTAACACACACAACACAACAGCCACAATGCCTAAACAACACACAAACAGCAGTAAAACAATTTACTGATATTACAGACGAAGAGTTTATAAGGTGACTTAGTGTTGCGGTTCACACTTTAAATGTACTTTGAATTCATTGTCTCAGCAGCAAATCATAATAATGCATTCATTTGATTTGTTTCAGCAAATACAGAAAATAAAAGACAAAAATTGTTTTAATCTCATTCCAATTAATACAAAGGCCAGAATCCAGATGCCGGGATCAGTACAGCAGATACTTTCAGAGGTCTTCTTGTGCATGTAAAAAGGGGAAGTCCTTGTGATTTCTACAATAAAAATGGGCTAATATGGACACTGAAGTAGATTTATTTTAGTATTTTGTATTAGTATTAAATTAGCTGCCAAAGATTGGCAGTAAAGACTGTGTAAAGAAGTGAAAAACTTTGAGAGTTTGGCAGTTACTGAGAGTTAGTAATGTCCCAGTTACCTTTACCTTTTATATGAAAGGCACCTTTTGTATGTGTGTGTAGGTGACTCTTCACACTGGGCTGCCCATTCCAGACTTCTACACTCCAGGAGAGTCAGACCCTTCAGGCTCCGTCTGCTGAAGACACAGTCAACACACACACACACACACACACACACACACACACACAAACAGATACTGTATATGACTGGATAAGAAAATCCACATATTCTGTTTTCTATGTAAAGTGCTGGGGTGGCTGAGGTGTTAAAAGGGAAATTCGACCAGTTTTTCAAAATTCCTGCATAATTCAGTGGATAAACAAAGTAATTCAGGATGGTTTAATGTTTAATGCTCTGTTCTATAGAAACATACTGACTCATACTGACAGATTTCTTTACAGTGGTGGTAGGAACCAGGGGTCATAATGTCATGACATCTACAAAACAAATATAGCCATTTTATTTACTGTCCAAAATGTCCAGTGACCCTACATGTGTATTTTAAATGTTTGTATGTTATGTTAAGAGTGGTAAAATAGTGGTAAATCCGAAGAAACATCTTTCAGGATCATTTTGCCTTACAGCACTCTACATGTATCTCTCCACCTTGAATGTATCTGAAGACTACCTTAAAATATCCTCCAATGACCACCACTGCAAACAATTCTGACTCAGTACGTTTCTTGAGAACAGAGCATTTCATCAAACTGCTCTGATAGACTTTGAGTTGCTTGGTCAGTTTTACATGAAACTTTTACTTAAACCCACCCTCTCTCATAATGGCCAGCAGAGGGAGGCATAGAGCAGACTAGTAATACTGCACTTTCGTTTAGAGAGAGAGTGAGAGAGATAGAGAGAGAAGGAAAGCCCTCCATGATGATGCTCTAGAGGCCAGAAAACCTCTCTTCTTTTGAGAAAACTGTTAATGATCACATGGTCAGCTGAAGTAGCAGTTCATGCTGCAGTGGCATTAGAAAATGAGAACATATGCCTTATGGACTATTCCAGTCTGATGTGACTGCGAGTGTGGAGGAACTTAACATGTGAACTGAAATTCGACAAGAAAGACAGGCCAAATGGTTAATTTTTTATTGTTTATGCTGCCGTATCATCAACTTCATGTGAAGCATTTCAGGTCACAGGCAGCCTTAAGACTTACGTCAATTGTATGGAATCACTGGTCCTGCTGTTATTTTGACGAAGGTTAACTGGCATGTGCTGTGGCAGAGCCCATTTTATACTAATGAGTGCAGTCTTCTCCCACTTACTTACAGCACGGCCAGCATGCCACAAAGGATACACCTCAGTGTGCTGACACAAGAAAAACTGAATATCCCATTCTCTTTCTCTCTTGTTCTTCTCTCTGCTGATCTCTTATAATCTTTAATGATTGGTCACTTTACCTAACAGAGTAACTAAAAAGCCCTAAAGACCAATCACGAAACAGACTGGTATCCAGACAACCACTACTTTACACTGATTTTATTACCATTATTATTATTATTATTATTATTATTATTATTATTACTACAGTCTTGTCGGTGCTAAAGCATATAGACTTGTGGCTCTGTTCCTGTAAGCAACAGAGTCCAGGCAGATTTTGTACTTTTACTCATGATCAAATATTCTGTGCAGACGTCAATATGTGTACAGATAAATCTGTAGAGAGTACAGGATTATGAGTCTCATATACAGCTCAATATTATGATTTTACCAGGTTGATTAAGTTCAGTATGATGTGAAAGGGAAACTTGTGCATGTTGTGCTGACTGAAATGTCTGTATGGGCTTTTTTGGGGGGGCGGGATTTGAGGACATGTGGCCCTCACACTACACACTCACAAACTACACACAGTTTGCCAGAACACTATACACAGTACACTACACAAAGATTAACAGTACACTAAAGACAGTTTGACGGTACACTACACACAGTTTAACAGAACACTATACAGAGTTTAACAGTGCACTACACACAGTTTAACAGAACACTATACAGAGTTTAACAGTGCACCACACACAGGATAACAGAACACTATACACAGTTTAACCAAACACTACACACTGTTTCGCGGTACACTACACAATTTAACAGAACACTACACACAGGTTAACAGAACACTACACACAGGTTAAGAGAACACTACACACAGGTAAACAGAACACTTCACACAGTTTAACAGAGCACTACACACTGTTTAACAGAACACTATACACAGTTTAACGGAACACTATACACAGTTTAACAGTACAATATATACAGGTCAGTGGTACAATACACAAGGCTAATTAAACAACTAAGGGTTGTTTTCTGGATTTTCGGGATTAATGCTGGGAAGTGGAAAGTTGAGGTTCAGAATTATGTCAGTTTCAGCCTCTGCATGTTCGAGCTACGAAGTGGGAAAAAATGCAGCTGCCTCCATAAAAGTAAGCACTGTTAGCAACATTTTAGCCTGATAATGCTAATGATATGAGTGATAACTTTGACATTGATTATGCATTTACCTTCTCAAAACAGCAAACTTTATGGTCAGTGTTATAGATTTAACCAGCTACTGTGTCCGTATATTGACTATTCTAAAGCAAATTTCTCTTAAATTGAGAGAAGTGGTATTTTCCGAATTTCCAGTTGAGGCTATGCTATCTTTGATTATTTATAATTGACTCAGAGTTACAAACTCTCGAGTGAAATGCAGTGTAAATCCTGGACTACATTTTTGTTTCAGTGGACAATCTCCTTTCAGTATGCCATGTAGTTCAGCACTTGGCTTGACTGAAGCTTTTAACTCAGAATTTCCCATTTCCGACTAAGAATAATAAAAGAGGGTTCCCCCTTAGCTGGGAATTCCTACTCAAAGATGGTGATGATGGTGTTCTCAACTCTGCGCTCGGTGCATGATGTCAAATCAGCATGGCTGTGAACACACTCAGTAGTAAAAAAGAACTGCTTTCTACTTTTAAATGATATTCGATTTAGATTAGTGAACTTACAGATAGAGTACTTGGTTATATTTATAACACTCACCAGAAAGTTCACTGTTTTGAGAAGGTAAATACATTGTAAGCGTTAAAGTCATTATTCATTTCACTGACATTAGCTGGCTAGCCTGTTGCTAACAGTACTCACATTCATGAAGGTCTCTGTGTTTTTCTCACTTTGCAGATTATACACACGGAGGTCAAAATGGGGCAATTCTGAGCTCCTGACTTTAAACGCAGCATAATCCCTTTGTGCTGAACTGACCCCAAGACTGATTTTTTTATTAGAGACTTGAAAATCAACAGCCAAACTTTAGAGCCTAACCTCTTATCCTATTGTGCCCTCTTACAGGAACTATCACATGTTGTCATGGTGAATCATCTTCACCATGTTTAATGAGGACAGTTTGTGTCTGTCTATGTGTAACACACACACATTGCATGCACACTCACACACACAATAGTCCCTCCTGCAGGCCAACACACTCAGACAAAACAACAGAGGCATTCATTTACAGTCAAACACACAGCTATCCCATCAGCCTTATATAACTCATCAATCAGTGTGCAGAAAAATAAATACCCCATACTCTCTCTCTCTCTCTCTCTCTCTCTCTCTCTCTCTCTCTCTCTCTCTCTCTCTCTCTCTCTCTCTCTCTGCCCCATTTGTTACTGCCTCAGAGCTGTACAGGCATATTGCTAAACTTAAATGAAAACTCGGTGCTGCTTCTGTTTATATGTCTGAAAACTACAGTAAAATATATAGATATATATTTGTGTTTATTAACTGCAATATGTAACGGCACAGCTGTAAATCCAAAAAGAAGATTCATGAACTGGCAATATGCCCTGTGTTCTGGAAGTGTGAGAAGATGCTGGATGTGGATGTGGGCTGTGTCTGGCTGCTATGCTCTGGTGCAATGAGACATAGGCCTCCTGTCTCTTTTTACATAGACCTGTGTAGCTTGCTTAAGAAAATGAAATCCTGACCCCACCGACAAACTCACTGACCCGAGGCCTTTCCTCAGCCTGATAAAGTGACTGGAAGAGAGCAGAAAGAGGCAGAAATGTCTATGCTGAAAACAATGTGGTGCTTTGAATGTATGTAATTCGTTTGTACACTTCAGTTGAGCATGAATAAAATCTAATACATCAGCACAGTTTAGGTACTTTGGCAATAATTGTGTTGATGTAATGGAGTTTATTGATGTGTTAGTGATATATACGTGTGAGTCACATCAATTCAAAGCACTACTTTTTTCAGTGTATGATTGTAAAGGGTTTCTTTATTTTCTTTATCAGAAATGAACCCCAAATGTGAATAAAATTGTATTATTATTATTATTATTATTATTATTGATGTTACTCGCCTATCATGTACCTGGAGCTTTGTGCTTTCTGTAACCGTACAGTATATTCAATAAACTGGTTGAGTGAAATGAATCCATGTGTTTTTTTTATTTATTTTCAATAACATGTGCACTGTGCTAAAGCCAGAAACCATAGTCCCATAGAAGTCATAGACATTTATTTAATTTATATATATATATATATATATATATATATATATATATATATATATATATATTAAACAGAAATTACACAAAAGCCTCAACAACAAATTATAATATTCGATTTTTCAGTATTTAGTGTGAATAGAGTAGAAAGAGTTGAAAAGTTAAAAAGTCAGACGAGTCTAGCAAAAATGCACATTGTTATTCCATTAAATAGAGTACAAAAAATATCGAATGGAATAAAAATGTGTATTTTTGCTAGACTTGTCTGACTTTTCAACTGTGTGCAGGCAAAACTCTCTTTCTACTCTTCTTAATTCAGGATTTTTTTTTTTTGCTTCAACAATAATTTTTGTTCTCAGCATTTAGTGTGTCCATTCTTTACCTCTATTGCAGCTTCTGTTCTTTTTGGGAGTCTTTCAGTTTTTCAGACAATTCAACACTGATTTTTCTCCATTCATTGTTTAGTGATCTACCAGGTCTTGCATGTTTGTTTGGAGTCCCATTTGTTTGAATTCCAGGTTTAGAAACTCCAGTTTTTTCATTTATTTTCCTCATTATGCAGGAACGCATCTTATATCTAATCTCTCAATATCACCTTAAAAATGAATAACTTGTAATTGCCATTTTGACAGAAAATTAAATTAAAAAAGGGAGGCTTCAGAGTTTGCACAGTAATGTAAGAAACTGTAAGATCTACAAATGATGAGCAAAATGAGAAAAAAGGCTATGGGAAAAGTTAGGACTGATGATCTGTAAGGATTTTGTATTGTTGACATTTTGTATGTTGCAGGTCTCACGTAAGTCTATTAACTTTATGTTCTGTTCTGCTTTAATAAGTACATTTATCACTCAACTGAGCATCCTAAAAGCTACTTTACACAGTCATGTGGAACCACTTGATAATATTTTTAAGCAAATCCAACCTTTCATTTTTGGGTAATACATAATAATAATCAGTCCAGGTAATTAGTATTTACTCAGATCACTTTAGTGTGATTTACTTCAAATTTATTAAGTACATATCACTGAATTAAGTACCTCAAAAGCTACTATACAGTTTGTGGAACCACTTGACATAACACTTTTCAGTAAATCCAACCTTTCATATTTTTGAGTGTAGGAACTCTGATTTATCCTCTTCAGGGATGACACATTATCCCGAGTTTAGGTCAGGGGACTGACCTAACCATCCTCCTCACTGTGTGTGGAGACAAAATACTGTATCTGTATCATTTTGACAGGTTCATTAGAACTCCAGCTGTTTGAATCTTCTTAATTATTTTCTTAATAGTGTATTTGCAGGTGTGAAGCTATTTTATAGCCATTGCCTGATGTATGAACGTCAGGAGTCAACAGTTCTTGTGCAATTCATATTTAATAAGTACGATTTTAATCATAATGTTTTCTGGGGATGCTAATAATTGTAACAGGTGTTATCCCACAGGTAAATTTTAATGTTCAAATGTTGCTCTTTGGCAGCTCAGGAGACCTAATGGTGATTGTCCTAAAATCCCTTAAGAGAAATAGCATTAGACAAAAAAGGAAACATAAGATTTTTCTGGTTCAGATAAAAAATTTAATATTGCCAAAACTGAGAAGACTCGTAGTCTGAATGAGAAATGGTTGCATTCCTGTCTTTATGTCAGTTGCAAATGAACATGAGTGTTATTGTCTGGGGAAATCTGAGCAGCAGCACACTTAAGCAAAATTTTCTTGTGTCTTTTGGTCTAATCTCGTTGTTCTCTAGGAGGCACTGCAGAGATACAAAGGAGATCTATTTTAGTTTTTGTTTTCTTTAGGATTGGATGGATTTTTACCCACTGAATTGTTAGATCAAGCTGATGAACACTTTAAAAAGATGGTTCTTTAGTAAAGACTATGGTACAAAGAACCATTTGCATGCTTAAATGGTTCTTTGTATGGTGAAATGGTTCTTCAGATTGATGGAGAATGTGTTGTATATGATTCTACATAGAACCTTTTTGAAAATGGGTTCTTCAATATTTTTTTCCGCCCCATTTCTGCTCAGTATTTAACGAGGGTGCCAATCATTTTGGAGGGCAGGTGTGGTTCTTTCAAACACAGTAGCACGTGACGCCTGCAGTGGCCAATGGCAGAGAGGGAGGGCCCGTTGTAGGTCAAAGTGAAGCTCAGGGCTCTGCAGTCCGTCCCGAGCCCCCGGGCTTCCAGCAGCATGGCCACTCCGCTAACTGACCAGGAGAAACGCAAGCAGATCAGCATCAGGGGCATCGTGGGGGTGGAGAACGTGGCCGAGCTGAAGAAAGGTTTCAACCGACACCTGCACTTCACCCTCGTTAAAGACCGCAATGTGGCCACGCCGCGCGATTACTACTTCGCGCTCGCGCACACGGTGCGGGACCACCTGGTGGGGCGCTGGATCCGCACGCAGCAGTTCTACTACGAGACGGACCCCAAGGTGAGGTCGGCTCAGGGGGGGCTTCCATCTAGCACAGGGTGTTTCAGCTCCAGTCCTGCGCTGACACGCCTGATTCAGCTCTGAGAGCCCTGGTCAGCGGCTCATGCAGGAAAGGGCAGAGCAGGTGACCATAGAAGCAAAGCTGACAAGCATTGTATTAATGTGATCAGTCTGGGTCTGTATAGATGATGATGATAAATATGATCTGATGAGATTTTGGATTAAACTGAATCTTGAACTTTAGGGGGGAGGAAGTTTACTTTCCAGACTAAAAGTCTCAGAAGTCTCCAAATATCATGACTCCAGTTCAGAAAACAAACACCAGTCTATTCACTCCCTGTTGACTCATTTGAACTTTGTACTGGACATAGCTAGACTGCAGCTCCAGTTGTATGCAGAAGTTTGAACACCCCTGGTCAAATTACACATTTTGTTGCTTGTATGAAAAAAAGAATGAACACATCCTCTACCTGGAACAAATTAGCATTTTGTCTGCAGATTTTAGTGCTCAAATTCTGCTTATTTGCTGAGTTTAACATATTGGGGGGAAAAAAATAAAACGTCGAATATAAAATGTGCCATAACTTTTGCACAGGCCACATGTTTATTTTTATATATATATATATATTAGGTAATTCCGCAAATAAACAGTCGTTGTGCATTAGAATGTGCAGAAGTGTTCTCTGTAGAGGATGTGTATTTATTTTTACTTCAACAAAATGTATAATTTGACCAGGGGGTGCCCAGACTTTTCCATACCACTGTAGCTGACCCAATCTAAACCTTTTAATGTTAAAAAAGTAGGGAAACGCCTATGCATAAAATCTGCCCAAAGTGAGATAAAGCCTTGCTGATCCTTTACGATGTAAAAAATAATTGCCTGATACAGCGCCTGAGGGATATCATAACAGCGTTCAGAGTGACTCAGCCCAGGCTTTGAGGAAGCAGACCACAAACACTTCTGCTTGACTCCAAGCAGCACTCTGTCAAACTGACAAACGAAAGAGCATTAGAGCATATTTTTATGTTTCCTGATTGTTCTGTGATTTCTGTGATATCCTGTGATTGTGATATCTATCAGCTGCTTCATAACAATATCACTAACTATAGAACTGCTCCAGAATTACTTGAAAATCACTTTACATTAAAACAGAATTCCACCAATTTTTCAAAATGTTTATGTTTATATTGTTGATATGTAAACAAAGTCATTCAAAGTGGTTTGCTGTGAAATGCTCAGTGCTTGAGAGTGAGAATTGTTTACAGTGGTGGTGATAGGAACCAGACACCTGAAGTATTTAATGCATGTAAAAGCTCCCTCACATAAAGTAATTCCACAAAATGGTTACAACAGGGCAAACATGCCTGATGCCTGAGACATTAATGATACTTTGGAGATAAGATAACCACAATTGTAATAAAATTTGAGTTAGCACGTTTCTCTATAGTTAACTATTTCACATCAAAACACTCTAAATGACGTGTTTACATTGTAAAGACTGAATTATGCAGAAAAAAGTTGGAATTCACCCTTAACTTGCATTAAGAAGGTTTTGCCTTCTTCTGTAAAGTTAGCATTTTGGAGATACAAAGATTTTATGTTTTGGACAGTGATGATTTACAGTTGATGCCAAAGCATTGTAAAATCTGTGTGTGTTTGCAGCGTGTGTACTACCTCTCTCTGGAGTTCTATATGGGGAGAGCTCTTCAGAACACCATGGTCAATTTAGGATTGCAGAACGCCTGTGATGAGGCCATCTACCAGGTAAGTGAGTGTGTGTGTGTGTGTGTGTGTGTGTGTGTTTGTTTGAGAGAGACAGAGAGTACTGATTACTGGGTTGCTCAATGTCTGTTTACTGTGACCCAGGAAGGGCTAAACTGCTCACTTGCTGTTCTCTGTCTCTGTTTAGTTGGGTTTGGATATGGAGGATTTGGAGGATATGGAAGAGGACGCCGGATTAGGGAATGGTGGACTGGGCCGGCTGGCAGGTCTAACATTCTTCAGTCTCTTTCACTCTCACTCGTGTTCTCTTTTTCTTCCCTCCCTCTCTTTCTCTGTTCTGCTGCTCTCATTTAGAAGCCCCTTTGTCCCCGCAGTGTAATGAACACAAGGCCTCAGCTGTGTCTGCCTCACTCTGTTAAAGTGTAATTGGGATGTTTGTATGAAATGTGGGGGGAAAGTCCTGTAAGTAGGCCAGAGTGAGAATTAAAACATGCATTACACGCATGCAAACTTTAAGTAGAAAATATTGTTTTTAGTGCTTTTTTCCTGCTATGAGCCTATATGGCATACGTTATTTCTAATAGCACCACTGACCAATCTGCCATGTGATCTACAGTACTGTACAAAAGCGAGACCACCCTTCATTAATATCGTTTTTAATCAAAGCAGCCATTATGTGCAAGGTATCCATTTCCAGGAGATATTTCGGAGGAGATTAGATTTAAGATAATCCACCTGCACAAGGAAGGGGAAAGACAAATAAAAATACAGGAGTTTCCAAAAATGGGACTCCTAACAACCGTGCAAGACCTGGTAGACCACCAAAACTGTCACCATCAGTTAAACAGTACTAACAGTAGAAAAGCAAGCTCTACTCTTGCTTCAGATCTGAAAAAATCTACAGGTGATTCTGTCTGTCCTTCCACTGTGTGAAAAAAACTTAACACTGGGTCTGAAAGGATGTGTAGCTGTCAATAAGACATTAGGAAAATTATGTCCAATCTTAACCACAAAGGGCTGGTGGGGATGCACATAAGACTGGACACACCTGCGTTAGGAAATAGACAAACAAAGAAGCTATGAATGTTCTCAGAACAATGGACTGACCACCCCAGAGTCCAGACCTCATTGAGAAGCAGTTAAATATGACTTTACAGAAACACTACCATTACACTGTTAGATTTTTTTTTCTTGATGCTGAAAACCAATGATGAGCAACTTGTATTTAATGGCCAATTTGATGAGTGGTGTATGACTTCTGCACAGCACTGTAACACATTGCTATATCGTCATTCAGGCCAGCTGACTTTTGCAGACTGTTAACAAAATCTGATCAGTTCTAAATATCCAGAATATTGTTTGCCTTCCTGTAATATTCATGTTTCAGTGATTATGGAGCTACTGCTGAACCAGGCCGTCTAATGTTGTTTATCACTGTGTATGTGTGCTGTCCATAGCATGTTTCTTGGACTCGATGGCAACACTGGGCCTTGCCGCATATGGTTATGGGATCCGGTATGAATATGGAATCTTTAACCAGAGAATCAAAGATGGCTGGCAGGTAAATTTGCTCAAACTGGATTCAGAGCTGCTATCCCAACTGGCAGATCACATCACATCATTGCTCTGTTTGAGCGTTTCAGATGTGTCAGAAGCTATTAGAGCCTCTATAGCCTGTAGCACTGTGCATTTCCCACGCACACACACACACGCTCACACACTGGAGCTGTTTCTACTGTCCTCGCACGCATGCCAAAGTATTTTATTAGTTCATAACTTATTGGACAAATGCAAAAAAGACTTCGTTGTTTTGTTTAACCGTTTGCTGCACACTAGTGATGCTCATTCCGAATCATTTGTTTCACACGTTACCTGACGCCACGTAGGCTAATGCTATCAGGAATGCTCAGATGAGATGCTAGGATAAATGCAAAAAGCATTCACTTTTACTCCTTTACATTACATGTTTATTGTCACTGTTGGGGAAAAAAATCTCCAGCTCTATTTTTGTCGTTTTCTATTTTTTGCTATTATTTAAATACCAACTGCCCTTAACGTTGTGTCAAAATTTCATGGTAAATGAAATCCAATATGATACTTAATAGAATAATATACAATAAAAATGCTCTAAAATAATAAATAAAATATTTTTTACATTGTAAAACTTAGTTTGTTACTGTGTAAAGGTTTTGTCCAGCATTTAGCCTATTTATTTATGTCCTACATCCACTGCTGTGAATTCGTTATGTCAAAAAATTCTAAAAATACATCTCTCTCTCTCTCTCTCTCTCTTTTTTTTTTCTCTCTCTCGCTCTCTCACTCTCTCTCTCTCGCTCTCTCTCTCTCTCTCTCACTCACTTACTCTCTGTTTTTTTCCCCAAATGCTTTTCCAAATAGTATGGACACCTAAAGGTGAAAATACAACTTTTATAGCTTTGATTTTCAGCTGTTTGATACACAATAAGACACTTCAGTATTATTGTATACATAAGCAACACAGGCACAAGTCATTCTGATCGAAGAGAGCTGAACCTAGTATGGGATGATGCAGAGAATGTGTTTCAAACTTTCAGCCTCTGCTTCAAACATGAGATGCATTTTATTGAACATTATGTTATGTACATGCAAAGGAAGTGACCCTTTAAATTGGGTTAAAGAGTTACAAAAGTCAATTTAGAAGTTTTTTTTTCACCATTCTTGCTACTAAGCATGTTATTAAGATGATGCAATTCAACCTGATCAAACTCCCCCCACACACACATACACACCACACACAGGCCTACATGGATCTTCCCCCTCACCTCTGCAGGTCACTGGCCAAGAGGCAAGTGACTCTGGTGGAAGTGAGTCAGTTTTAGTGTGAGTTCATTTGTAATCGGGTGGCTTTCTGTTCTGCAGCCTTGCTTTAACCTTGAATACACAGTCACTGCTAATGATTTTATGTGTATGCATTTATATATGTATGTATGTGTGAGTACTGGCATGCATGTTCACATGTGGATCAGCGCTGCTCAGCCACTTTGCTCTCTCATTTGCAGAGTGTGCGTGTCTGTAGGGCAAGAGTACAGCCTCTGAGTGCACAGGGTTCACATGGCTGACAGCAGTGAACCAATAGGAATCTCAGTCTTGTATTTTGTGGGGTATGACTGGAAAAGCATACACTACATGGTCAGAGGTTGTATGTGTGTGTGACTAGAGTGTGTTTGCATTTAGAGGACATATATGTGCAAACACACAAACCTGAACTTTAACCAAACAGAGCTGATCAGTGGTCTCAGAGTTACTGTGGCCACATGAGAACCACAGGCAAGCAGTCTCAGAGCCAATAAAGACGGAGGGAGAATAAACCTTGAACAAAGACTTGCAATATAGGCTACATCTGGACCAATATCTAGTATAAAATGTATCAATTCAAGTCTAAAGCTTTTTAAATCTACAGAAAGTTCAGATAAAATCACAGAGGGCACACTGTGTAAATATTTGACTTCAGAATTATTTGATTAGCTCTATCACAGCATGAAATCTCACAGTTCAACACAATTTGATTAGATTATTTTGGTATGATTTAAGAATTAGTTTTAAAATTACACTCAGTACAGCAGTGTGACTAGTAGTAGTCCAGAAAAACAATACATCAAGCATTTTAGTTAAAGCGAAAAGTGAGTGTACACTTCATTGAATATTGTTGTTGTTGTTGTTGTTGTTGTTGTTATTGGTGGTAATAATGTACATCGGTTAAAATCTCAATCATCAAATTTCTAAATTGGATGCAGCTGAATCGCCACCTTCAGGTCAATACACCATAATTGCTTTATCTGTCTCTAATTCCTATTCCTGCTACTTATAGACTAAATGCAGTTGGCTGTATGGCTTGTGTTTTAGGTAGAGGAGGCTGATGATTGGCTGAGACATGGGAACCCATGGGAGAAAGCCCGCCCTGAATACATGCTGCCAGTGCATTTCTACGGACGAGTGGAGGAGACTGAGGAGGGGTCGAAATGGGTTGACACACAGGTGCCAGCACCTTACGAGTGCAACTAATGCAGACACTGGCCCCAGAATTAAATAGTGTCTCAATGGGGGAGCTTTATTTTTGACTATGTGTGCATGTAATTTTCCTTCAGGTGGTCCTAGCCATGCCCTATGACACACCTATCCCTGGCTACATGAACAACACTGTGAACACCATGAGACTGTGGTCCGCACGGGCTCCAAATGACTTCAACCTTCGAGACTGTGAGGGACCAATTATACACATTTGAGCATCTGCTCTATTCAGTCACATGGTTTAGAATATTGTCTTTAACTTGAACAAAGCTATGTTGTGTCATCAGAAGCAAAAAGCCAAGATCGTGAAGTGATCTAGGGTTGATTGTGCAGCTTTTGACGTATAGTCCAAAAATTTGATATTTGTTTTTATTCTCTCCCCAGTCAACGTTGGTGATTATATCCAGGCAGTTTTGGACAGGAACTTGGCTGAGAACATTTCCCGAGTGCTCTACCCCAATGACAATGTGAGTTCTTTTCACTTCTTTTATCAGCTCTGAGTGTAACTGGATAAGTATTACATTTGCAAATTTAGGAGACCCACTTATCCAAATTACAAGAGTGGGTGAATGTACCGGTAGACATCCAAGGATTCTGGTATATTCTTGGCATTCCTGCCAGGTAAAGAATAAGCATGTTACAAGTAGAGTTTTGCACAGGCCTGATTATTGATACCCGCGCCCACCTGATAATCATGCCCATTTGCACCTGAAAAATATAGTGTATTTCTTGCCCAATCCTGCCAGCAAAAGCACAATTTTTGCCTGCACCCGCCTGGTTCAACCACACACCATGCCCACCTTCACCCGCCCGCTTCAACCATGCGCATTGCCCACCCGCACCTACCTACTTTGGGCTATGCATGTAGTCCTCTCCAACTCCTGCCTGTGTTTGCTGTAATCTGCTCTACTGATGTAGGACATGCTCGTGCAAGCTTGTGACGTCGTACCTCCGCACACCCAGCAGCAAAAATAAATGCTCCAGTATTGCAAAGTAAAAGTAGTATTTTGTGTATTTTAGGTTAATGAAAGCCTTTTAAACTTGCACATGGCACTACACAATGAGCATCGCATCACATGACATCACTGTCGACAGACAAGCCAGCAGCATGACGGCCAAAAAAAAAAAAATTCATAGCAGCTTGACTTCGCTACTAACATTTTATTTTTAACTGTATCATTAGCTAATTACTCTATAAGACATCTACAAGTCAGCTGAAATTAAATTAAAGACAAAACAGAGACTGAGGCTGTGGCACAGGTTAAAAAGCCAAAAGAATTGTTGTTGAAAAAAATCTTTTGCTGGTGGTAACTACTAACATGTTTTTCTCTGAAGCACACTAGCAGCTCATTTATCGCTTATCTGTTCGCTTCTGCAAGCAGCTGATAATTGTACAAGCCTTCCCCACTCAGCCAGCCATAACACCCACCCACACAAGCCTACAACCTGTGAGCTGTTTACCTGCAATGATTGTGAGGCTTCAGAATGAATCCCGCCCACAAATTATCTAGCAGATCAAGCGGGACCCATGGGTGAACTAGAGGTGCAGACCTCTAGTCACAGTTATTACATAATCACCTGATTGCAATTATTTAAGCTCACTGCAATTATTTTCCACCATCTGTAGCGTTCACAGTCATATGTTTACATTACAATAGACAGAATTTAACTGTGTATGTTTTCATCTGTTCAGCTGAGGTAAATGTAAATGCATGTGCTGACTGCAGCCACAAAATTCCACTGGCTGTAATTTTGTAGTCCTGTTTTGTGGGTTTTATAGTTTTTTGAAGGTAAGGAGCTGCGACTGAAGCAGGAGTACTTTGTAGTGGCAGCAACACTGCAGGACGTGATTCGACGCTTCAAGACCTCAAAGAGGAATTGCTCTGGCCCTCTTTCTTTTGACAGCTTCCCTGATAAGGTGTGTTTACAACCTTTGAAAGCCTGCACCCTGTACACTACACTTTGCTTACTATAATCTGCATTAGTCATGCATGTATTCTACATACTGTATTCCACTTTTCACGTGAGCTCATGAGCTCATGAATTCATGCTAACAAGGCAAGTTTTTGGAAAACAATGGAAAGCTTTTAAGAGATTACAGTACCATCTGTGTCTGTCTCAGGTGGCCATCCAGCTGAATGACACACACCCTGCTATGGCCATCCCTGAGCTCATGAGGATCTTTGTGGACATTGAGAAACTGGACTGGGACACAGTAAGAGACACAAACACACGCATGTCAGATTTTAGTGAATGGAAGGACAGAGAGATTGATGAAGCATAACCTGTACGTGTAACACAATATACATACAGCGTGCATTAACACATAAAGATCCTCTTGAGGGAGCCGTCTCAGGCTTGAGGAACACCTGTTTATAGCTTGTGTGTATTCTGTACCCTTCGTCTCCATGTCAACGCTGTAGTTCAGAAAAGATAGAGCATTACTTTTGTTCATTTTGTTCTGGATTAACCTGGGTTTTGTTAAACTGTGTGTGTGTGTGTGTGTGTGTGTGTGTGTGTGTGTGTGTGTGTACATGTACATGTGAGTTTAGGCCTGGGATATCACTAAGCGCACATTTGCGTATACCAATCACACTGTTCTTCCTGAAGCTCTGGAGCGCTGGCCTGTCCGTCTGCTGGAGACACTGCTACCACGTCACCTACAGATCATTTACCAGATCAACCAGATACACTTAGATGTAAGTACACACACGCACACTACAGGTCAAAAGTTTAGAACCAATGATACAAACCCAATTCCAAAAAAGTTGGGACAGTATATGAAGTGATTAGTAAATTTGACCAGTATTACATAGAAAACAGAAGACAAACAAAGATGATATTTGATGTTTAATGAACTTTATTATTGCTTTGGAAATGTACACTCATTCCAAATATGGCGCCTGCAAAACGTACCGAAAAAATTGGGACAGGGGCATGTTCACATTTCCTTTTAACAACACTTAATAAACGTTTGGGGACTGAATAACAAAAGTAACAAACTGATACTTTTGAAAGCAGAATGTTTGCCATTTTTCAGTCATACTTCAACTGCACAACTATATGGGGCCTTCTTTGTCATATTCTGCATATTCGTTGTCATATTTTGCTCATCCTTGCTTATAAAAGACTAGGCCTTTCCTAGCATGATTGCATCACCTGTTTAAGATGTTTCATGAACATTTAACAATGTCCCTAGTCTTGAATTGCAGACATCAGTTTAAGAATGAACATATATTTACAGAAAGCAAGAAGTTGATAAGATAAAACATTAAATATCTTGTCTTATTTAAAAATTGAACAAGAATTTACAAATCATCAAATCAAAGTTGTCCATCATTGTATACTGCACTCCCATTTCATGAATATTGTTGTTGTTTGTGGTTGTTATCTAATAATGATATCATAATACAGAAATGTTTAATGCAGAAATCTTCACCTTATAAGTAGTTCTTGCTTACCAAATTACCACGGGAATGATAATGCTGATTTCCTCTAGCGTCTCTATGATTTCCATTTTCCATGTTATGTTAGCCACTAGCTAACAGTGTTGTACATCCTTTAACCGATGCTGGAGTTGGATTTCTACATTAGTGAAACACAGTTAAAGGGACCTAAATATTTTTACATCAATGTAGCACAGTATTTTTGTTTTGTTATGCGTTGTGCTGTGGATCACATGATTTTGACCAATGACACAGTATTCAGCAGTAGTATTCGGCTGTTTTAAAAAAATATGATCAACCAGCTAATTAAAAAGGTAAATTATGTAGGCTGTGGCGGCACGGTGGCGCAGTGGGTAGCGCTGTCGCCTCACAGCAAGAATGGCCTGGGTTTGATTCCCGGCTGGGCGACTAGGGTCGTTTCTGTGTGGAGTTTGCATGTTCTCCCCGTGTCTGCGTGGGTTTCCTCTGGGTACTCTGGTTTCCTCCCACGGTCCAAAAACATGCAGTCAGGCTGATTGGACACGCTAAATTGCCCCAAGGTGTGAGCGTGTGTGTGTGTGAATGTGTATGTCTATCTGTCTGCCCTGCGATGGACTGGCGACCTGTCCAGGGTGTATCCTGCCTTCCGCCCAGTGACAGCTGGGATGGGCTCCAGCACCCCACCGTGACCCAGAAGGATAAGCGGTTTAGATGATGTATGTATGTATGTATGTATGTATGTATGTATGTATGTAGGCTGTGCAGAAGAACTTGATTACCTGTTTTTTTATTTTATTTTTTCCAAGTAGTTTGCCACAGCACTAAAAATAATGAGTCTAACCTGGCACACACTGCACTGTAATCATGCATGCGTTGTAACAAGTCATAACCAAATAGTAGAAGTCCTGCATCAGGGGACAGGATTTACACTATTTGGTCACTAGGGCAAGCCAGGTACACTCAACCAGCTAAAGCTTCCCCCTGATCAAGGCAATGCAGTATAATTTATCTGCTCTCAAAATCCTAGAATAGTTAGTCATTGCTTGCAGAAAACAGCCTGATTGGTTAAATTCAAATTGGCACAGAATTAAAGCCATCAATGATAATGAATGAGTTAAGTTTATTTTTATTGCATTGACTCTGATAGATATTGACCCAGCAGGCCTGTAAAATGGCCTGTAAGAGTCTATATTTTCATAAAGTATAGGTTGGATAATTAATTCATACCAAGAATATATGTTCAGAAGAAATCTTAAATTGTATACAGAGATCGACTTGCAAAGGTTAAAAGATTAGAAGGTGGCCCCGCTATTCAGTAGTCATACACCTACAATCTATTGCAGCTCTAATCATGTAAACAACGTGTGTGTTTGTAGCGCATAGTGTCGTTGTTCCCGGGGGATTTGGATCGTATGCGCAAGATGTCTCTGGTAGAGGAGTATGGAGAGAAGAAAGTGAACATGGCTCACCTCTGCATCGTAGGATCCCACGCTGTTAATGGAGTCGCAGAGATCCACTCCAGCATCATCAAAACTGATGTGTAACTCACACACTCACTCGCACACATACACACACACACACACACACACAGGCTGTGCTAAGACTATTCAGACAGACTTAGTCCACATGCATGCAAATTCATATGCTTCAGTATGATTAAAATAGACTTGTGAATCTCATACTCTGACTATACCCTTTCACACACTCACCATCATCATCAAGCACACACTCATACACATCCACAGATTCCTGATTTGTTTTCTCTGCAGATTCCGAGACTTCAGTGAGTTGGAACCAGAAAAGTTCCAGAACAAAACAAATGGAATCACACCTCGGCGCTGGCTCCTGCTCTGTAACCCCGGCCTGGCTGACTTAATTGCAGAGGTAACACATATGGACGGTGGAACGCATGTTTGATGTGTGGGGCCTGGAATCACCATCTACTTTTATTATTGGGGTATCAGCCATAACAGAACCCTGACAGTCATGATAGTCACTGCTTTGACTTGCTTTGATTCGAAGAGGTCATTGCTCAGGTCCAGAGTTGAGTGAATTAGGCCCAGAAAGTAAAAATCCTCCCCAGGACTTTGTTCCATCTGTTGAAACAAAATGAGATGAATATAAAGGGAACTAACAACATACTGCCTTTTTATGCTAGAAGTGCCCTTAAAAATAAACATTTTCTAGATAAATGTTTTGTGTAATAAAACAAAAAAATCGAGATAAACTGAATTATTCAAAAACACATTTTGAATAGGAGTCTCTGGAGAAATATGCTTTCTGGCAAAAGGCAGAATTTGTTATTTGGCTATCAGGGCTGTCCAGGGACACCCAACCAGCAAAAGCTTCCCCCAGAATGCACTTTATCTGCGCACAAAATTCTAAAATAGTCATTGCTTACAGAAAGCAGCCTGAGTGGTAAAATTCCAAATGCACAGAATTAAACCAATCGATCATAATGAATGAGAGAAGTTCATTTTTATTATATTGACTGTGATACAGGTAGAACCAGAAGGGCTTTAAGTTATATTGAGTCTAATATAGGTGTGTCTATTTTCATGAAGAACAGGAAGGATGATAAATTCATACCAAGAATGTATTTGCAGGATATATTTGGATTTTGTACAGTGATGGACAAGCGAGGGTTCTTTTGGACCATGTTAAATAGTAGCATCTCTTCAGTAGTCACACCACACACACACACACACACACACACACACACAACCAAACAAAAACAGTTAATCTATAATTTTTTTGCTGTAGAAGGATGTAATTGTTTAATGAAGCAGAGCGATGTATTTTTTCTTAATGTTGTCTAATGTTGCATGTTTGTGTGTGTCTAGGCAATTGGAGAGGAATATGTTAAAGACCTGATGCAGTTACAGAAGCTGAATGAGCTGGTGGATGATGACACATTTATCAGAGACATTTCTAAAGTCAAACAGGTCAGAACACACACACACTTGCACTCATACACAAATACACAAACTCTTACTCACTATTACCCCTGGCTGTACATTTGTAATGTAGAAAGGCAGGACTAATGCAGTATGTCCACTGAGCACTGTGATTACACCTCATCCTCAAGAGCAGGAAACATGAACACCTCATATTGCTGTGTGTGTGTGTGTGTGTGTGTGTGTGTGTGCGTGTGTGTGAGTGAGTGAGTGCGCATGAGTCCAGATACATAAATGAGATTATTGCATAACCAACTGAATGCATCATAGTGTGCAGTTATTGTTTGTGGATGTGAAAGGCAGTAGAGAGAATGTACAACTGAGTCTAGACAGTGTTATACAATCATAAATAGTCATGAATGCAGCCATGAATACATTCCACAAATAATTTCATTGAACAAAATAATACGGCATGCCAATCATTTACACAATACAGACTCCATTTATCCTTATCTCTCCTGTGTGCATGTTCAGGACAATAAGCTGAAGTTTGCGCAGTCTTTAGAGAGAGAGTACCAGGTGAAGATCAACCCTGCCTCTATGTTTGATGTTCACGTGAAGAGAATCCATGAGTACAAACGACAGCTCCTCAACTGCCTTCACGTCATCACTATGTACAACCGTATGTACAGAAAACTCTCAAAAGACCCATCCTATAGACTTCTGTACATCCTAAAAATGCACACATGACCTGATGCTCCTTGTGATGTTCTACTGAATGCTGTAATGAAGCTCTGTCTGTTCTGCAGGCATCAGGGCCAAACCAACTGCACCGTTTGTACCACGCACTGTCATTATCGGTGGCAAGGTAAAACACTTTTTATCTGTTTCTCCCTCTCTTTCTCTCCTCTCATAATCTTATATACAGTCCTATGCAAAAGTTTGGGCACCCCTCATCAAATGATATGTTTATTGACCTTCTAAGTGAAAAAGGTACACATTCTCTACAGAAAACACACTTCTACACATTGTAATGCACAGACACTGTATATTTGCTGAATTTAACATGGGGGGGCACATTCTTATTTAATGTCTTATGTTCTTATTTTATGTCTCACTGTGTGTGTGTGTGTGTGTGTGTGTGTGTGTGTGTGTGTGTTTGTAGGCTGCTCCTGGCTATCACATGGCTAAGATGATTATCAAACTTATCACCTCTGTTGCTGATGTCATCAATAATGACCCCATTGTTGGCAACAAGCTGAAAGTCATTTACCTGGAGAACTACAGAGTCTCTCTGGCAGAGAAAGGTACAACTATTAACACTGTTATTTTTTTAAATGTAGCACTGCTGGTGCATTCTGTCTGTTACAACTTATGAATCGGGATTCATATTGTGTATCAAGTATTGTGCTGTTATAATTTTGGCTAATCGCCCACCCCTAATACACACAATATAAACTGTGTACATCCACAACAACCTCCCTTTGACCAGACTGAGCATAATATACATAACATGTATAAGTAGTTGCTTTGTCTGGCTGTAATCTTGGATTAGAACTGTAATGTATTGCCTTTCTTTTTACTATTCTTAGCCATGGATCCTTTAGCATGCTAACAACCCAGCTAGCAGAGGAAAGTGATGAAGTTGTATCAGCAATTATGTATAAAAGATGGAGCAGTTTGCAACTTAAAGCCCTGCAAATCCAATGGTATGGATTTAAAATGTTCAGCAAGTAGTTTATTGGTATAGGTTGTTAGCAGCTTTGTCTGCCATTATTTTGGGCTTGGAAATGGGAAATGCATCAGGCCGCCATGATTTATGGGCAAGTTCTGCTGCTGATGTCAACACTGGTGTTCACTCAGTCCCTTGCCCCTTCGAGGGATCTTTATTTGAGCTAATACAGTAATGGAATAGCCCTTAAGATGGCACTGGGTATTTTGAGTGGCGAAGTGATGAGGACAAGAGAACAAGGACATGTTAGGAGGATAGTAATGGTTAGCTACAGCGTAAATCGATTCATTACTTAGCAACCGGTGCTCAGCAGAATAATACAATTACTGTGAAAAAACTGCTTCTCAACCAATCAGATACCATCACTCACTGTTGTGTAATTCATTGAGACTTTATGCACAAAGGGGGTAAAATGCTTCAATACATTTCAATATGAAGGTAGCAATTCAACTGCATCAATTTTGGAGTGTTATTTCTAATGAGCCATAATGTTTATTGACATATGATCCAGTTTATATTCAGTATAAATTTATCAGGCCGCTTTCAAATGAAAACATCCAAAAATGTTAGTAGCAATCATTTGTCTGCCTTCTACTAGTGTGCAAAATGGTTCCTTTATAAAAATAATTCAGAATTGTACCAAAATAATGTGATCAAATCGAATCATGGTAAATCTTTTTTCATGATGCAATGAATCACTGAGGTCAAAGATTTGCACTCCTAATGTGCATACTAATGCTGTGTGTGCGTGTGCGTGTGCGGGCACAGTGATTCCTGCTACAGACCTGTCTGAGCAGATCTCCACAGCAGGCACAGAGGCGTCCGGTACTGGTAACATGAAGTTCATGCTGAATGGAGCTCTAACCATCGGCACCCTGGACGGTGCAAATGTGGAGATGGCAGAGGAGGCAGGCCAGGAAAACCTCTTCATCTTCGGCATGACTGTGGAGGAAGTGGCAGCCATGGACCAAGAGGGGTATAGATAGAGACAGACAGACAGAGAGACAGACAAAGCGTCATGACATTAACTCATTCTGTGTGCATGTTTTCTTTGTGTAGCTATGATGCGATGCAGTACTACAAGAGCATCCCTGAGCTGAAGCAGGTCATTGACCAAATTAAATCTGGCTTCTTCTCACCGAAACAACCAGAACTGTTCTACGACATCACCAACATGCTGTTCAACCATGACCGGTCAGTTTTATACACACCTCCCACCCCAATCTGTTTTATATTTTGTTACATCATTAATGATATCTTTTCACCATCATGGTCACTTATAAGAAAAAAACAGCAGGTACCTTTTCCAATTACACTACTTTCTCTTTTCTTTTTTTGTCATGATACCAGAATGTTTATCCATGATTTTGGTATTAAAAAAGTTACATGGGCCAAACTTATCAGTCTCCTTGTCTGAGCTTCAGTCAAAACCAATTAGCAGCAAACCAAATCCATTATTCATTGGTTACAAACTCAGATCTACACATCAATAATGTGTCTGAATTTATTTCAGATTATTTGGCTGTACGTTCATTTGTTCATGTTGTGTCTTAATAAACAAAACAAAACAAACATATGGCTTTTGCCAACTTGTTACAAATGCATGATCATAGAGGGACCCCTAGTGACCGAGACCCTGCAGACACCGCAAAAATTTCAAGGAGTTTAATTCTCTTTCAGCTTCAAGGTCTTTGCTGACTATGAGTCCTATGTCAAATGTCAGGAGAAAGTCAGCGCTCTGTATGAGGTAACAGCATCCACTTTATTCATGCCAACCCCACTCTCACTCATATATGGAGATATATTGTTTTGTTAGGACAGCACCAAATTATGTCTTACAATATCACTGTTTTTAAAATAAACATCTATTTACATCTTGCCGTTTCAGGATCCGAAGAAGTGGACTCAAATGGTGATTAAGAACATCGCTGCTGCTGGAAAATTCTCCAGCGATCGCACAATCGCAGAATATGCCACTCAAATCTGGGGGGTGGAGCCAACTGACCTGAAGATCCCGCCTCCCAGCGAGCCGAGGGAGGCTATAGAAGAAACCGCACGAGCGCTCCGCAAGATCTGAATGTGCATGTGATGTTACCACAATATTACTCTAATGTTTACATAGTGCTTCCAGCGCATTCACACACTATTACTAAATACCAGCTCACAGATGATCAGTTTTGCATTTTTACATTGTATGAAAACTCTGACTTAGTTACAGGCATGTTGTTCAACCTTTATCAGGGGAAATAGGATTTTAAGACATTTTAAACAGTCTTTATATTTTTGCTGAAGAGGTATTTTTCCAGGTAAATTAGCGTTGTTTCTGGGCACAACACAATGACACTGCCTGTAGTAGACATTCATTCTTAATTTTCTGGTTCCTCTGGTCCACTGTGGGATTCTGCAGTAAACACAACATATTAGAATAAGTTTCTGATTGTGTGATGAGTTTTCTTGTAGGATATACCTTAGCAACACTTTCAGGTTAGTTATACTGACCTCAGACCAGCAGTCTTTATCTCTCAGCCCTTTATTATTTTTCAGAGCATTCTCCAGTCTGTAGACTGGTGAGTTCGCATTTGTGTGGCTTTGGGTTAAGTGTTAGCTATGGGCAGATAAAAATGTCGATACTTCCAATCCAGACGTTTCTATTTGAGGATCGATCTTTATGAGACAGTATTCATACTAGATGTTTTCTTCAAGCATTAAACTGAATATACGTTAGTATTATTAAACTGATAGTGAAAAAAATCATAGCAAATAAACTACTTTTCCTCCTGTTCTTTCACTCTCAGGCACAGATAGACACAGTAAATGCTCTTTGTCGGATCATTTGGAGTAGAATGGCAGATCATTTGGAGTAATTTCCCTAAACAGACAGTTTATGTGGCAGTTTATTTAATACTAATGCAAAGACCAAATATAATTTTACTGATTTTCACTGTATAAACCTCAAAGATTTCCCCCTCTTTAAATGTATCACTATCAGTATTAGTATTACCTGTTATTGAAAAGATAATTAGTGGTATTTCCCATCCCTATTAAGTGTCTGTCCCACTCCTCAGCTTAATATGTGCCTGTAAGAGAATGCTGTTAAATCCCATAACTTTAAATCCCTGACTCATATACAGACACTGCACTGCTTCAGGTACTGAAGGGTGAACTCACAATGTAAAAATCACTGGAAAACCTGTAATACTCTGCTGTTGTAAACATACTAAAGATGCATCAAATACTATAACACTGTTCAGTTGTAAGACACACTGGAACACTTGGTCGGTTTACAGAGTGGACTGATCTGTGGTCACAGTTTGAAGAGTGAAATCTTGCTGTAATAAAGCCATGTAACATGATATCTGCTTACTGGAACATATTATGACTCTCTTATGACTACAGTAACTACTAAAACAAAAAAGGATTACTGATGAATTAGTATTACTGAAGTCACATTTCTGTAGAAAACAGATTTATTTGAGAAAGGTCCCTTCAAAACAGCTTTAATAGTTCAGTTTCCTTACTTTGTATACATAGTGTATGCAAATATGAGTGTGTTTCTATGTTCAAAGGGACTATTTGAGAGATTAAACCCGTAATGATATTTTCCTTTACAGAGTTGAACTAAACTTTCTGTGAGTGAGCATTTGAGCCTGCACAGTCATCATCACCTTTCCCTGTTTTGTCTGTGCACACATTGCACTTATTGTAACCACACTGCAGCATTCATCACATTCTGAAATATGCATCATTCAAAACTGATTGGATAAAGTTTTGAACATTTACAAAAAATTATGTGACTTACGGTGATAATTTAAAGTTAAAAAAAAAAAAAGATTCTCATGTTAAATAAAAATGTCAATTAAACCAATTCAAACATTTCATGTGATCTTTCATTTAAAATTTAAATTTCATTAAGCAAAAATATTTCATCCACCTGAGCTTTCTTAATAATATAACTGCATAATTTAAGTGAATAATTTAATGCTGTGTGGTCTGTACCAACCACCAAGGCATCTGAATATTCTGTGATAGAAACAAGCAATTAGTGTTCTCCTCCAAATGCAGACAACCTTCAGCAGTGGTATGATTGGTAGTTTACTGCAAAGATGCAGTGGAAGGATTCATACATGCTTGATAGAGATCATTTCTCTGCTTCATCATACTGAGGAGTGGAGGGTAAGCAGAGTAATCTGAAATATACCTGTGGAAAATGGTTTTAAAAATTTGAAGACAAAAATGTGACAAATATTGCTACACAATTAAATTAATAATTCTACATTTCAACACAACTGTAAAATTAGAGGTTTAGCTGCGCAGAAGGAAAGTCTGCAGTTCCAGTACACAGTGTAATGAGGGCTAGTGAACATTCACTTTTTGAGTTTCAGGGGCTGTCAGTGTCACTCTGAGCCAGACTGACAGGCTGTGCTAACACTGATGGAGAGGAAACCAACAAGCCAGTCATAGAAGATACAAACCTCACCTGCCACCATGAATAGACGTTAAAAAAACAACGTATGCAGCAGCCTTCACGTCTTTTTTTACTTCATTTATTCCCTTTCCCAGCAGCAGATGGCGCCAGAGACTGGAAGGCCGAACTTTTGCACTACAGGCTGTTATATCAACTGAATTGTACTCGTCATACTGTGTATTTCAGGCTGTTTTTTCTGGTTCTTTTGCTGATGTCCGTACTAGGCTTTAGGTTTTTGTGATGTATCTTTTTTATTTGTTGGTTTCACAGTGGAACGGCTAAAGTGCACTGAATTGGTCATGGGGGTGTTTATTTATGGTCAGAAATATCGTTTCCGTGCTGTTACATTTGCCACTATGGAAACTGAAAAATGGAGAACAGAGACTCTATATGTCGTATGTTTCACAATCAAATCGATTGTAATACATCCTCCTTGATCTGCTTCTTTATGATTGGTTTGTCAGTTGAGTTTAACCAATCAGGTCGCTGATCCTCGGCCAAAAATACATTCCGGCTATGTGCCAAAATAAAACGCCTATTCGCTGTTATTTTACGGCTCATCTGCCGTTATAAGCAGCAGCTCGAGCTGCAGAATAGATATGAGCGTCAGTAAAGAGTCAGGTGTTTTTAGACTGGCCCATCATGTGGACAGTACAGCGTTGATGGGCTGCTGCAAGACGAAGCGTGGTCTGATATTCAGTTCCTTCGTTTAGTGCGGACCATCGTAAAAATGCGTTCCTACCGGCAGCTGAACCAGGGGACTCACAGTATACAGGTTACAGACCTTTGCTGACTTGTGTCATCAGAGACCCGGATGATCTTATTTTACCCACTCCTACCTGCGCATCTCCATGGCACACACTCCTCCCCTGGGCTCCACCTGCTGATGCACAGATACTGACAGGCAGAGAGTCTACAGCTGATCCTAGAGCCGCTCTTCAGAATAGAGTCAGTTAAGCCTGCTCTGTTTATTAGGTCCAGCTTAGAAAGCCATGCAGAACCGAAAGAGTCAGAAGAGAGTCTCAAACACATACAGACACAGGCCCTGCTGAAAAAGAACTGTTAGGAATAGAAGCTAAAGGTTTCGAATAGAGACCACTGTCGAACACTTTTAGATCCCATTACCAAACCATCAAATGCATTTAGAATCACCCATTGGCCTGTTAAACCATTAGGATCCTTTACACTGTGATATCAATCCATTAACAAAGACAAAACGCGTTATAAAACCATCAGGAACCAACAGAAACACTTACTGGTTTCTATGTTTTTTCATCAGGGGAGGTATATTATGAAGAAAGTGTGAGACATAAAAAACAGTTTTGAACAAGTCCCTGTGTTTAGATTTTACATAGCATGAACGCACAGACTCATTTCATTAACAATGAGTCCTCAGCTGTCTCATTAGCCCTTCAACTACAACAGACACTTCGTTAATCTAGTGTTTTTCATTTTTGTTACAAAATCTCAAAGTGCTTTACACAGGAAGACAAGCAAACAGTGGATACACAAAATATCATGATCTAAATGCAGAAAACACAGTTCTTAATAGACAAAAAAGAGACCCAATACACTAGGCATACTAGCCTAATCAAACATAAATACTACTACTCATATTCATAGAGGGACTTTCCCTATTTTGGCCAGCGATTCTAGATAGATAGAAGATATAAAACTATGAGAAATCACAAATAATATGGAAATATATGGTACAAATACATAAATTATAATTATAAATTAATATAAATGAATATAATTATAAAAAAGAAAAAACGGCAAAAATGGAGATACCGGATTTTGTTCCGACAGCAGCAACACACACACACACACACAATAATAATAATAATAATAATAATAATAACATCTTGGAAATACTTTTGTGTATAGGCATAACCTGCCTCATTTAAATTTGTTTAGGTAACACATTTTCAAGTATAGAAGCATATAGAAGCATAGACCTGTAGATCAAAATGTCTTCAAGATTATGAAAAATATACCTACAGGAGTGAATGGAATTAAAATAAATTGAAATATGAATGAACATTAAACATCAAGAATAATTGGTATTTTTCATGAACAATGTTCCATGTACATATTCCATGTGTAAGTATTTATTTCCTAATTAATAACTTATAGCAGATATTATGACTCCTGGTACAGATGTGCAGTGTTCGCCCTCCTGCTTTACCACAGCTGTACTCTAGAGGGCGCGCGCCCGCCTGCGTCCCCTCCCCTTCCTCTCTCAGGAGCTTTTCAAAATTCCCAAAAAGAGGCAGTGTGGAGAAAACACTCAGCACAGGACGAGCTGAGCCTGCAACTCTCACCGACTGGATCATTCTCACCTAGAGGACGGACTGTATCGACTCGCCTGAAAGCTGCTGCCCCTCTGAATCTCTGACTCCCCCCGGTTCCGTTATCTTAATCCAAACGGCTCGGAGCAGCAACTTTCAGGACTGAGCGATTCTGCCGAGACTTCAACAACCGAGAGGAGGAGAGAGGAGGAGAGGAGAGCGGCGGGTAAAGCTCACACGGAGAGCGGGTATGTATGAACCTGTATCTATCTGTCAGCCTCTGCTAACCTACTTATTTTATGAACTTTCAGCTCACATTAATCTCATTACCGGCTTAATCTCGCCAGCCTGTCGAGCTGTAGAGAGTCTCTGTGTCTGTGAGGAGCGCTGTGTGTACGTTAGATTTAAGTCGTCCTGCGAACACAGATATATAACGCTGTGTGCTGCGTACCTCCAGAACCCGGTCGGTCGGTCAGTCAGTCAGGAGCTTGTTCCGCTCTTTCGTGTTCCTCTCACCGTGAGAGTCACTCAGAGAGCCGAAGTTAGGCCCAAACACAGGCTGGAGCCACTTCACACAAGCAGGCCTGATGCGGTTCCTACTGCAGAGAACAGAAAGAGGAACTCCACACGAACTTATCAGCAACGTTTATCTTGAGCAATAGTGGCACTTTTAAAATGTGTACTGCGATTTAAAATTGATAAAAAAAATGTAATCCTGTGATTTAAATTCTATATTTGAAACATTTGTACTTCTTGTTTAAGATATCAGAATAACGTTACTGTGGTCTAACATCTAATGCAGAAATCTGCATTCTTTCCTTTGTTTTAGATAATACAGCTTAGCTTCCATATAATGTCTAAGGGACACAAGCTGTCCCCTATTCATGGAATGACCTTTCTTTTTGCTCCTTCTTTGTTTTTTGTTTTTTTGTTTTTTTTTCCTTTTTACCATTTGTCAGTTGAATAGGCTTTAAAAAAAAAGGAATGTTTTTGTCATTTTAGGGAACAATCAGTGGCTGCGAAGTCAGAACTTATAATTTATTTTGACCGTTGTAACTAGAGATGGCATATTGATATTAATGGTTAAGGGGCCAATATCAGCTGGATATGTGAGATCAGATATTGTAAGGGGGATAAAAAGAATGAATCTGATCCAATCCAAGCAAATGTGTCCTGAAACAGCTCACACAGCCACATTGTTGTTAGAGCGCTTGAGTAGTTTGAGTATGATTGATTACTTTTAGATGCTCATAAAGTGATGTGCTCATTTTGAAATTGCTCATTTTACAGCTTAGTGTTTCTTAAAGAAAAAATGTCGGACTGGTTTTGATATTGTTCTCATGCTGGAGTTGAAAAAGTGGTATCTCTAATAGTAGTGATGTGCAAGTTGATAAAGTTTAATGAAGTGTTGTTTTATACTGTGTCTCTCTTCACAGTATGTTGCCAAGTTGGTGTTTAATGGCCTGTTGTGCTGTGACTCAGCATAGACTAGCATTCTGCTTTTATTAATTATTCATTATATTAAAATCCCCCTCCAGGACTCTGTAACCAATGCTGCAGGTAAAACTCGGTGGCTGTAGTTTTATTGCTCTCTGTTCCAAACACATACACATCTCCACCAGCGTGTTTCTATAACTACAGGGCAGTGTGTTTACCTATAATGTGTAATGTGTTGAGTGTGAAAGTGTGTCCAGTGCACTTTGTATGTGTGTGCGTGTGTGTGCATGTGTGTGGCAGGGGTGAGTGAGTGTGTGCGCTCTGATTTCCTGTCAGTGGCTTGATTCCTCTCAGACAGCTGTCAATCAAAGTATCCGAAAGCCATATCGGCACTGTTGGAACACAACCTTCTCCGAAAAGGTCCTTTTACATGGGAAGAAAAAAACATTCTAACTTTTAATGGAAGTTAATGTAGAACTGATTAATTTTAAGTCAGTTTGGAACATTTCTATTTAAATTTTTCATTTATGCATAACAAATAAAGAGATTATGTTGAAAAATGCTGAAATTTTCAGTGTTTCCAAGAGTATTTTGACAGCCTTCAAGTATATTCTGTTCCATATTTCTTATTTTTATTATAAAGAAAGGCACACTGTGCATAACATGAGACACATAAGACCTGTGTTTCCGCATTTCTTTGGTTCAGACCTGTAAAAAAACAGATATTTCTTTAGCTTTCTATTAGTTTAGTAAACACACAAGGTCATAGCTAGTTGTGTGGTATGCTGTGGATGGTGACCGATTGCCTGATAGGGTTTCAGCTTGTGTTTGTGTCTGGTGGTGCACTTCAGCGCATCAGCTCAGTGTTTCTGCGGTGGGGGTTATACTAAAGAGGCTGATTATTATTCCTCAGGTTTAAAATGCAGCATCAGTGGTGGGTGTGTTAGCAGTGCAGAGTCACGACAAAGGGCATCTGCTTTCCCAACACACACATTTCCATGTGTGTTGAGGGGGGGATTTTGAGGCCCAGCTGCTCGTCTGTGACCTCATCATTAGTTGGCCCTTGAAGCAGGCTGAGAGTGGCCAGGTGTCTCTCTATGCAGCACACGCGCACATACACGGGCATAGAAACACTCAATACACCTTCAAAATACTACAAAACACAGACAGCACCTGTAGGTCTCTCTGTTTTCTGTGCCATAAACATGACTTTATTGTGCTTCTTGTATTATACTTTATTATGCAAGAGCTCTGAGAGCATCATGTAACATACTTAAGACATTTTTATTTGTGTGAAATTCTAGTTAGCTCAGAGAGCTAAAAGCAGTACTCTAATAGCTATAACTGCTAAAGCTGTTCTGCTCAGTGCTTGGCTTCAGCTCCCTCACCTCACGTAACCGTTCCTGCTTGTTCTTATATATCTCCGTCTGTCTATCTAAGGTCATCTAGCAGCTTTAATCATTTTGGGATGTGTTACCATAATACTCGCTTAACTCCCTCAGGCCTCTGACAATCAGACATAGCACAGCTTTTTCCTATTAGGCTGCAGAGTTCTGCATCATCAAAGGCCAATGGTATTGCTTATTGCATTTTTGTTGTTTGTAATGTGAGTAAACCGACCAGTTTTAGATATTCCCAATGAGTCTTTCTGTGTCACAGGCATTAATGTTGTTTTGATATATGGGGATATTAAAGGCATCATCCTTAAGAAACTGTGCATTACAGTGATTTTACCATGGCAATAGGTACTGAAATGCACAGTCTTGAATAACTTATTGCTTTTATTAAACAGCTGTGATGAAATACAATGACCTAATACTCAGATGTTCAGTAACTTTTTTTTATTTACAATTATATAATATAATATCACATAATGTCATTTATTATTTGTTATTTAGATGTGGTTCAGCCAATCACATTTTAGAACCAGAACTGTCTGCTTCATAAATATTTTCAATCATATGACTGTGGTGTGATTTTGTTTTTGTTTGTGTCAAAATCTCAATTTTTTAAAAATAGTCTATTTCTAAATCATCTGAGCTCAACAGCTGCTCTTTTCATTGTACGATAAATGGACTACTAGAAATTCTCCACAATTGTGGTATCCATGTGCTGCTGCAAGTCTCCCTGTAAAACGTCAAATATTAATTCAAAAGTGACCTGTGTGGTCAGATTTCCTGGGTGTTTTTCAGCCCACACCAAACGTCTTTTATATATTAACATCACATGCACAGGCTCAAAAAGAAGTCCAGCTCGATGTTTGTCTCCGTTTTAAAATCAACATTATACTGATGAAGATGTGATGACAACAGTAGACAATTCACTTACCTCCTTGGGAGACACACACCAGTTACGCATTTTCACCTGAGAGGTCTTCAGATCCACAAGTCTTAAATAGTGCAACGTTTTTCCCTTCCTGCTGCCTTTGCATTCTCATTTTGAAGATACAAGGTTTTGTTTGGACAGCCATGATATATTGGAGCTACATCTTCCAATATTTTTCTGCTCTTTCTGTGTTTAAATCTAGTGAAGTCACAAGTATCAGCCAAAGTGCTACACAATAAAATTCATTCCAGCAAAATAAGAAACAAGTAATAAACAAGAACAACAAACGGCAAGGACGGACAAAAGAAACGATGGGAGACTGATGACTGAACAACATGAATATGCTTCTTCAGTTTTTAGTGATTAGGCTAATTGTGGAAGTTTAGTGTATCAGTATCAAATACACTGAATGTTGTCAGTCTCACTATAAAGTTTCAATTGCCTCTGTCTCTGTTTATTAACTTCTGTCACTTTAGGTTATAATTAATGACCCAGCAGGGTCAGACCACTCATTGGCCCAGCGCCATCCCCCAATTTCACCCCTAATGTGACACACACACACACACACACACACACACACACACACACACACACACACACAATCTGTGTATGAGAGCCAGGAGCAGGTTATGAAAGCCAGTGTGGCAGAAGTGTGCATGGTGCCAAACTTCACTCTTTGCAAACACTACTAATAGGCTTATACAGCCACCCTGAAAGAGAGCAAGATGGGTTGAGTGAGAGTAGATGAGAAGCTTCTGTGAAGGGGACAGTAGCTCACTTGCACAGCTCACTTGTCTGAAGTTCTGCTTGCTGACTCTGCACTTTATCTCCAGAGCAGATGAGGTCACACCTAGGACCAGACACAAGCAACACCAGCCTGTTTGTGAGTGATGAGCAGAGAGAATTTTCTTTGGCTTTTGGTTTGTTTTTAGTTATAGATCTGGGGTGTTATAGTATAGGGGTGTGTGTGTGTGTGTGTGTGTGTGTGTGTGTGTGTGTGTGTGTGTGTGTTTGTTTGTGTACATGCCTATCGCATGCTCTCGCTGTGTGTGGAGCGGTAACATTGATCAGGGGGGTGCTCCAGTAGCCCACATCAGCCTGCTTGCCTGATCAATATGTCTGCCCTGCTGTCAGCTTTGTCATCATTTTATGTTTACTTCACGGCCTCTAGGTTCTTTTCAGTGTTTCCGGTTTGATTATGTGGTTTGATGTTTAAGACAAGTATTTATATCAAAATTAAGCTTTTTATGATTTTTCACTTGCTTACCACAAAAGTGGCTGATTAGCCTAAACCCAAGGCTGGTTGGTTTTACTTTGTTTGTTTTGTTTGTTTATTCATTCATTAATTTATTCATTCATCTTTTCATTCATTGATCTTCTTAAATTTTTCATTTAATTATTTATTGACATGTTTTGCTGCAGATCTCAGATTGTAATTAGGGATGTAACAATATGGGAACTATGGGCCAGTGCCGACATCCAATATTTTTCATTTACATATCTGCTAATTCCAATACATAAATATTTATAGAATTTGGTAGTTGGGACTACATCCACCTTAGCATTATAGAGAAATAACACATGTATCTCTATACATAATCAAATATTTGTTTATATATATTGATCTAATCTAAATCACCGCTTCCAGTTGTGCATCCCTAATTGTAACGTCTAATAAAGCTACATTGCTTTTACTGTAACACAGTCTTAAAGAATTTAATTAAATATATATTCTTTTATTTCTATAGTTGTATTATTTGTGTGTCTTGATGCTGCATTGAGTAACAGCATGTATAACTCTGTATTGTTGTACAGGGCAGGCTGATGGATGGAGAGGGTGACCAGTATGAGGAGCGCTTAAGGGAAGTGTTCCAGAGCTTTGATGGTAGTGGTGCTGGTTCTCTAAACCCAGAGGAGCTCGCAGAACTCTGCCACGCCCTACAGCTGAACGACACTGCTCTACACACGCTTCTGCACACGCTTATCGACTCTCAGGACGAACTCAACGCACGGGTAAGATACTATAAGATCGTGTATATATATATATATATGCTTACAATACATGCTGTAGGATTTCTAAATACTCTAAAATGCAAGTCTGACCAAAGTAAGCTGTTTTTGGTATGTTTAGTAAATAACTACCATAATTATGGAAGTATGATGATATCCGAATCTTATCGTTATGGGCAGACATTTTCTTAAAGGGCCCATATGATGGAAAACTCATTCATCCGTCATCTAAACCACTTTATCCTGCTGTGAGGAGGCAGCGCTAGTCACTACGCCACCGTGCTGCCCTGGAAAACTCAATTAGGAGAAGAGTTTTATGCAGCTTGTAAACATTGATAAAGTTTCATAGCATACTGTTGACTCCAGATCCATATATGGAAACTGAGTTGCAAAAACAGGCTGTTTTAAATTGACTGCTTTTGTGATATGGTGAAAGCTAAAGCATTTACACACATCCACCTATTCAGCCTACAGCAGTTTAGCTCCACCCATTCACATTTAATTCATTAAGAGAGATTCTAAAATGGTCATCTAAAAATGAATTATGACTGTTTTTTGTTACATAAAATCACACAAATGTCTTTAAGTGGATCTCAGGGGAAAAAATAAAATACCAAAAAGGTAGGATATTGGCCCTTTAAGCGGAGGGAAAAAAAGTATCAGCATTGGACAGATGTCTAGATTTGACTGATATATCCAAATATCATTTGATGCCAGCTTTATTGTACTCAGGAAGAGCAGAGCGTTTAGGTGACACTGTGCTAAAATGTCTGCATTTTATTAATTTTACTGCATTTGGAAACCCTCTACAAATAAGTGTAAATAAATCTTTCTCTGTAGTGCAAGTTCAGGTGGATTTAGTCCTATTTTTTCAATTTTATAAATGTTTATGTATCTGTATCAACATTGGCAAATATATACATGAAAAAAACTGGGATATTGGAATCAGTCCCCAGTTTCCATATTGGTGCATCCCTAACCATACTGCATCTTCAATTATTGTCCTGCTCTCTCTGCTTTTAAAGGTAGGGAAGTCACATTCATTCATTCATTCATTCATTCATTTTAATTAATTAATTTATTTATTTATAAATGCAACAAGTAGCAGCCAAAGTGCTACACAATAAAATTAAATAATTTCAGCAAAATAACATAAAGCAGTAATAATTAAATAATTGAGTAAAACAACTAAAGACAAGAAACATCAGGTGGCAAGGCCGGACAAAAGAGATGAAGGGAAACTGATGACTGAACACCATGAATCTGCTACTACAGCTTATGCCTTTTCATGAGCGCCCTCTCTCACAGTGTCCATTCAAGTTACGCACTGATACAGTGTCTTAGAGCAGTAAGCAGACAAATTAAAATTAAAATTTTAATGATTCAGATGAGGGAAAAGTACCTTAAGTGTGTCCTCACTAACGTTTGGCCTAGCTGGGTGCTAAGTTTTAAAATTCAGGTTAAAAATATCAGTGTGGGGGATTACTTCCAAAAAGAGGATAAGCTGTTCTGCACACTTTCAGCACAGCCTTTTTATACTCTCTTTCACGCTGATTTCTTTCTGCATCGGTCCTTTCCATAGCACGTGTGTGTGTGTATGATGGATGGTAGCTATGCGGTCGTTGTTGTGCATTATGTGGGGGGAAGAACACTTGTTGAAGATCAGTGATCCACTATTCCGGCTCAACAATAGAGTGAATGTCAAAGGACATGCACGCGCACAGCGCCTACCACTCGCCTCACGCACCCATAAGAGCGGAATAATCCACAAAGGGAACCTCCACATGCAAAAGTGCGTGTCATTGTCTGGGGCAGCTGTTGCTCCCAGAATCATTCAGGCTACCCCCACATTTCCCGTAGTTACCAGGCAACCGGGATTTAATTAATAGCCGCGTTGGAGATTATTTGTCCGATTTTGGCTGTGATCTTTAATCTGTTTCCTCTTTAACACAGGGGAGCAGCTGCACTGCTCTTCAGTATTACACTTTAACTGCATTAGCTGCAAAAATCATTTTACCTTTTCAGAAAATCCACTGAAGGCCTCAGCTGTGCACCTGTATTCCTTATCAAGCCTATTATGCTTGCTCAGTACTGCTATTGTGTTGTTTTTGCAGGTTGAGTTTGAGCAATTTAGGAACGCTTTGATTCAGGTGCTGTCGTCCACAGAGGAGACGCTAGCTAATGAGGAGAACCCCACCCTCCCAGGTACCATCATCAGCTGTTAAATTTGATGTATAGTCATTATAGTTATCATATTTACGCATTTCAAGGAAAGCTTCAAGCCTTTTGTTGAGCTGCTCTGTGACTTCTGTGCGCCTGTAGCAAGTTAGCTTTAGATTTAGCTCAGCTGTCTGATGTCAAGGAGAAGTGGGCTGGATATTAGCCAGTGTCTAAGTGGCCTAGTGCTGTCGCGTCTCTATAGTAACAATGAATTGAGGGGCACATTGATGGTTGGGATGGCACAGAGTGAGCTAGAAATAAAGAAGCAGCTCTGCCTTAATTTGTATAGTCAAGGTGTTCATATAGCTGCATTATTGCTCTGAAATCGTGCCTGAACATTTACATGTTGCTCTTCTACCCTGTACTTACTCATTATCGAAATGAAATCTTGCATCAAGGTTGTTGGAGGTAAAACTTGCAGCTTTAGCAGCACAACACTATTTAAAAAACAGGTAAACAGGGCACCTCAGTACATTTGTTTGGACTAGAATAGTGAGACCAGGGGAAAACCAGGACAAGTGACCATGCCAGAATAGTTAGCAGCGTTAGTCTTTCGTCTCAAAAATGTCTCCCTAACCCTCTTAAACAGGCAGAGTTATTCTGAGCAAGCATGAGTCCACATACTGGATTACTAGCACTACTAAAAGATGAGTCAGCCTTACTTAACACAAACAGACACACTTATGGTGACTGTAAATCTTCCAATGCCATCAAATCCTTTTTCTGAAAGCTTGGCTGATCTTTTATTACAAGAGCTGCTAAGAACTGTTTTAAGAGCCAGAAAGAATTTAAATTTCCTCTCACCTATAGTGTTGATGCACTGTTGATTGGAGAGGTAAAACTGCCTATTATTTAGATTATAGAGGTATGAACCCTTAATTTGGGCAAGTTTCACATATGAAGTACACATGCATGCACCAGCCCCCTGAATGCTGCAACCCAGCCTGTGAGATTGACATTGTATCACTGCAATTTACGTCAAAGAGGAGGAAGGCAAAGACTGTGTCTTGTGCAGAGATGAGGTTAAGACTCTGTTAAGAAGGATTACTCTATGTGAGGAAGGCTTGTGCGGTATAAATGAAGACAGTGTCCGGATAAGAAGAGTTCCTTTTCAGATATTGCTCCAGATCCTCTGCACTCAGTCAGGTCCCATAATCTAAATGAAGCCTAGTGCAAACTCTGACGCAGCACTGAGCAGTGTCCAAAGACATCAGTGAGTGCCAGGTAAATGATAGGAAATTACAATAAATGGAAAATGAGAGTAAATTTAGTAAATGATTGACTCAATCATGAAATCACTGAGCAGTGTTCAAAGACATCAGTGAGTACCAGGTAAATTATAGTAAATTTAGTAAATGATTGAGTTTGATTTGTTTATTTTGGTACAATACTGTGCAAAAGTAGTTATTTTTATTTCCAGTCAAAACAGTTGTTAGTTGTTCTTTTTAAGTGTCACTTCAGTCTTAGAAGTTGGTTGTATTTTCTGATTCTCACAATCTAAGCAATCAAAAACACATTCAGTGATGTTGAGGTCTGGGCTCTGGGGAACACCAGCATACATACTGCTGCTTGACAGTTACACATCTTTTTAAACGCTTAGCATTGAGTTATCTCTGTGGAAGGACCGAAAGAGTGAAGAGAAACACTTGTGAATTTATTTGTTTTTAAGCAAGAGCAGAGCTTGATTTTAGCCTGTCTCTTAAAGATGAAAGCTTTGAAGGAGAATCCCACTGGTCAGCATAAATTACTACATTTTAATGAAACTTACCGAGTTAATGGTAGTGATAGGAACCAGACGTCTAAAGAGTTTAATGCCTCTACTACACTGCCTGATGCCTGAGACATTATTTTCTCATAGTTTTACAATAAAGATCTGGCCTGAAACAGATTTTCATAGGTAAAGTAATATTTTTAAAAAACCTCATGTCTTAGGATTTGCCAATATTTTACCATAACCAGTATTACATATAAAAACCCACACACGTGTAGGTTCAATTGTGGTTTTGGATAGTAATAACTATATTTGAGTTGTAAACATTGTGATTCCTGGTTCCCATCACCACTACTAAAAAGAAATCTAGAATGAATCTCTACAAGTAAACATTTTGCCTTTAAACCCACTATGAACAAATTTGCTTAAATTTCAGCCACTGAATTACTCAAAAAAATTTCCCTTTAGGTACTGTTTGTGACAGGTTTGGTGTGTGTGTGTGTGTGGTGTGTGTGTGTGTGTGTGTGTATGCAAGCAAATTCTTATATTTAATCTCCTCAGAAATATTTCCTGAAAAATCAGTAACTTATATTTAATGGTTGTTTTGACTGGAAATTGAATAAATGAAGGGTGTTTTCTGACTTTTGCACAGAACAAAAAATAAATGCACTGAATGGACAAAGTTGACTGTTAAAACTATATGCACAGTAGTGGAATACAGACAATTTAAAAAAAAAACAAACAAACAATATACTACTTTTGTCTTATAAGATACATGTTTTCATCCTCTGTTTCTGCATCTGTCTTGCTCTCACCTGTACTGTCAGACTCCCCAGAGGTACAGCCACGCTTCATAAAGGGCGGTAAGCGCTATGGCCGCCGATCTACACCAGAGTTCACACATGCCATCTCAGAACTCTCACACACGCCACCTGAGGAGGACGAACAGGAGGAAGAAGCTCTAGGGAGCACTGATGGGACATTACCAAGCAAGCGTGAGGTAAATAATGCATATAAGCACACATATGGACATGCACACTTACAAGGGTTTATGTAAGCAACCCCAGACCTTGAAGTCTTGACTTCAAAACCAATACTGAGAGGGGAAAAATTGAAGGCGAGAGGAACAAAATTAATCAATCCAATCCAATCTTCTATCAAATCTAGTATGATATAGCACACACTCACACTGTGTGATCTGATCCGATGTGGTGTGATGTTGGCTATGAATTTGGTCCTGTGAGTTAGTTGAGTGTTTGCATAGTTACACTTCAATTAAAGACAGGACATTTTAAAGCTTAGTAGTTTTTAAGAAGAAAAATCTAATCAGTATTGAAATGGACTAACTTGAGGTTTCTGTATCTATCAGAAAAGCTAAAAGTGTCGGGTGGGATAAGTCAGATATCTAGCAGATGTCTAGAGGTCTCAGCCTGCAGATGGCAATGAAGGAATGATCAGTATTTGCACACAGTGTAGGGTGAAAGATAGTTATCCTTGAAGCCTCTTAAAAAATTTCAGTTATGTTACCATGGAGATACTGAACAGCGGTAAAACAAACCATGTGTTAGCAAACCCAAGGATAGTCAAGGCATGCTTGCAGACATTCTCTTTATCCTTTAATTGAATACATTCTTGTAGTGAAAGCCCCTGCCCTTATGTTAGAATCTGAATCTTTGTGAGAGTCTGTGTCAGAGTCTGTCACTGTCCTCTCGTTGCCTTGATTGCAGTGAAGTGTTAATCTAAGATAATCTGATTACTGCACTGAGAATCACACTTAATGCAGAGAGGGGAGACGTTACGTAAACATCCAGCAGGTATTAATTGTATAAATCTGTATGAAGAACAGATACTAACACAATTGAACATGTCTGCACTCTTATTGATATTTCAGACTTTACAACCAGTATACTGGTTGAAAGTCTTTTTAAAGTATTAGTGGCAACATACATATTCAGTACATAACACTATAAGGTTAGCCTGTTTAGCTGAATTGTTAAATCAAGAACAATTCAGGAGTCCCTCACTCAGTCCTCCCACTCTGTTTTCAGTTGCAGTCTGGAGTAATCCAGTTTGTTATCAAAAGTATGTATGTATGTATGTATGTATGTATGTATGTATACACTGGTCCTCTCGTGCCACCTCCCTTGGTCACCTGCTTGAGACGATGACACTGTCTCCGGGCCTGATCACACCTGCTCCTGTTGCTGAGAATGACTATGAATACTTCCCAAATTCCTGCTGTCTGGTGATCGATTTGAGATTTTAATGTCAGTCAACAATTTTAAGTTTTTGCTGGGCCCAGAGAAGTTGTTGCATGCTTATTCGTATGCACCATAGATTTATCTATGTATTGTACCTTTTCTGTTTTTGTAATTCATGAGATTTAGCTGATATAGCTGTATTGATTAGCCAAACCAGGATGACAGTTGGATGATAACTACAATTTTTACTGGGCTGCAATAAGGAGAGGTTTGGAAATGGTTAAATTTGCACTGTGTAACATTTGGGGATTACGAGACCTTTTTGTTTTAACAATTAATGTATTTCTGCGTTAAAGAACCACTTTGACACACACACACACACACACACACATATATATATATATATATATATATATATATATATATATATATATATATATATATATATATATATACACACATATCACAAATTATATTAATATTGCTTGTATTTATTATAATTGGTGTTTTTCTGAGCAAATAAATACTTTCTGACCAAATAATTAGCTTTTAAATATAGCTGTAGTTTTACATATAATATAACATACAACAGTAATAAAACATTTGCATGAAACTATAAATACTCACAATATTGTGATATACTGAAACCATCATAAATTTTAAATAGATTTGTGTATACATTTTTGGCCATACCACTCAGTACTAAAGTTTGCTTTTTTTATTTTGTAAAGTGAAATGAGATGACTTGCTCATTTGATCATGTATACTGTGTTGTGTTGTGACATGTTAAGTTTGGTGTGTTGTAGTGAAGGACATTGACCTCTTTCAAAGCCACTGTGGTTGTCAAAGCAGCAGCATTGTTTAACCTCTATTTGTCTCAACTGACTGACTCTATCTGGTGTGTGTGAGGAAATCAGCAGCTGTGTGTGTATTGTGCTGGTGTCATAGTGACGCTCTGAGAACAGAGGCCTGAATGATCAGACTTGAATACAGAGACACGTGTGTTGGGCTGTCTTTTAATAAGCATATATGCGTGCACATGTCTTCACACATGTGGGCATAGCCACTGGTGACAGAGCTTGTATCAGTTGTGTGCTTGTATGTGTATGGGATGAGAAGTATTGGTGGCAGCGTATCATACTAAACAGCTTTGCACTGGAGATCAACATAAAGTCTGTGAACAGTGCAGCTTTGCTTGGTGTATTAGAAAGGAGCAAAAGTTAATTAAGATAATATTAAACTAATGCTAGTAGTTCTTATAGGCTAGTATGTTTTTGTACAGATGGCTTGTCTGTATTGACGGTATCAGTATTGGGCCAATGTCAGCAGAAAATGCTGGATGAAATGTTGGAGGCAAAAAGAATGAATCTGATCTAGTTTTGTGGCAATTCTAGCCTGGAATCGTGTGATATGATGTTAGTTGTGTATTTCTGCCTGTGGGGCAGTAGTGTTCAAGTTTTCTTTAGCATAAGTGCCAACTTTTAGATGCTTCATCTTAAGTGAAGCGCTAAAATTAAGAAATGCTGATTGGAAACGTTAGTAGTTTTTAAAGAAAAAATATGGGATTGATATTGGTTGATGGTCAAGCTTCTACTGTCCTTTTCAATATTGGAAGTGGTATCATGCTATCTCTAATATTTAGAAAGAAAACTATAAATCCCAGTATGTGTGAAGTGGTCATGTTCATCAGCAGGTGCAGGCCAAAGCAAGTGTGCTCTGCTCTGCTGATGGTGCGAGAACATTGGTCTTCACTAGCGCAGATGTAGAGGGATGTGTGTGAGTGTATGCAGAGGGCAACAGGTCTGTCAGAGGGAACAATGGGCGTCCTCCTCTGAATGCCGATACTCCGAACTCCATCTGCTCCCTGTGCCCAGAAAAACTCACAATAGAGCACAATGACACCCCCCCACCCCCATTCACAAACGAACACCTCCCCCTTCTCCAGACAGACGACCCGGACCGGACAATATAAAAATGCAAAGCTGATTGAGTGGAATCTGTCCGCTCCACATATGGCACTGTGATTGGTTTTACTGAAGCAAATGCAGAGGTGCTTGGCTCAGTTGTGTGCAGGGTGTGTCTGTGGTGCCCCCTGCAGGTCCTCTGCCATTACTGTCTCGTTTCTGTAATCGCAAATTACAGCTAATTCAATTCAGTGCAGCTATGTCAAAACATGACAAAAAACTCTTTCTTTCTTCTCCCGGGTTCATCATGTGTTGTATACACTACTATACAAAGTGCACGATGAATGAACGATGTAGACAAGTGGCAGTTAATGGAAAGCATGTGGTTGATTACCGCAGACAGCAATTTCCTTGTGTAGAAAGGGGCATTATGACCTAAAACTAGCATTTAATATGTTGTCTCATTTTGTAATATACTGTAGAGCAGCATTGAAGCTCTCAGCCATTTTGGTTTGACCGATTTTGATTTTGTATCTTTTTGTCCATTAATGTTCTTTCACTACAGTACCCAGCATGCATTAAGCAAGTGCATCACAGTCATGATATTCTGCTTCCTAGCAGTTCCTAGCAGTACTATTGGCTTTGTGGCTTTCTTCTGCATTCTCCAGCTAGTGAAGTGAAAAAAACAGCTTGCCCTTAAGTATCTAGCCCAAAATGTTTGTAGTTTCTCACTTCAAGGTGGCTACATCGTCAGAAGGTGGGGATGTTTTTAAACTAGAAACGCTAGAAATGCTTATTGGCTTCTGTTATAAGTGTCTTTTGAGTGAGTGCATATTCTGTTCTATTCGATGTACAGGGAAAGACGTCAAAGTTATTGTCCATGACAAGTGGCCATCTGTTACAAGTGCAGGAGCTAGAGGTTGAAGTACTCCTTTAAAGCCGTACACATAGTGCAGTACTGGGCTATCACTGTTGGGGACTGGTACCATTGGGAACAGCAAAACAAAGACTTGCATGTAATCCAAAGACAACCAAGTATCTCTGCTGTTTTATTTTTCTACATTTGATCAAAGCAGCTGCTTTTTACATTGTGTGAAAATTTCATGATGAACAGAATAATAGAAATGCTCCAAAATTAGTTTGAATAAAATACTACTAGGAGTTATATATCATGTTTGTGTATGTGTTTCAGCGCTGGAACGCTGACATAAGCAGTCCAGAGGAGTATGAGGCAGAGGGTAAGTTCAAAAGCAACTGTTGCTGTCTGGTGTTCTCCATTTTCTTTAGCAGTATGTCACTTTATGGATGTGTTTAAACAAATTTTGTGCTTATGTAGGTCAGTTACACCTGTGGAATCCTGATGAACCTGGTACGCCACGTGGCAGCATGGTGCCCCTTAGTGGCCTGGAGGAGAGACTGCAGAGTGCCTGCCAGCAGCTCGCACTGCCACTGAATGGCATGGCCACTCTACACCAACTACACACACTCTGCCAGCACCTCGGCATGGAGGTACATGTGTATGCACACACCCACAAACACACCCACGTTTTTTATGTATGTTTACTGAGCCACATGTATGTGTTTTTAGGTGGGGGAAGATGCATTCCAGTCTGTGGGTGAGGAGTGTATGATGAGTGTGCAGGAGTTTGTGTCTTACATTCTCAACAAACACAAACCCCCTACTCCCTCTGCCTCAACACCATATAGACAGCTAAAGAGACACCACTCCATGCAGGTAACCTCCTTGGTCACATACACCCAAAGACACACACCACTGTACAAGTGCATGCAAGTTCCATTTTGGTTGTATAATGGGGTAGAGGTGGGCAGTACGGCTATATTTTATCATTGTATCATCGTTTTGTTATTGTGAGGAACATTATGCTTTTTCAAGCATATTGTGGATATCACTAGTACTTAAAGAAGACTGTCCAGCTGCATGTTTATTTACAAATAGAACTTTTTAGGCCTGTTTATTTGGATTTAGTGTAGTGCAGTATGTGAAATGTGGAAAAAATTGAGTTTTTAAACATGGCTCTGCATGTGCATTGTTTATGTGAATCAAAATATCGTAACGTGCATCACATATCATGAAAATGTAAAGTATTGCAGTATCACCCACCCCAAAAATAGAGCACTTAAAGAGTAACAATTGTGTGTTTTTATGCATCAAAAACAGTCATTCATTTTTGCATCACCATATTGTAACCTCTATCACTCAGAATTATACAGGCTGTTTTTGTTGCTGTTCCTTTAAGACATATATTTAAATCACCTCACTGCCCTGCATTATGTCTCATTCCTTACAGCTTCAGCATGCATGGGCGGGGCTACGCTGCTGTAGACTGAATAGGTGGATTTATGTAAATGTGTTGGTTTTCATGTTATCTGTCTGTCTTTCTGTCTGTCACTCAGCCGTTTGATGAGACGGGCCGCAGGATCTCATCTGTGTTGAGCAGTACAATAGGGTTGCGGCTGTTCTCTGAGTTAGATGATGGAACTGGGCACACAGCTGTGGAGCAGCTGCTGGACACCTGGCTGGAAGAGGGAGTGGAAAACAGCTCGGAGATACTGCAGGTCACTCACACAACACTCACACAGATACATACTCATATATGCACCTTATTTAGCATATAGTACTAAAAAAATATATATAATATGCACTAAGCCAATACCCCCATGTGCTGGTAGTATGGTATGCTGGTGGCTGGACTGTCTAAACAAAAAGTAAAACAGCTGGCTAAATGTTGTTTTCTACCAGCAATGATTGGATGTATGTAGATGAATCATTTCTGTATATATCCTTGGTGATTATGCTGTATTTAGTTTTTGAATTTCTTGATTTTTTTTCCTCTGTGAATTCAGCTGAAGCATCTTTAATCTGTGTCTAGGCTCTGGAATTTAGTCTGGATGGCAAGGTGAATCTGACTGAGCTGACTGCAGCTTTAGAGAATGAGCTGTTGGTCACTAAGAACTCCATCCACCAGGCGGCTCTGGTGAGCTTTAAGGCTGAGATCAGACACCTGCTGTAAGTCTGCCAGACAGTACGCACGTCTTATCACAAATCAAATGCTTGACATTGGGGATGCATCAATACCATCTTTTTCAGACCGAGTACAAGTATTAATACATACTGAGTAACCTACTTGAAATTAAGTAGTTTTTAGCATAAATGAATGCAATGCATCTCAAGTAAAATTTGTATCGATGTGTCTCTATGATTGTATCGGTGCATTTTTATGAATAAATGAACATTGTATCAGCCCAATACCAGTATCTGTATCGATGCTTTCCTATCTGATGTAACCTGCCCTTTAAACTAACACTGGTTGCTAGTAACATGTTACTTTTTCATGGAAAATGGTGTGTTTTTGCATTTGTGTATGTGTGTTTGAGACAGTGAGCGTGTGGATCTGGAGCTCAGGGAGAAGGAGAAGATACGCTCTGATCTAGAAAAAGCTGAGAAGCTCAAATCTCAGCTGGCCTCTGAGGTGGATGAACATCACTCTGCCATCGAACGCATCAATGATCTCAACCTGCGGTAAACCTTTCCTGTTATGGCCTTTCACTTTTAACTATAAACATACAGCAGCTTTTCTCAAGTTGGTCTCTTGAAACTAAACAGGAAAACAGTCTCGCTGTTTTGCTATGCTACTGTTTTCTGCTAATATTGAATGTCTGTGCATCTGCAGTAAATTGGAGCAGGAACATAAGGACCGTATGGTCGCTCTAAGGGCGGAGATGAGCAAAGAGGTGGAGCTTGTGCGGCAACAGGCCAATCAGCAGAGAGAAGAACTGGAACAGGAAGTCAGGAGGATCAGAGAAGATGAGACCTTCCTCAGAGAACACCTTACTCTCACCATTAAAGTAATCAGTCAATGATCACTAACTCACTGCTATATTCAGTGAAGGTTCACAGTGACTGGTCATGTGGCTAGTCATGTCTTCACTAGCAAGCCACTCATGACAGTAATATTAAATACATTACACTTTCTCACCATTGCAGTGACATTATTAAATAGCACTGAAAGATGGTTATTTTGTATTGAATGAATATTCCTGGTTTGTGAATGTTCAGGAGAACGGCCGCTTGGAGGCAGAGCTGCTGGACAGCACAGAGCGGCTGATAGAAGCAGAGGCGCAGCTGAGTAAACTGCAAAGAAACCTGGATAGTGTGCTTAAGGAGAAGGTACTTGCCCCATACTCACACTACCTTTTGTGAACTTCTTTGCTATGGTTGATGTAGCTGGTCACTAGGGCTGGGCGATAAAACGATAACGATAATTATCGCGATATAACTTTTCCTCGATAGAGCGATACGACATGTTCGATAAGTGTTCGATATAATACACCATTCTCACACTTCCACGATCAGCGAAAGCCTTGGTGGCGTTTTCTACTGCAAGGAAAGCGACACTTCTGTGCTGTCGCCAGGAGAGGGCGCACTTCCGAGTTTTTCTACATGATTAGAGAGGGAGGGGGCCACGAGTAAGATGAGTCTTTAGCAACGGCTGAAACGCGGAGTTATACAGTCCCTGTCTGAGTGCAGCGACAGGCGATCTGTTCTCCTGTGACCGAGTGTGAGTGACGAGGTCAGTGGAGTAACTGTACTGTCCTACAGCGAACTCACCTCTTTCTGTAAATCCTAACCAGCTTTAGCAGCGTTAAATCACAATCACAATCCTCACAACTAAAGCGCTGTTACAGTACTCGGACAGTCATATTTAAATTGTATTCCAAAGCAACAAAAGTGAAAAAGAAGTGGGTTCATGCAGTTACAGCCCTGATTTAAACGAAAGTAAACTAAGGAAGCTGTGAGGCATTGGAGAGCGGTAGAGCGCTAGCTTTCCAGGCTAGCTGTTTTTAGCAGCTGGCTAACTTATAGCAGCGCTTCGTCACTCGCACGACACGGCGAATTAATGATACTGTAGATCAAACACGACACAAAAGCACCGCTTTCAGTTTAAACGTACCTAAAAGGAGGACTCTGTTTGTCTGGTGTTGATATTTTGCGGTTCACCCCTTAAACTACTACAATTAAATATCCAGTCGTCGCTAGCTGGTGTCTGAATACTGTGATGTCATTTGTAGCGGGGTAGCCGAGCGCTCGTCACCAGCTAAAAATAATCTGTTTTCTTTCTTAAATTATGACTATTACAAAATAGCCATGCTTTTCCTGCTGGTAAAAACAGCTCAGCAGACACTCTCTCCCACTCTCCCATGACAGATCTGTGAAATGTTCCACTGTTTGGCGAGTGTTTGTCGTGTTCCGACCATAAAGGATAGTTTAAAACAGCAATTAACCACCCAGGAGCAAAAATCAGCCTTCAAACTTGAAAGAAATAATGATTTGACATTTATCGCAATATGTATCGATATCGAACGTTATAAATTTTGTTTATCGTGATAACATTTTTGGCCATATCGCCCAGCTCTACTGGTCACACTTCTCTGAGAGTTTGGGTGATGGATGTTCTCTGGTGGTATGATGCATGTTAGGGGTGCCAGATGGGAATCAGCCAGAAATGGCCAATTTTCAAATTTAACACAAAATCAGCAGTCTGCTGTGTTTTTTTTAATAGGGAAATTCCACCCATTTTTCTGAATTTCTGCATGATTCATTGCAGAGAAACTTAATGATTCTGATTTGTGTATAGTGTTGGTAATGGGGGCAAGGATCACAATGTCTACAACACAAATATGGGCTTTTCATTCACTTTCCAAAATGACCAGCGAACGTAATTTTACTTGATAGTAAAATACTGAAAAATCTGTTTTCTTTGGGGACTAATTTACCTTACAACAACCTGCATGTACCTCTTGGCCATAAATGGATTTAAAAATCCATTTGAAGCCCAAAAGCTTATGTCAGAACTATCATAGAACACAAGCTTTTAGAGTCATTAAACTCTTTGTACACCAGGTATCCTATCACCACTGCTGTGAACAATGCAGACTCTTTTCTCTAGAATGGTGAATTTCACATCAAACCACTCTGAATGATGTGAAAAAAAAAACTCAATCATTTAAATTATTAATCATTTAACTTCCTCTTTGTCATTTCAGCCGTTTGATTTTGCAGTTTTGTTGTACATAATGTGAGCCGGCTATGTACATGGGCTCTAACAAAAATCAAATAAAAAGACAATTGGCAATTCTGTAAATAAATTGAAATTAGCCTTAAAAATTGAGATGAGGTCACCTAGTATGTGTCGAGTTTACAATTGTATTGTCTTTTGAATCCAGTTGCTGCATATAAAAAAGTGTGTGTGTGTGTGTGTGTGTGTGTGTGTGTGTGTGTGTGTGTGTGTAGTTTGGTGATCTGGATCTGAGCAATGCAGAGTTCTACCAGCAGGAGGAGCGTCTTAGGCAGCTTCGCAGCAACTATGAGGAGCAGTGTCGGGTTAGAACCTCTACCCAGTTATATTATTTTTTTTCATTCTCTTTTTCACTCACGCTCTCTATTTTTTTACCTGTGTTATAATGCGTTGTTTTATGTTTAATGTAGGAACTGCAGGATCGAATAGATGAGCTGCAGGCTCAGTTGGAGGAGTTTCGTGCTTTAGGCCGAGCTCCACAGACCTCCCTCATGCCCTCTCTGTCTGATGAGCTGGACAGCAAAAGCCCTGGCATGGACTCAGACCAAGGTGCGTGTGTTTTATTGACTGATGGTGTGAGGTGTTTTTTCATATATACTACTTCTGCAATACTTATTCGTGTAAAACTCTGAACATTTATCCATTTTCTGTGGGTATATCCTAAGGTCTAGGTTCTGAAGAAGGGCAGCCTTTTAACATGAGTCTGGAGGCAGAGATGATGCTGGAGCAGCTGAAAGAACAGCATGTCAGAGAGATGGAGAACATCAGGGCACAGCTAGACTGCAAGGTCAGATTTGCGAAGAAGTTCAAAATTAGATGTATCATAATGTGACACAATTAAGTGTTGTTAAGCTCGCAGTATGTAAAATTGTGGAAACTCATTTTTTAGCACAATAGTGCATTCTAAGCTTGTTTCTCTCTCTTCTGGTCCTCCTGCAGGTGAATGAGTGCCAGCACAAACTGGAGGAACAGAAGACTTCCCATGAGGAGGAGAGAAGTCTGCTCTCCTTACAACACCAGCAGAATTTGCAAGCCCTGAAGAAAGAGGCAGCTGAAGCACTGGAGAGAGCCCAGGGCCTGCAGGAGCAGTTGGAGCAGGAAAGACGCAGCATGCAAGTTCGCCAGGGTGTTGAACTAGATGAACTACGTGCCCTCCACCAACAAGAGCTGAGCTCCCTCAGCCAGGAGGCGCAGGACGCCAGGAGCCAGGCATTAAAACTTGAGGAGCAGCTCAAGGAGCTTGAGGAGAGCATAATGAAGGAGAGAGAGGAGCTCCATAAGGCGCATGTAGAAGAGCTTAGCCTTATAGAACTGCAGCATAAGGAGACTCTAGAGGCCACTGTGAAGGAGGAGAGAGAAACATTGCAGGTTGAAAGGGTAGAGGCTGAGAAAAGGCTTGCAGAGGAGTGGGAGAGGGAGAAACTGCATCTCAAGCAGATCCATAAGGAGGTGCTGAGGGTTCGGCTAGAGGAGGCACAGCAGAGATCTGAGCAGGAGCGTATGGAGTTAGAGAGGAGGCTTCAGGAAGAGTGGGAAAGAGAGAAGCAGCAGCAAGAGGAGAGCAATAAAGCAGCACTGCAGGCAGTACTGGAGGAGGAACTGGTGCGTCTGTTGAAAGAACAAGAAGACAGAGAAAGAAAGCTCACGGAGCAGTGGGAGGCGGAACGTATGCTTCTGGAGGAGCAGCACCATGCTCAGCTGCAGCAACGAATCCAGCAAGAGAAGGAGCGAACGCAGGCCCAGGAGGAGGAAGCGATGTGTAGGAGGATGAAGGAGTGGGAGAGAGAGAAAGCTCAGCTACAGAAGCAGCATGATGAGGTGCTGCAGGCCAGACTGGAAGAACAGAGAGAGCGACTGCAGGCTGAGCGAGAGGAGCTGGAAAGGAGGTGGCAGGAAGTGCTGGAGGAGGAGCAGAGCAGAATGGTGGAGGCGCATAGGGAAGCCATGCAGGAGCTGAGTGTGAAACACAGTGAGGAGAGAGAGAGACTCGGCTGCATGCTGGAGAAACTTCGCACAGACATTGGAGAGGAGAGGTAAGACATATGCCACCGTGCTTGCTAACAACACCACTGAATTACCCAGTTTCTTCACTTTGAAGTATCCTGATAAGAGTTTGATTTGTATGGGATAATTTAAGGATGCTCTAATATGGGATTTATGGGATTTATTATGATGCAGACATCTGTTACTGTTCATGTACATGTCAAACTATGCTGATAGATAAGCATTTACAGTATAGAATTTGGGACCTACCTGGAGTAGCACTGATATGAAATATTACATTTATTTCTTGTTCTTGTTCTTCTTCTTGTTCTTTTTGTTCTTCTTCGCGTTCTTCTTCTTTTAATTATTGTTTAATCGTATTATTCTTTATTAAGGTTGCAAGTGCCATGTAGTCATTTTAAAAATTCTGTGATTTTAATATAGCAGTTCAGCGTCAAGTAAACATTTTGGTATTCTGCTTACAATAAAAAATTGAATCAAATATTGGTTTGAAATATCGTCCAAATCTAAACATCCGATGCAGATATTATTTATTTTTCTTAAAGCAATAATCTGCCAAAAACAATGACTCCAGTGATATCCTGCATCCATAAGAACATATTTCAAATAATTAGGATTGTAAACTTACTAAAAATACTGCCAATCTTATTAAGCCCTGTCTCTTTAATGTTAGATTTATTGTAGTAAGGGTGTAAAATCTTTCTGAAGATGGTTTTTCAGCTGCTTTGATTCTGAAATTTTAAATTTCATTATAGTCACCTAATAACAACTCAATAAAATGAATAATAATAAAATGGTAGTTCCATAAGGAATTGTATTCAAGATAAAAAAAAATAAAAAATAAGATATTTTCGTTAGTAAAATTTAATCACGGTGAGATTTCATAATGAACTGATGAGGCTAAGGATTTACTCCTACATAGTAGGCATGTGGGTGAGTATTGATGTAATTTGATATTTTGAATTGTTTAACCTTGCTGATTGGTGATGCGCAGGAAGGAGTTAGAGATCCACTTCTCCCAGCGAATCAAAGAAGTGGAAGCCCGTTTCTCTGGCGACCAGGAAGCGGTGTCTGAGCGGTTTCAGACAGACGTACGTAAGCTGGAGCAGCACTACCAGAGTGAGCTAGCAGCGCTGACCCAGCGCCACACTGCAGACCATGTGCGATGGGAGGAGGAGATGGAAGCCGCAGTCCAGGAAGCAGAGCAGCAAAGGAGACTCCTGCGAGAAGCGCTACAGCTGGAGAGGGAGAACATGGTTCAGGAGTTCACACTGGAGCGAGAGAGGCTTGAACGCAACCACGCGGTGGACATGGAGGCTCTGAGGGAGAAGAACCTACAGCTGCAGAATGAACTGGAGAACTTTATTAGCTCTGCCCAGACCAAGGAGATTGAGCTCAGTCGTCAGCTCAATGAGCTGCATAACCGGCTGCAGGAGAATCTGGAGGCGAAAGACGCGTTGTTGGCACATTCTGAATCCAGGGCCGAAGAACTTGAGCAACTGCTTAGACAGGCTTCTGATGACTTTCTCCAAGAGAGGGCGGAGCTACAGAGTAGTCTTTTGGAATTGGAGGGCCGGCATGCTCAAACGCTCTCATTGGCTGAAAAACAGCTCCAGGAACAAAGTGATTTGCTGGCAGAGCGAGCAGAACTCAGGGGAAAGATGGAGGAGATGGAGAAAGTTCTCCGCCAGGCAGTGGAAGACTTTCACTATGAACGTCTGGAGCTGCAGGGCATCGTAGCTGCGCTGGAAGAGAAGCTACAGGACAGTGTCTCCATGGTGATGAAGAAAGAGGAGCAGAGAACAGCATTGCTGGCTGAGAGAGACAGGCTAGCACTTAGAGTTCAGCAGATGGAGTCAGAGCTTGGAGAAGCCACCAGAGGGATGATTGTGAGTAAGCAAGTAGTTGAGGAGCTCTCTCTGTCTGATCTTCCTAGAGAGGTAGAGATGGAGTTTTTAGCTTCATCTTCAGAAAATTGTGGTGTTGTCAAAGAAGTGTGGGAGGATGAGACAGCAGATCATCACTCTGAGGACTTTAGTGTTCTAGGAGAGGATTCACCATCAGCACAAGATGAGGAACTTGAAGGAGAGTTGTCCATGCAAAAAGAGAACACAGGAGACTTTGAAGATACTCAGACTGCCAATGATCACATGCTGACATTCTGTAGTGCTGTGGTTCTGAGCTGTTCTGAGGGTGATTTTACAAATAGCACTGAGAAAGTTGAGGAGGGCTGCTTTAGTGATGCCAGTGCAGTACAAGTAGAGCTAGATGAGCTCAACAACTTTGAGCCTGGCAATCCTAATACCACAGATCAGGCTGAAGTGGTTTTTGCTGTTGACAGTTTGGTTGTGTCTAGCACTGATGAAGTGGATGCAAATATCCAAACTGCAGTAGTTTCCAGTGAGATGGTAGATGAAGAATTTTCCAAAAGTGTAGCTGAGAACAAAGAAGGTTTTGAGGTTGGAGAACCAGCCACCGAGACAGGAGATGCAGAACTCTTTGTATCTCATGAAGATCATAAGTTAGAAGTTTACAACGGTCTTGGTGGTAGACTGGAAGAAGACAGCAATGCAGATGTTGACTATAGAACTGAAGAGCCAGACAACAATGTAGTGGATAACACAGAGTTTGATGTTGGCACAGTCAGTGTTACTGAACTCAACAGCAGAACAGAGTTTAAAAATAGTGTTGAGATGGCTAATGTAGAGGTTTCAAGTGAGCTTCATCCTGAGGGAGAGTTGGAAGTGACTAGGATGGATTGCATAACTGAAGAGACAGCTGAGGATGATCTTTGTGCAGCCGGAGCTATGAAAGATTGTGCTAATGTTACCACTGAGACAGCAAGCCTAGATAAAGAGGTAGTTAATTGTGCAAGTCCTGCATTTATGGCCTCTGCTGTTGTAAGTGAGGAAGTATTTAGTAATGTGCAGGAGATGGGTCACACAGAGGCTGATCAGTTGGTAGTTGCAGATGAAATAGTTGCCCAGTGTACTGATATCACTGGTATACTAGATCTTGAAGAGAATGTGGATGATTCAGGAATTACCACTGTGGAGGAGGATCATGGAAAAGAAAATGAAGCCCATGAGGGTGCAGAGGTTATTAGTGACATAGCAATGGCTGATGATACAGAGGAGCCACAAGATGTTGAGGTTGCTGATCAATTTGAGGTCAGCAGTACAGAAACTGAAACCTCCTACCACAAGGATCACAGACAGGATCTTGAACCTATGGATCAGGTAGATATTAAAGATGACAATGATGACAGCAGTGGCACCAAAGCCCAGGACTCGACTGTAGCTCTTGAGAGTGGACCCAGACTTAAAAAGGAAGAGGAAGAAAAAACTCTACATGACAAAGACATGTGTGCTAGAGAGATACTGGAGCTGCAGGAGATAGCAGTGCAGTTCAAAGACCAGAGCAGCTTGCTGGAGGTTCTACAGGACCAGTACAGCAATGCTGTGGAGCAAAACCTTTCATTGCAAGAGCAGCTAGCCCAGCTGCAGCAGCACACCAATGAACTGGACTTGCTTTTGGACCTGAACAGGGGGAAGCTAGAAGAGAGCCATGAGCTCAGGGTGGAGCTAATCACTATGGCAGCCCAGGCCAAAGAACTGGAAATCAAAGAGCTGGAGCTTGCTGAACTTCAAAGGAGCTACGAGGAGTGTGTTTGTGAGAACATGCATTTAGCAGACCGCAACAGGAAGCTGGAGAAGAGGGTGCAGACCCTGGAGAGCAAGATGCACGTTGTCCAGGAGTTCCACGAGCAACAGACGTGCTTGCTGGAAGAGATTGCAAGGATGCGTGAGGAGAATGCAAAGCTGAGTACGGCAGTGCAGGAATTGGAAAAGCAGGATGAGACGATCCTGGCACTGCAGCAGGATGCCGAATCTTCGGACTCATCAGATGACTCCTTCTTGGACTTCAACGCCCGACTGGAGGCGAAGATCACTGCAATGTCGGAGCTGGAAGACTGCTGCTCAGAGTTTGAGAAACAAAACTCACGCCTACGCTTGGCGCTTACTCAACTGCAGGAGAAGTCCTTTAGGATCCACGAGAGGATGCAGGACCATAGGTACCGTAAAATGGCCATCAGTGGTCATCTGTGCCTGTAGGAGATCCTGCTTTCTCACCTGATGCCTGCTACTACTGCTACTAGCTGTTCTGTGCTTGTTCTGCTGTGCACCACTACCACCACAGAAGTAGTTTCTCCCGCCCACTGACACCCCTTGGATGCTAGGTCTGCATGGCTGGAAAAAGCCAATAGAACTGTATTGCAGCTTCATCAGTCTATGTTGTATTTAGGTGTTTCCTAGTCCAGTCCTCTGTGACCCCCAGACAGTTCAACTTTTTGGTTTATCCTAGCTCTCAACGCACTTGAAGTGTAATTCAAGTATTCAAAACTGAGTTACCTGATAGAGGTGTGCTGGGAGCTGGGATAAAGGCGAATATGTGAACCGTCTGGGAGAACTGTTAGGAAATTCTGCTGTAGTTCAAGTGCTGTATAGTTTTGTGTATGTGTGTATAATGCTGGAATTGTTCTTATGACTTGCTGTAGCCCACTGCTGTAAGCGCATGTGGTGCATGTCATACATCTAATTCTTTGGTCATACTGCATGGAGTCTCATTGCAGTAACTTTTTCCATCGGCTGAAATCTTTAACTTCACAAAACCTTTTAACTTCACAAGACTCTTAACAAAACATTCTATTTGAACAGAAATATCTGAACCTAAGAACACTGTTAAAGGAGTATTTCACATGTGGTCATGCATGAAATTCTACCATGGCTCACAGTGAATAAAAACTGCTTGGGACCATTTGGCATGATTTTATTCATGTTTAACATCTATGTTTCTTTAATTCTTAACAGCATTACAATTTTTGCATGAAGTATTCCTAGCATTCCTATCACTGATACTGACGTGTGCTCTCTGTAGGAGTGAAGCCGGGCGACTGGCTGAGGAAAATCTTATATTGAGGCAAAAGATCTCTGCGCTGAAGGAAGAGGACCTAAGGGAAAACCAGCGTGAGCTGTTGTAAGGAGGGGCGACTTTGCTCAACACATGCAGTACAAATGTCTAAGGTTAAAATCCTGTTAGTTTAAACCACTTATTATAAATCCCTCTGTGCAGACTTCAGGTAGAACACTTCCGGAAGGAGAGGAATGCTGCTCAGAAGGTGGCAGATGGTCTGAAGAGGCAGGTAAGTCTGCAGAAATAGGAGCTGGTTCTCCATTACAGTCATGTATAGATTGTTCTTCCAACTTTTGTCTTCATAGAAGTGAACTGTGAATGGTTCCATGCAGTTACACTCCTATACTCTTCCTGTTCAGATTTCAGAGCTGCGTCGTCGTGGGCAGCAGCTGGAGGAGGAGAACAATGCTTTGTCACAGCAGAACGTGAAACATGCACTCAGTGTTGACACCCTTCAGCACACGCTTGAGGAGGTGATTCGCCAACATGGCAGTGGTTCATCCAATGAGAGGAAAGAGGTGAGGGCTAAGAGATTAAAGATTATATTGCTGGGGCTGGGTGGGAAGAAACCAACACCTTTATCTGCATTACACTGTTTACATGCACACCAATGGTTCAGGATCAGTCTAAGACTATAACTAACTACTATATGATCATATAAACAGCATGGTTTGATTGTCATGGACTAAGGTCTTAGTTAGCCTAAGCTTAGCCCAGTTAAAACGTGGCCCAGGCCACTGTTGCCTGGGCTATTCAAGATTGATTTGAATGTGTAAACTAGGAATTTGCTTTCTGACTAATTTTGATATTCGAGGATCCTTAATCTCTGCTTTCTTAGCCACACGTTTAACGTGTCCTTGGCAACGTGCTCACCTGTGCAGTTTTGCAGAGAGAGAGAAGAGAGAAGAGACATCCCTCATGTTAAACATTTTGTCAGAAATAGAAGGAGAAATAGGAACTCGTGCATAAACTTAGATGCGTAATGAAGGGGATATTTCTCATAATGACTAACGGACGGTAAATGGCCTCATCTTTTATACAACTATAGGAAATGTCTTGTTTCAGTCCAGTTTCTTAGACTTACTAAGAACATAGTTGGACAGTTGCATGTAAATGTTGTTAACAGGGAGTCAGAGAGTACCTGGCTCCCCATATTCAAAGGCATATTAAAGCATTAGACACAAAATATTGAAAGATAATAATATTGAAGACAATAAGAATGATAATAAATACTACAAAGCAAGATTTGTTTTTGCCTTTTAGCCTTATTTTAATTTTCTTTGATTTGTCCCTAAATACACCATGATCCCCAGCTGGAGAATGGTGAGGATTTTGCAGTACCTGTTAACAGAACAGAGAAGTTGGATGAGGAGAAGGAGCTACTGAGAGCAGAACTTAACCGCTGTGTGGAAAAGGTACAGTTCTTTTAGGCCATACACAATACTCTCATGTAATTGTAGATAATATTGTAGATGTTAGACCTCTTTAATGTTTGGATCTGTGTGTTTTTTGTGTAGATGACTCGGCTTCGTTCAGTAGAAACCCAGCTTGCTCAACTCTTGAATGAGAGACAGACAGCAGACAAACACAACCAGGCTCTACGTGCACAGCTAATAAAGGCACAGGAGAAGGTAAAGATAAAAAATGCACATTGTCTTCTGTATCATTTTATCCACAATTCTTGTGGAGCTGTTGAATTCTGTGCTGAAAAAAATCTGGCTCTCTTTCAGGTACAGGCACTAGACTCTACACTGCAGGGGCTGACTCAGCAAAATGCTCGGCTCAAATCTGACCTGCGTATCACACAGCAGGAGCGAGATGCTCTGAAACAGGAAGTGATCTCACTGCACAAACAGCTGCAGAATGCCAATGAGAAGGTAGAGTTAATGAAACCTCAAATTGAGTTAAATTAACACAAAAGAAAATTTATTCCTGCACTAACCTGTAAAACAGAAATTTTCCTGCTTTATGTAGTATATAATTTTATGTGTATAATATTATATACTGTTGATTTGGAAACATGCCATGGCAGGAATTGATATCTTCCTCTGTAGGAAACCTTGATGTTTCTGCTCAGATTTGTTAGTTGTGCATGTTTGCTTATACAATTCTAGTCTCACTTGGTAAGTTTTCTTGGTACAACTCATTAAACTTTTGCCACTGGACTGCAGAAAAATCTGCCCCTAACAAGGGAGACACTAAAGCACACCCCCAGATTCCTCCAGTCCATGGCTCCTTCAACTTCCTGAGTACAATCAGTAATCCAGGCAAAACAAGCTAGTTACCAAGAAGCTGTCTTAGGTAATGGAATTGTTTTATTGTAATATGTCCTCTGCACATGCGTCACACATCTACATGCTTATTTGGAGTTTTTGAGGGGTCTTTTCAGTCGTGCTAACTTGCATTACATACATGAGCTACAACAGTTGTGTTGTCCGTCGCGGAAGAGCACGATTGCCCTCTGCTTTGATCTCTACCATCTTATACTCTGTTTGTTCTCAGTCACATAATTCTGTGGTTCAACCCACATTCAGTCCAAAATTTCTTGTCGTTGTCCCCAGACATTCTCGTTACCAGATCATGTCTGGCCCAACTATTAACAACTATTATGAAGATGTTAATTGTATTGTGGGACAAACTGGGGTCACTTTCACATATTGTTCTATTTGTCTTGTTTCATACTTTTTTGGCTCTCTTGATGTATTGATCAGTCAACGCGGTTAGCGCTTTCCTCCAAACACGTTCAGCAGTGCAAGGATATTACGTTACCGGCAATTCGACCAGATGCAGTGGCTGGCTTCACATGACTCTGAGGAAGCTTGTGTTTGCCTTTGGACACCTAGTGCTGGTGGTATCATGTGATTTGGGAAGTCTTAACTAGTAGGTGGAATTAGATACAACTAAATTTGGGAGAGAATTGGAAAAAGAAAAAAACAAGTAAGCTCTCATTTCCACCACATTTTGTAACAGTATTTTTTCAAACTTACTGTTGTCCTCCGCAGTGTCGGCTGGTGGAGATGTCTATATCGAGTGTCCCAGGTGGTTCACAGCAGGGGAAGCGTGTGTGGACGGAGCTTTCTGGACTGATGGAGGCAGAGCTGACTTTGCTGCGTGAAGAAAATCAGAGGCTTCAGCGTGAGATCAACGATGCACGACTAGAGATGAACTCTGCACGGGAGAAGGTCTGAGAGACAACATGCTTTGATGCACAAAGCTAATTTGTTGCAGTTTTCGTCAATATGTTAATTGTTTTTGATGTTGCTCAGGGCCGCCAGTTAGAGGCACTTGTGTTGAGCGTGAAACAGCAGAAGCAGCAGAACCATGCGAGTCTGGCTAAGGCAGCAGAGCAAGAGAGATCAGCCCTTAAGCGTGAGATAGAGGCTCTGCACACACAGCTACGCAACAAGGTAATGTATTGTATCTACTGTATGCACAAAAATTGTACAAAATGTATACTGTTGCAGTCTTACTGTAAAACCTTTTTACTATATGTTGTGTATCCAGTGAAATGAAGTATATCTGTGGCCCTTGATTAAGAGTGTGTGTGTGTGTGTGTGTGTGTGTGTGTGTGTGTGTGTGTGTGTGCGCACAGATATGTGACAGCAACGAGGAGCAAAGAGAAATGGAGAGTCTTCAGGAGGAGAATGAAAGGCTCAGAAACAAACAGACAATACTGGAGGCCCAGCTGATGGAGGTCTCTACACACATGCACATGGACCCTTAGTCGTAGTTATTGCCGGCAATAATAAAAGCATATTGTAACTTCACATTAATCATCGCTCACTCATAGTTTGTTGCAACAAGAGGTGAAATTCTGTTGAAAGTGGGTCTAAATGTTCAGTTAGTATTTCACATTTGTGCTTAAGAGGAGATATTTGATTATGATTTGAATATCATGAAAAAAATCCTCGTCCATATCTTATTTTGTTTTGCTGGAAAAAAAGCATCCTTTACATTTTTGCCATGTTTTAGGCCTGTCATGAAATTTTAGCTGATGATTAGTTGCCATTATAAATAATTGCAAGACAGTTGAAAATGAAAGACAACTGCAATGAAGTACAAATTATACAGTAATAACACTTCCAAGAGTTAAACACAAACCTCTAGGCCTTGACACACATCTCATAGACAAACACCCACCCACTGCTCTCTTTGTCTGCAGGCTCAACTTATTGCAATGTTGCCACCATCACCACTGCGATTGTCAGGAGAACGGAGGGGACAGCGCCACGGTGATGAGATGAACCCAGACGTCAGTGTGCAGGTAAGAGTGTATATTTTCTGTGCTGTATATTTTCTTGGTGTGAAACACTCTCAGTCTCTTCTCCTCCACTCTTGGATGCACTCTGCTGTTGTGTGTGAACACGTGCATTGGGTTCTTGGGAGTTGTTTGGACAGAGCACCTCTTGGGGTTTGCAGTTACAGCTCATATTTCATCTGTAACTCCAAGACATATACAGACATGTACATACTACATATGTACTCCAATTAAACTAGGTATGCATTAAGACACAGTAGATGTGTGTTTGATCTACATAATGCAACGGGATCTCTACACTTTTGTTAATCACACAACTTCTCACAACATTGCAATGCATTTCCTGTCTACTGTCATCTGTTCTGTCCCAAACCACAAATGTCATATTCCATAATAAGTAGTCAAATGTGTATAAATGTCTCCTTACTCTAAGTCTTTGTGTCTCAACATGTTTGGTGTCTGAAATGTATTGCTTTTGGTTTGCACGCAGCTGCAAGGCTAATGTAGCTAACAAGTAATGGATACTAATACCCCACCAGTTAATGCTGTGCAAACTAGTGTTGCGCCGATACTGTATTGGTATCGTCCCCAATACTGCCAGTTAAATATGGTATCAGTTTCAGCAAGAGATGATACCGTAAAGCAATTTCTGATGCATGTGCACTCTACTGAGTGATTCTTGTATGTGCGCTAATAGATGGAGCGTAACTGAATCAATCAGTGTATCAGCAGGGTGGGATTATATGCTTGAGACAAGCAATAGTAAAAATGCTCATTGTAAAATCTGTAACACCCGTATTTCAAAGGTTGGCGTGACCTGCAAAGTGTTCAATACATCAAATGTAATTTAAATATTTAAAGATAAACCATAAAAAAAAATCAAGATAAACAATGAAAACGGCACAATCACTTTTCGTAGCTCTGAAACCATTCAAATGTGAAGTTATTTAACCAGTAAATGGCATTTATTAATTCTTAGTATGTTTTATTTGTGAAATAAAACATTTTCTTTTTCCGAAATAAAATGAAAGTGGAATGGTGCAAATCTCAGGATTTATGAGCACTCATCAGGTAGTTAGGATCAGTACTCTTACTTCATACTCATGCTTCAATATCAGGTATCTGTATCTGAAGACAAAAACGTATTGAAGCAAGCTGGTGCTCAATGTCTAAATCGTAAACTTCACTTAAGCCAGAGCATATTTTAGTTATCTCACATAGACTTGCTAATGTGGTTTCAGATACTGCTTGGCTCAGTTGTCTATAAACATGGTCAAAATATAGAGATGGCATGACCACTTTTTTTTTTCCTCTTATGATACTGATACTAATACTGGAACCTTGAGTATCAACCAATATTATGCCTATATTTTTTCAAAACTATTTTAGAATGAGCCATTAAGTAGTAGCATCTAAAAGTAGGCTTCAATGCTCAAATTACTCAAACGTGCTACTACCCCACAGGAAGAAATACACAGCTAACCTCATATTACACAATGTGAATGTGTGCTGTTTCAGGGTAGATTTGTTACAGGATCAGATTTGTTCCTTATTTTTTCCTCTATCCGATATCTGATTCAGTATTTTCTTTTGATGTTGATACCTGGTGTTGCCATCTCTAAAAGTAAAAATTCAGGCTATGCATGTTAATATAACATCACTCAATCCAGTTTCTACAGTTTATTAAGTTGGAACAGACAAAAAACACCACGGGACTAATTATGCTCTCTTTGCAACGAACAGGCCATTGTTTAGTCGTCTTTAATTGCAGATGATATTCACATTATGCTCAGAAAATCATATGATATAATTTATCATGAAATCCATAAGTAGCTTTATTAACCTTGTAACTCCAGTGCAAAAGTAAACCAGTAAATATCCTAAACATGCCCTGGTTGATCGACTGCATTTGGGGCAGGACAGAAAGAGAGAGTATTTGAATCTCTAGTAGACGAACAAAGATGCAGGAGTTTGTCTCATTGACTGCTTTAGGATGAGGCCTCTGTGCAGGTGTTGGCAGTTGAGTGAGTGTATACAGGTGTGTGTGAATATAGTGCTGTATGTTCTTTCTGCAGATGATCCCAGAGCAGCGGCCTCATCTCTTCGACAGCCACCGGAGAAGTGGTGGCTTATGAAATCACCAGCCTATCATCTCTAACTTCTAACAATGTGCTCTCCGATCACTGAACACTTCCTCTCCTCTCTTAGCCAATCGGATGCATTCTTTGTTTGCTCTGTACTGATGCCAGCAGTTATTTCATCCTCAAGTGGAGCTTAGGTTAAAGATTTCTCTCTCAGCTGCAAAGCTACAAAGCTGGAAACAGGGAAGGTGTAATGACCTGATCTTGCCACTGGGTGGCAATGAGTCATATTGAGTGGTCTTGTAGCCTAAAGAATCCTGTGGGCCAGAGAGCCTTCTGACATGGACTTAGGGCGCATGTGTGCACGTTCTACTTTAAATTTATGATACATTATGCATATATGTTATGCATATGATCATATGTTTCAGTGACTACAGGGTAGGTTGAAAAGTCCAGTGAAGTAATTGCAATTTTTAAAGCAAAAGCATGAAATGCTCATACTGTTTGCGCTGTTGAGATGCCATGCTGCAAACTGACCAATACGAGGTGAAGTTTTTTTTTAATTGGTTATGAGGGTGTTTGCTTGTGGAAATGTATTCACACTCCAAGACACAAGTTTAAATCCTGAGAACTTGAAGATTCATGTTGTCCCCTGTTGTTCAGAGATATCTTTTGTATTTATTTTTTTTTCCGAGGGTGGTTTTGTTGAAGTCATGGAATATTTGTGACTAGTAGCTCAGTTTGTTGCACTACTTTCATCTGTGTGTACGTGTTTGTGAAATTGTGTATGTTAAGTATTTATCAAGTGTTGTTAGGAGCAGCCTGTCTATAGTGATTTATACTGATCATGGTGTCATCTTCTGTCCTGCCCTTTTTAGAAGTCCTACTACATGTGTACTTGAGCTTAGTTTTAATTTAATAATGGAGAAATAGATATTTAGACAGAAACTTTTGAACTTTATTTATTTATTTATTTGTTTCTGTGATTTGAGTTTATTTTTATATTTTATTTATTTATTTGTTGACCTTTTTATCTGTTCTATTTATTTTGTTGTGTTTTGTTTCTTCTTGACCTGAAAGTATTAACAATTTTGTGTAACTGAGACCAAATAAAGAATCGGGGTAAATTCATAATTGTTTGTGTTTATTTAACTCTTCATATCTTTCGGATGTAAGAAATATGTTATAATGTCTTTATGTTGTAATATCTACTGTAGTTGTATCTACTACTAGAGTATCTCTGAGGATTTTGGCACCCTTTTGACTGATTGGCCTACACATTATTACACAGTAGTTGCAGATTTAAGTTTTGTTGCATGTGTGCATTAAAGCAGTGCTCTGAATAAAACCTCTAACCTGTTCACCTACAGGAGGAGCGAGAAGCGGCCTTGCTGCAGATGGAGGAGAGGATGAAGGAGGTGGAGCTCACCCTTCGAAATGTCAAACTGTTGCTGCAAGAGAAGGTTGCCCAGCTGAAGGAACAGGTACATCCAAATGCACAAACACACACAGATACCCTCATATACATTATTTACCGTCCAGTAAATGTTAATGTGAATGTGGTTTGTCTTCTCTCTAGTTGCATAAGAACAGTAAGGCGGACGTGCTGATAAAGGATCTGTATGTGGAGAATGCTCAGCTGTTGAAGGCTCTGGAAATGAGCGAGCAGAGGCAAAAGGTGGCAGAAAAGAAGAACTACCTCCTGGAGGAAAAAATCTCCAGCCTCAACAAGATCGTTCGTGAGCTCAATCCCTCTCCGCTGACACCCGTGCCCTACCACTTCACCCGCTCATGATAATCCAGTCTGCATTTCATCTGTTCGTTATTTACTTATTTTTATTTTTATTTATTTTATTTAAGGGGCCATTAAGAAGTTACACTTGAGTCCACCATTTTTGCTGAAGAATAGGGCTGAGCATTCCAGAAATTTGAGTCAACTCCAAGATTCAAAGTGACAGGAACTGATGGAATCGATTCCACACAATAATCTTGATTTCAAAAACCAGTACAACATTATTTATATTTGCAAGGAAATTAGAAGAGCTAAATTAACTTGGCTTATTAACAGGAGCTGGCTAAACAGTACCTGATTCTCCTTTGTCAACATCCAAGTTGGTAGACGTTTTGGCACTGGCAGTGTTGCTTGATTGTAATCCAAATTTTCAACACTAATATTACATAATACTTTGTTTTCCACAGTAAAATACAGTTGGGCTATTGATGTTTGTGCTATGGAAGAAAGTTGTTTTTCCAGACAGACTGTCTAGTGAGTAACAGCATGCTGATGCAGACTTGAACATCATTATGTAGAATCGAGTCCAAAACTTGTTGTTGACTCACTTCCTAAATGCCTGGAATTGAGGAATCCATTCTTTTTGGGATCGACTCCCAGCCCTTCTGAACAATAAAAACAAATCAGTTAAGGAGGGTAAATGGACATTTAAAACATCATCAGAAGGGGACAACTTACACATTAAATCCAGTTCCTCTTTATGTACTCCATTTCTGTGAAAGTGCCAGAAAGACACCAGAACTTGCTAGAGATGCACAGGAAGAACAAAATCTGTGAAACCATTCCTAACTACACAGGTCTTCTTTTGTGCTTCCTCAAATTCAGTATGATGTATCACATCTGAGTGCAAACCAGCAGTATAGGATGAAGCAAAACAGTTTATACTAATATAAAATTACTATTAATAATTATTTAAAATCACTGTATCTCATCATTTCAGTTACCTATGTATTTGCACTGTGACTTGGAAATTGTAAGCATGTAATACTCCTGTCCTACTGTGTGCACCTGTTCATGTTTAGTATGAATGAATTAGGCTGTGCTGATTTAATGATAAGTTTTAGGATGGAAGACTTTGATGGGACATGGGGCTCAGCCTGACTTTGGATTGCAGTCTGAAACATCCTAATGTCAAAGTGCACTTTACTCTGTCCAGCAGCAGTGTTTCTTTTGATTGTAATGGACTACGTTTGAAACCCGCCTCTCTGGTTGGGGTGAAACTGAAGGCACTAAGTGAAGCACAACATGTATTAAAAATTGAATTTTGTTTAAATGTTTTAGGTTTTTAGCCCTGTATAGCTGCATGTGTATGTTGAAATATTACTGTAAGGTATTTTTTCATGTTAAGAACTTGTATTTTTTTTTAATGGTTATGTATCTGAAGAACAGACTGAGATTGTTTGTAACATTTATTGACCAGCATTTGTGTCATGTAAAGGGAGCAGGTTTGGCCACACACAAACAAAGGGAGCAGTGAATGCATCACCTTCAGGAACAGAAAAGGGGCATGAAGTGGGAAATGTGACTGCTCCACAGTGTTTGAGGTGTTCTCAACAGAACCAAAGAGATTTTTTCCCTGTTGCCACTGGCCATCAAGAGCTGCTTTTGCCCAGCAAGTGAACTGACACTGTAATGGCCAATCAGTGTTTTTGTGAGACTGTGAGAAGCAGTAAACAAATAGTTTTAGAAAATGGGATGTTCGAGTGGTCATTTTGTATTTGTCAATGTGGAAGTTTCCTGATGTAGTTGCATGCGCCTGTCCCTGCCACATAAACAGATGTACAAACCAGGGCCACGTTCAGTAGGATTTCATGTGCAGGTGTTGTGTAAATGATGTGAGGCTTTTTAATCACAATTTTTACTACATTTGCTCGTTTAGTGGGTGTAAATGTATACAAAGTATCTATTCAGAACTTGGGTCAGTTTAAGTAACTAAGCTCATTAGCTAACTTAGGTTTGTTTGATTTAAGACATTTTGGAGTCTAATTCCCAGTTTAAGTGATTGGAATCAATAGACTTGATTCTACACAATTGTTTTCTCGATGCAAAAAAAACATACACTCTTTAGTAAAGAGTATAGTTCTGTTTAGAACCATGAGTGAAATGGTTTTTCAGATTGAAGGTTGTGTATGTTTCTATATAACACCACAAAAAGTTATGCTATTGTTACAAGCTTGACATTGTACCAATAGAAGAACACTTTTTGGTATAGAACCATAAACAACATGTACTCCATTAATCTGAAGAACCATTTCACCATGCAAAAAATCATTTAAGTGCATCATGGTTCTAAATAGAACTCATACCCTTTACTAAAGAACCCTTGAAGAACCATCTTTTTTAAGAGTGTAGGGAAGGACATTTGCCAACATACAAATATATTTACATAATACACTATTGCGATTCATATGAATGACAAGGGATCTAAACATATGAGCTTCTACTTAAGTTCTTCAGGCACACAAGATGTCAGTTCAGATATGACCTATGTGACCTTAGCAGGACACTTTGGAGAGCTAATGCTAGCCGAATTAATTTCACTTCAAGAGGTTAGCTAAACTGTACCTGATTTTCTTCTGTCTGAGGGTGAGTAGGTGTTTCAGCCCTGGTAAAGCTGATTGTAACTTTTCTTTGTTACAAGTTGTCCATTTTAGTTGGTTTTACTCATTGTCCGAAGCAAAATACACATAGTGTGTTAAGGAAGGGCTGCGGAGTCTCTCACTCCGTGTAAGAGCGGGTGCGAGCAAACCTGTGTGGAGTCGAGTCCAAAGCTTTGGAGTCGACTCTGGATTCCCAAATACATGGATTCGGAGTATCGACTCTCCGGAGTCGATTCCAAGCCGTAGAACCCCATATTACCGAAACGGCTAAACTGTTTTTCAATTAATGTGTTGGTAGTGCAGCAGCTTTTCCTCACATTTTGAGACCAGTCTAAGAAAGGGTAAACAGTTCCCGTTAACTTTCATGAACTTGATGAACTGAGCTTTCACGGGTAGAAGCCAAACTTAGAGTGACCATTCATTTCAAACTACTGCTGCACACATTTTACCATTTTATTCTGCGAGGGTAAATATATTTTTTAAATAAGCTTTCTCTTTTCATGTGAAAATGTTGAGGTTATTATGTCAGCTCTTCGAGAGCAGAGCTGAAGTTAGAGAAACAGTCCCTGAGCCCTGTACGCGTCAGTGCTCCCACAAAGCTTTGCGGAGCAGCCTGGGAGCGCTAATGTTAAGCTAGCTAATGATAGGGGCTGGGTACGGAGCAACAGGCTACACAAGTACTACGCAACTTTGACCACTGAACTCACTTAACAGCTCAGACTACTCATTTTCTCAGTGGAGAACGAACTACATGCGTGGAGAAACTGACGCACGTTATAAAATATCTTTTTCTGACTTTTTATTTTCAGTCAGTATTAAACTAGACAAACTTTGCGCCGAGCTAACAGGCTAATGGTCTGGTTTGTTTTTGTCTCGACGCGCAGCTAGCTGGCTAGGTCGCTATGAAATGCAGTACAGAGTAACTAGCCACATAACCACGGAGGTTTGTCCGTCGGTCGCTTTAAAATGACCGCTGTACTTTCAGTTGTCCACGAACGACACGGACGATATAGTTTCCAGGATGCCATCTCCGAAGAAGTTGTTTCGCTGCATTAATGTTTGGCACTACTGAGCGATGCTCTCAAGAAAGAAAAGTAAGAACGAAGCGTCCAAGCCAGCAGAGGTCCAAGGGAAGTATGTGAAGAAGGAGACGTCCCCGCTGCTGAGAAGTGAGTAAACGAAGAATAATTCACCGAAACTTTCGCACAAGCTGGGTTAAACTGAGATGAGTTTTATTTCACTGTTGTGAAACCACACTGAACACTTCGCTTAGACTTGTTCGTATTGGCAGAATTAAGGGACGAGAGAGATGCAGGAGACTTAATTACACAGCTTTAAACAGAAAAGATCAGATCATTTATTAGGAAAAAAATGTGTGTTATAGCTACTGTGATGTTAAAACCGCTTTCTGTTGTCTTGATGACTCATTGTACAAGAATTATAATATTAATTGGGGATGATGGTGAGTAATTTGTGTTATGTGATCTGTTGAGCCCTCAGTTAACCACCCACCCCAATGCCCATTCTTCCACAGACCTTATGCCCCCATTCATCCGACATGGCCCAACGATCCCTCGGCGAGTGGAGGTGCCTTTGCCAGATGCCCCTGCAGTACCTGGTGCAGGTGCAGGTGTGTACCCACTTGGCGCAGGATCAGAGGTGGGAGCACGAAAGAGTTTTCTCCGTAACGCAGTTCCCCGGCTGCCGCATGAGGTCTCCCGCCGAGATAGCCACCGTCTGTCTGCCCCACCTTATCTTCCTCGCTCTCTCTCGGATCTCCCACATGACTACTCCTCATCCTCACCCTCCTTCATCAGTGACGGTGGGCAAATAACAGAGAATGGAGATGCAGGCCGGTACTACTATGCCCCCGAGGCATACTATGAAAGTCAGCCTCGGCGCACGCGCAGGCCTGATCACTTCCACGATGACTACAGATACTACGAGCACAGCGAACTCAACTACCGAGCACCTCCACAGTCCCAGACACCCCAGCCCCACAGTAGACCTCCTGCAGGTGAGTACACTAGCTTTACCCAACACACTGTAGTCCAGTATGACTGATAGGATAGCAGCTGAAGGAAGATAGTAATTAGGGGACACACAGACACATTACTGCAGGGGTGCCCAGCTCCAGTTCTGTGGTTGCTCACCAGAATTCTATATGTACCAGATCGTCAAATAGTCAATATGTCTTCATTCTGTTCAGGCGCCTGTCAGAAGATATGCCCACAACATGCAAAAGGAAAACATAGAAGCCCAGAGAATACTTATTGTTGTTTTTCCTTGCTATATTAAAACCACATAGAGTTGTCTGTGCCATTTTCAGTTGTGTGTGTGTTCATTTTTGCTGCCAAGTTTGGCATTTTTTACCAGCGAGAAAGGTGAAAAAGGCCCAATTGTAAATACGACTTCATTGGCTGTTCAAGTGCAATTTCCAGCTCCGAAAATTGGTATTTCCCAGCTTCCGAAGCCAACTGAGCGTTGCATTTGTTCTAAATAATAGAGCCAAGTGTGTTGAAACCGAACTCTACAGAGAAATCCAGTATGTCTGCATTAGAGATCAGCTGGAAGTTCAGAAGGTTTTGAAGATAACTTGCTCATAAGGGTCAATCCGAAAGTCTACAATAGGTAGATATTTTTTATTCATGTTTAATGTGGGAATCACTAAACAACTTCCTGCAGACAGCTGGCTAGCTCAATGCAGTCATTTTGACAAATGACATATTACTGTGACCAAAACTAAAAGGCACTATGTCCTGTAATACAGAGTTGCTCCAATTTTTATGCTGGCAGTGTCGCTACCTCATGCCTGGGTCTGTTACTAATGTGGCATCAGAGCGAACGACTACTGTGAATATTACTACTTTGGTAATGTCCAACAGCAGCAAACCTACAGCAGTCTGTTCGGAGTAAAACTGTGATATATATAAAATAGTGATAACTATAAGTTGGTGAAACTTCAGATCTTGGGTCAGATGTATGTGCGTACGTGCAGCTGTATATCTTTCCTGTGTGTGTATGCCTGTGAGCATGGTTTGCCCTTTCTGACTTGGTTCCATAAATCATTATGCAGAAAGAGCGGGATGGAGAGAGGTACAGTTTTTTAGATGCATACAGTTGAAATTTAAGTATATAGTATGGCTATAATGGTAGAGTATGTGAGGAGAGGTCAGTCCTCTGACTATTTTGACAGTAATGTTGGTATTGGTACAACTGAATAGTGATCTGTGCTGTGTATAATAGGTGTGTATGTCAGAAGGTGTTGTCATTGAGATGAGTTCAAATGTTTGTGTGTAAAAATGTGAAATGTTCTGTTGTACTTTAGTCTCCACCCAGAGATGAATAACTGACATGCCAAAAGTCATCAGCTCTGCTGCTATAAATACACGCTATACTTATCCACCTCTCTCTCCCTTTCTCTATCCCTGTCATGAAATTGTGAAGGAAAAAAAAATACTCTAGACTTTTTTTTTTTAACTTTCTTTCTCTCCTTCAGCATGCTTGAGGTGCCCCATTCTATGTTGTATTTCTTCAAGTTTTAACTGACCCACATCTATGGTCCTCACCATTTAACTCCTTGTATTTCAGGCAGAGATCAGCTGAACTGTCCTGGCAATCTACTGAACATTTACTCTTTATCAAACCCTTCAAAATTGTGTTGTGTTGTGCAGTAGTGAGTAGTGACAACATCATCCTGTACAGGGTGGAGGGTCTGTGGAGTTAAAACCCATGAGATAAAACATCTTAGAAACAGTGTGATGTTAAAGCACCACTCTCTGTAAAACTGAACATTTTCCAACTCTCACTAGCATAAAAAGAGAAAAGATATTTTGCCATTTAACTGTGATGCATCAGTCCAACATACCGAATCGGTATCAGCACTGATGTTAACCTTTTGAAAAGTACTGACTGTTGGCCAGATATGACCGATCCACATCCATTGTTTTTTTATGATATTTCATGGTAGACATAAAATTGAAACAGTGTAACTTTATAAACCTTCAAGTAAAATATTATTGAAACCTTTGCACAATCCTAAAAAGAATATTGGTGCTTGGTGATGCAGTACATTAGCGTCTGCTGAATATTTATGTTTGTTAGTACAAAGCATGAGTGCCCTAATAGAGCCCTAGTATCTGAAAAAGTTGGATTGGAGCATCTCTACTATTTGGACTGTTATCTTTGATGATGTCATTGTGAGAGACATCCTAACTGACATTAAGTGTGAAACATTCCAAGAACACAAGTTCTCATGTCGTTGTGCAGCTGTGTCCAGATGTGCTAGCCCTGACCTGAATTTGATATTCTGTTCCCTCTCCACATTTCAGTCTTTAGAAATAAAGATGGTTAAGATTTGTTTAGGAGTTGAGGAGTGTAGGACAGTTTTTGATGAACTACTGTCAAGGGGTGGGCTAACACACACACTCTCACCTACATGTCATTTGTACTCCTAGTGTGAGTTTTGTTCTTTGTCCCGACAGTAACGTGTGTATAACTTTTAGAGCAACTTTTTTTACCTGCTCAGGTATTTGCATTTACACAGTCGTGCCCTTGTGCATTGGGGTTACTGTAAACCCCACTAAGCGAGAAGCAGTCGTCTGTAAAATACAGAAGAGCTACAGCTCTATTAGACTATTCCTGTTACATTATAAAGTTTAGAGTTGTGCATGTGCAAGAGAGTGTGTGGTTAATACTGCACTTGTGTTTAGTATTGTTCAGTACAATAGCATTTGTTTTCTATAAATGGTAACTCTAGATTTGAGGGTTAAGCAGCTGCTACAGCCAGTCTCCACTGCCACATCTTTCTTTAGTTCCTCGTGGATTGGAATTAGCCGCAAATGGTTCCAAATACTGAGGAAAGAGAATAGGATTTAACTGCTATGTGTCTGGGTGTTAGAGAAAGAAAGAATGTTGTACTTTTGCAGTAGGAGGAGGAGAGGAGTGAATCTGCGCATGGTTTTCTTCACATTCCAGCCCTGCCTAAGACACACACACACACTTACACATACTCACACAAATATGCTCATTGACTTACACTCGGCTGTCTCACTCAGCTGCAGAATTTACCATCATTAGAAGAAGATATTTCAGAGTAAGGGCCACTGAAATCACATTTTTGTCCCATGTTCTTTTTTTCTTGCTGTGTCTGTACAGTGTGTTTCACCACCTCACACTGATCGAGTGTGCAGTAGTGATAGTAATTCACAAGGTTTGGGCAGGATTCCCTCAGCTGACTATAAGCTGACACATACACTCCCAGTCTCTCCCCATCTCTTTCTCTTTTTCTTTCTTTTTCTTTCTGTCTTTTTCTCTTTATATCAGAATGATGAGAACATTCTTTCTCAGAAATGGCACTGACTCCCAGTGGATATGGACACACACACATTTTTTCCCTCTCACTCGCTCACTTACTCACAATATTGTCCCCATGGAGAAAGCTACAGTATCCCAAAACAACCCAAAATGCAGCAAACATCAGCAGATGTTAAAATTGACTGCAGTTGTAGCTCTGCTGTAGCCAAAATAGTCATAGTTGATGACACTCAAATATCCAGACATTTTTACTAAGGCACAATGACAAGAAAGAAAGAAAAGGAGAGTGCCACATTCTTGACAGTGTACAAATTTTAAAGAGAGGTTTAGAACAATATGTTTTGTTGTATTTTTTTCCTTACTGCTTTTTCAAATTGTTCAGTGTTTAATGTAAAGTCTCTGCAAATCATACCTCTGGAAATGAGAGCCAAGTTCAGAAGATATTGAGCTGTTTTCTTCTTTATTTATATAAAATTAGAGTTTTCTTTATTTCTGTAAAATTACTTTAGAAGCATGTGGGGAAGTGTTAACTTCAGTTGTAGTATTAAGCACCAGTAGTACAGTATTTACCATTTTTTTTCTCTTTCTTTCTCCCTCCTTTCTCTCAAAATAAAAAATGCTGAGCATGACAATAGATAGATAGATATACTGACAGCATTTGTAACTCATTAACGCGCATCTCTACTCATATTGCACTGCAGATATTACGTTTTTGTTATATGTATTTTTGTTTTGTGTAGCTATTGGACGCATGCAGGCAAAGTCTCTTGGTAATCTTACGAGTTTGAGTGGCGAGGAGACGCCCCTTCCACCTGGCTGGACAGTTGACTGGACAATCCGAGGCCGGAAGTATTACATCGATCACAACACAAACACCACTCATTGGAGCCACCCACTAGAGAGGGAGGGCCTTCCACCTGGCTGGGAGAGGGTGGAGTCAGCAGAGTTTGGAGTTTATTATGTTGACCATATCAACAAACGTGCTCAATACAGGCACCCCTGTGCTCCCAGGTTTGTGTGTGTGTGTGTGTGTGTGTGTATGTATGTATGGGCAGGCGGGTGAGTTGTCTCCTACTCGCCAGTCTGGCGCCTGTGTGGAAGTGTTGTGTGTTTAAGGATGTAAAAGTTCTAGGTTGCAGCATCGCACTGTCGCTGTCCAAAGAAAAACAAGTATCTCCACAATAGTAACTGTACAGGAGAAGGCAAAACATTGTTTTCAGTGTAAGTTTATGTAAAGAGATTTTATTCCAAACAATTTTGGACCATTTGTGTTGGTCCGTCAATCATGAAAATGACACAATGTGAAGGACGTGCTGTGCTTGAATGGTGTAGAAAAGGAACAAATAGGAGAAAATAGAGGTCTATGTTTTTGTTTTGACACTGTTTTTCATATTATATGCATTTTATATATATATATATTGTGTGTGTGTGTGTGTGTGTGTGTGTGTGCGCATGCGTGCGTATAGATATAAATATATATAAAGATATCATGCTCATTCAAGGTTAGCATAGACTTCTTCAACCTCTAAGATTGGTATTGCTGGTATGCAAATAACTTGCAAAGATGAAAGGAGCTTTAATTACATTTTGTAGGCTTATAATACACTGCTGGCTCCTCTACCAACAGGAATGTGTATTCTGTTCCCTGAGCTCAGCCCACTAATTGCATAGGACACCTTTCAAGCTCTGCTAGGCCTTCAGATGCTTACATTATATTGCTTTAATTTTTACTTTAAAAGTAACACCAAATTTGGACCTTAGTGCTTCTGAAGAATGTTTTCTCCTCACTCTGATGTGTCTTATTCATTTTCCTTCTGTCCTGGCCCCCAGTGTCCCACGCTACGACCAGCCCCCACCCCTTCCACCACCCATCACTTACCAGCCACGCCCTCAAGAGCGGAATCAGCCAGTCCTGGTCCCTGCTAACCCTTACCACACTGCCGAGATACCAGACTGGCTGCAGGTCTATGCCAGAGCACCCCTAAAGTAAGTTTTATGTACACACACATCAAGTACTCTTACAGTAGTAGAACTGTACCCATTGATTCTTTCTGAAGGCCCCCCCAAAAGGCATTAAAAATAACGGTTTTCCAGACAGACACTTTCAGTGCTGTTTTCATAAATATCCTCTATTCTAGGTTAAAGCTAATAGTTCTCTTAAGGGAACCCAAACAGATATTTCATGATATTGCCTTAAAGCAAAACCAGCTGACAAGCTCTTTGATACTTACAAATTGGCCAATGGTAAGTTTAAAGGGAGTAGCACACTTCATGTAAGTGGTCTAATGGGAACAGTGCAGCAGCAGGGGGAGAGAGAGGTAAAAAGGGATTAATTTAATCTTACTAAAGAGGCCATAGAGTCATGGTGAGCTGGGTCATCACATTCTGATCTTGAAAGTCCCTCAGTTTTTTACCCAGAGTCCAATGCATGTCAAGCCATATCATGGTGTTCCTTTATTTCTTAACTCAGATATGACCACATCCTGAAGTGGGAGCTGTTCCAGCTGATGGATCTGGACACGTATCAGGGCATGCTGAAGCTATTGTTTATGAAGGAACTGGAACGCATCGTTAAATCATACGAAGCGTATCGCCAAGCACTGCTCACTGAACTCGATATACGCAAACAGCGCCAGCAGTGGTACGCTCAGCACACAACCAAAAACTTCCCTCAGAACATGTGAGCTGCAGCAGACAGCATCCCCTGACAACACGCACCCATCACCAAGCCTGATGACAATCTCTGCCTAAATGTGTGCCTTAGCAGCATATTATGTCCAGCTGCCAAACGTGATATACGCAGAAACACTTCACCGTACACTACATGCTTGGGCATACAGATATAGCATTGAGACTGTACAAGATTTAGAAGCAGAACCACACACAAATGAGAAGAATACTGTAAACCACAGCAACTTGCTTCTGCCTGTAACCATGCACAGATTTTAGCCATTTTATTGCTTCTGAATGATTGAGAGAGCAGCCGAACTCTTCCATGTGTGCTGATGCACGCAGGTGTGTGTAGTGCCTAGAAAGCTTTATAGCACAAAGACCACCAAAGCTGGCCTAGTGAGCACTGCTCTAAACCTTTTACATTAAGATTAGACACTACAGTGCCTTGTCTACAGTCCTTTTGTTGAGCTGTATCTGAACTAGCTCTCTTTTCTCTTACACAGGCACACATACGTACAGGCAGCTGTCCTCTTTTTTCCTGTCTGAAGTGTCTAATAATCTTATATGCTCCTCTGTTCAGCATGTGTAGCCACTCAGCCTGTAGCCAACACTCTTCTGCCTGCAGCCAGTGGACAATGAGGTTTTATATATGAATTTCTCCTGACAATGACAATCCAGCATGCTCTGTATGTAGGAGGTTTGTGAATTTTTCTAAAGGAATATGTCTTTATTTAAAGACTAATTTCTCGGGCAGAAGCATCACGTGTGATGCAGGGTGAGTGTGAGCTCTTCCAGCTCATGGCATTATTTTGAAATACTGTTTCTTCTTTATATATATGATATCTATTTTTCCCTGTATAATGAAATTATATATAAACATATACACTACTAGCAACCTTTTGGTGCTGAATTACACAAAGATTTTTGTAATGTTTGTGTGTGTGTGTCTGTGTGTGTAAGTAAGAGCATGTTTGATGCTTTATGATATCGGAATCATATCAGGACCAATGGATATGTGCTTAAGAAATCAGCTTCAGGCAGACGTTTAGATTTGGCTGATGTTTTAAACCCATATCTCATGATGCTAAAATTACTGAAATTTGTTCATTTTACTGCACCTGTAATTCCATAGAAATAAGTGTTACATTTCTCTGTAATCCTAATCCTAGTAGATATAGTCCCAATTCTACATTTCATAAATATTTATGCATCGGCATCGACAGATATGTACTTTGGCCCACGATTCCCATATCGGTGCATCCCAGACATTCATATCTGTATCATGTGGCATTAATCTCAGATTTTAAATTCTGTTTGAGATACATGCTGCTTGGTAACCCAGCTGACTACTACCTGACCTCAGAGCTCTGTGGTAAACTCACACATCCTGCCAGCTTCCGAGTGTGTGTGGAGCTCACTTTTGAACTAGAAATAGACACAAGCATCATAGGAGTATACCATTGTAGTCTTGAGTATGGCTTTGCAATGAAATTGTCTGAGAGGAACTTTTAATATTGTAACACTGCAAAAAAAAAAACTGAACCTTGCACATTCCTTTTATACTGAGTTTTATCATGTTGACCCAAATTCAAAGACGGGTTATGACTCTTGTGCCATGGGAATGGACCACATGGTAGTTTCATGATTAGGACAAAATTGTTGGTACAACTTTCTCCTTTCCAGGGACAGTTAATTATAGTTTTTCTAGAGCAACAACATACAGCCTTATCCCTAGGGCCAGTGTGGCTGCAGAATTTCATTCCAAAACATCAGGACCACACGTGATCAGTTATTTGACTGAGACCAGTTGATAAAACAAGTAGAATCAGGTGTGCTCCTGCTTGATTGGAAGGAAAACCAGCAGCCACTCTGGCTTTTTCTGGATAAGATTGAACAGCTCTGATATACAGTGTATTCTATCCTTAAAGCGTCTAATGACAAACAGGCTTTTTCTCTATGTTGAGGTAAATATTATCTTAGTAAATTATTTTTAGGCTGGATTGTCTGGGCCCGATGTGGCACTGTGCCCAAGGTAACTATTCTCAACTCAATTCAGGGTCACTTTTGAGCCATTAGGTGAAGACTGGAAGAGACCCAACCCTGCACCGTTGATGGGGAAGGTGGCTTCTTTAGACATACTCATTTAATACCACAGAAAGCTATCTGCAGTTATTCTTATCAAATGGTCTATGAAAATTTAGTTGAAAACACAGTCTTCAGCTACTCTTTGCTCACATCAGGCTTTGGAAACCCACAACACTTTGCACTGTATCCAGGCTTAATATTCACATAGTTCAGCTCAACAGCACCAATATAGATTTTAAACATGTAATATTTTATTCTTTATAAATAGCACTGAATTCAACATAAAACAAGACACTCGTTACAAAATAAAACAACAATTAGTATGAGCGTAGCCCAGCAAGGAGAGTGTGTTCCTTGGTCATCAGCACAGTCTCTGCTTTGTCCTTTCAGCGCTGTGTGAATGTGGATGGATGGGAATATTTTATGTACAACAGGAGGAGCAGAAGTGCACGAGTTTATGATGAGTCATAGTGAAGGAAAAAAAAGTGAAATGTGATGATTCTACAATGCTGGCTGGCTGTTCCTCAGGCTGGAACCCCTGTGCCAGGCTGGACATGTATAGGATGAGCTTAACCTCATTTACCACGACACCTATTGACTGGACTTGACCAGATTTGGTCAGCAGGACACCTTTAACTTAACCATGCTATATCACCAGCACACCTATAGACTCAACATCACTCAGTCAACAGGACACACGTAAACTTAACCTCATTTGCCAGGACACTGATGGCTTTGACTTAAATTTGCAGAGGGTAAGATGTTAATGATAAGTGTTCAGCTGAAGAAACCTGGCTGATGATGGCCAAGCTTTTTTCTAGTAGAAGGATCCTGTGGGGCTTTTATCTGCTTTATTTTTTTGGTGAACATGCAACATGTTACCAAATAGATGATTTTGTTAACAATAATGTGGGGCTTACACTGCTGGAGTTAGTTAAACGCAGGTACCTCACTATTTAAAATGCATGCTAATACAGGCCCTGGTTAAAAAATTAAAACCTGACGTCATAAAATGGGGAGAGACTTATAAGACCGGGAACTGGAGACGACTAGACTTGAGTGGCAACGCTAAATGATACCTAAAATATGGTTAAACAAAGTCATGTACAATATGTACAATATTGAGGCTTACATTAGTGCAACATAAGGAATTTAATGGCAGAGTTGCAGAGAGATATTGTGTAAAAAAAAAACATAGATAAAATAAAACACTTGCCACATTTACCCCCTACACTTTTAAGCTCATTTCCTAGGAGACATCAGGTGTCTCAATGTAGAATTTCCCGATTAAGTCATTGAGGAATCCCGACAGGTTATCAGTTTTGTTCCAGTTCACCTCTCAGCAAACCTAAACCAGCAAGCACTTTGGAAGCTGCAATAAAACGAAAATGTGAACTGGTTAGAGATCGGCAAAGACTAGACTGGGAACTGTCCTGTGCAACTTAAAAACAATGCGATACTAGATGAGACTAGAAGCAGCCACGCAGGACTTGAGTCAGCTTAGCTGGAGCAGTGATCATCTCGGCGGAGTTAAGTCTTGGACTCGTGCTCGTGCTGCCTGGAGCACCTGGGTGCCCACTCCTCACCATCTGGCTCGCCAGCTGAACTGTTAGTGGCAGGCGTTGCTATGGCAACCGAATCTGACATTTGCTCCTAATGCAGCAGTAATGTGATTTTTTTCTGTCCTCTCCTTCTCCCAACCTCTCTCTCTCTCTCTCTTCTCTCTCAATATACTGTCACTTGGACAATCCAAAAAAACTCAACTGTGCTATGGCCAGAGCATCAGTGCAACAGAGTGGGTGTACATTTGAGCCTGTGTTTGTGTGTGTGTATGTGCGCGTGCTGCGTATGTGCGTGTGGTCAGTTTCTCTTCTTGTCCTGTTCAGGGTGTTGGTCAGACTGGTGTCCGGGAAACGCGTGGTTATAGAGTTGCCTGTGACTGGCTGCCACATTATACAACTTATACAGAGCCTGTGAGAGAGGAAGAGAGAAGGATAAAGTGAGTGGAATGAAAACATTAGTATTGGGGCTGCCATTATTGATTAAATTAATAATCTAGTGATTATTTTGATAATCAGTTTTTTTATTTGTTATTATTCAGTTAAGTCTGTTTTTATTCACTGAACAATAACAAACTGTGCTGTAACAAAAATAAAGGAGAGATGGCATGTTAACACTTTATTCTTTCTGATAGCACACCAATATATATATATATATATATATATATATATATATATATATATATATATACACACACTGTGTGTGTGTGTGTGTATATATATATATATATATATATATATATATATACTGATCAGTCATAACATTAAAACCACCTCCTTTTTTCTACACTCATTGTCCATTGTATTAGCTCTATGTACCATATAGGTGCACTCTGTAGTACAATTACTGTAGTCCATCTGTTTCTATGCTTACTTTGTTGGTCCCCTTTCACCCTGTTCTATAATAGTCAGGACCACCACAGAGCAGGTATAATTTGTACAAGGTGTTGTACTTAAAGAAGTGGTCGGGCGGTTTGTGTGTGTATATATACACATCTAGGCTGACATTCAAGATTTCAAACTACTCAAATACACTACTACCCCCAGGACGAAATACACAGCTAACATTACATCACACAATGTAAGTGTGTGCTATTTCAGGCTAAATTTAGGACTAGGTGAATTGGGCCTTATTCACTAATGTCTTCCAAAGTTTTTTCTTAAATTTATTCTGGAGAAACGTCCTAAGAAAAAGTCTCAGATACATGACGTGTTATTACACCGCAAAATTGTGTGCACCTTTGTGCTCTTGAGTGTGTGTAGATTTTGTTCTTACCTAAGAACAAACCCCAAATAAGAAAACACTGGTGAATGTCAGAATCTTTGTGAAAACTGCATAAGTGGATTTAAAAAAAAATTTGCATGCACTACTGCATTGCCATTTAATTGAGAATGTAAGTTGTAATCTGTGATTGTTCAAGAAATTAGTTTAACTGATTAATCATGTCAGCCCTAGTGCATGTTAATCTTGGCTTAACAGAGGCATCTGTTTGTGTACAGGTTCAGGCCTGTGCATGCTCCTTACCTCATTAGTGCTTCCCTAAGATAAAGAGAGAAAAACAAAAACAGGAGAAAATGAATTCTGCAGTGTCCACTGGATGTGCATACTGATTACTGAGGTAGAAATGATATACAATGTTGAACTATGTTTGTAGTATGAGGAGATGAGAGTTAGTCACAACAAGGGTTACATTTTGTTGTTTGTGTTTCCAACTCAGGGTTACACCAGATGTTTTTTTTTTCTTAGTTGGAAGCTTGTAATTTCAAGGTAACTGGACAGCTGCATAACATTCCCAAAATTACCATCACCCTCTGGTGGTGAACAAGATGCATTCTCTTCAAAGGAGATATTCCAACTGATCATTTCACAATTTCTGCACAACTAAATGCTTGAGATGTAAACAAAGTCATTCAAAATGGGTTGATGTGAAATGCTCCATTTTAGAGAAACTTAGAGTCAGAATTGTTCACGGTGGTGGTGATCAGAACCAGACCTTTGAGGAGTGTTATGCCTCTAAAAGCTACCTCACAGAGCTATTACATGAAGTGGTTACAAATATGCTGCCTGATTCCTGAGACATTGTTTTATAATAGTTCTGAGACAAGGTTTTGGCCTAAAATCCATTCATGTCAGAGAGCTACATGCAGGGCGTTGAGGGGCAAAATAGTACCCAAAGAAAACTTTTTTTTTTTTCAGATCAATATTAAATATAAAAACTCAAAACACACATGTAGGTTCACTAATCATTTTAAATAGCAAATAAAATGGTTATATTTGCACTCTAGACAATGCAACCCCTGGTTCCTATCATCACCACTGTAAAGAAATCCAAGATGCCAATTTCCCCATATCATAAGAACCATACCATAAACCACGTTAATAACTTGGTTTACTTCTCAACCACCTCAATTAACCAATTATTCAGATATAATCAGTGGAATTCCCCATTTGAGGGTTGCAAACCTATGTACTGACAGTTATCAGTGCCTCTATCGCTTTGTTTATCTTATCATTCATCTTTTATCAATCTTCTCAAGGAAAGAGCGCCAATTTAAGATCATATTTACCAGTCATATTCAACAACACAAGAATAGTAACAGAAGAGAGATGATCCAAGATCAACATTCCTGGCCTCAGTTTATGATTAAAAGCAAAACAAAATTTCATTATGGCCTACACCGTCTCTCTTTTTATACCAATATATTGTCTGTCCAAAGAAAAACAAGTATCTCCAAAATGGTAACTTTACAGGAGAAGGCAAAAACATTCTTTACTTTTAATGTAAGTTAAGGCAAGGAGATTTTTGTCGAAGCAGTTCTGGAGCATTTCTGATGGACTATTCATCATGAAATTTTCTCACAATGTAAAGGGCATCTGGTGTGCTCAGATGATGTACAAAAATGAAATGGAGACAGCAACATTATGCACTGCCCATCAACAGTTTGCCTTCTTTCTCATTGCTACTTCTCAATTGATTATGGAAAAAGACATTTGTGAACATGAAGTTTTGTTGATGTGAATCAGTTATTTCCTAATCATTTGTGTGTATTTTGCAACACTCAGCTTCATGTTCCTCAAATTGTCTTCTGTGGTAGGAAGAGTACATTTTGCCTAGATGGCTTGCCAGTTTTCTTTGTCAGACCATGTTTGCTTGTTCAAACATAGTGTTTAGCACCTGCTTTAAGATGCTTCCAAGAGTTTGTAATATAAAAGTTACAGTGAGGTCAACTCACCTGGTCCCATAGTGCTCCTGCCACCTGGTCAATGACGGCGCCGAGTTCACGGTACTCTCCAGAATAGCGGATGTAGGCCCAGGTGCAGAGCGTGATGAGGGCAAAGCCCAGCACCATGTTACACACGCTGGCGATCACGTCCACACCCACGAAGCCTGTGATCCCTGCCGACACGTACATAACAAAGATGACCACGAAGAGCGTGGCGGGCGTGCGTGCGGCATGGAAGATGTTTTTGGAGTCGTTGTGTTTGATATACTGCACAAACAGCTCATCTATCTCTGCTTCCAGCTGCAGCAGGTAGCGGCGACTGAACTCCTCCCCACCCATCTTCTTTACCCCGCGGAACACGGCCAGCGCCTCCTCACGGATCACAGCATGACGAGCCTGAAGCTCATTCGGAGCCAGAAACGGCCGGTCACCACCACTCACCTGACAGACACAGAGGGAGGAGAAAAGGAAGCATAGGTTAGGCCTGTCACAGTTACTTGAGCAGACCATGATCATTCTAACAATATGTTCACGTTGCAACAAATAAACTGGGAATTAGGTGCATTTTCATCTGCTGAGTTGGGGCAAATATACAAGGTTTGTACTGTTTAATTTCATATGTTTGAGTTTTCAATAATAAGGTATAATGCATTTAATGCGTTTTAGTCCAACAAGTTGCTGTTTCACCAGAGATTTTTTTAGGTATTCAGAGTAGCTCTAGTTTTGCAAACATCCGCTACACTGTAATATTATGATACCCTGTTTTATGTGATGTTCGTACAGCTTTTTAAGTGCATTATTGGTCTGAGCGCTTTCATGGCTCACAGTAAACATTACATTGCTATTCTTTCATATTAATGTGCTGTCTAAAATACCGAAGGTCTACCACCTCACCCAAACGTATGGAAGTCTGAGGCATACCAAAGACATGATGTGCATTAAATGGGCATTCTAGCCTAAAAAAGCATTTAGCATTATACATTATTTGCTGTTTTATGTAAAACTACAGTGCAGCATTGTGTCCCTAAGCTACATCAACAGAATTCATCATTTTGTATGTTTTTTTGTGCTGTTGCCCAAGGTACTCTTATTATAATATCCAAATATGTATTTGATAAATACATAATATAACTGTAAAGAATCCCCCTCCCTCTGTCATAAAGAAATCCTGCCTGTTAGCAAAGCCACTGATGTAAATGCTAATAAACACAGGCGTGATATTCGTCTTCCTAGCTGCAGCATCAGGTATCTGGCTTCCCTCTGCATTAGCCAGCTGGCAAGAAAAAATAAAAGCATTTCTAACAGCCCGGCCTCAAGTATCTTCCCCAATGCAGTGGTAATTTTTCATTTGTATAAGTTCCTCCCACCTTCAAGATACAAAGGGGTTTTCCTAGTCTTTAAACCGTAAAATCATGCTGTAGAGACTACTGCAGCACCATTGTAGGATTCAAATACCGTCATTTGCAAAAGTTTGGCTGCCCCTGATCAAGTTATGTCTTTTGTTGATTGTTGATTTGTCGATTAAGTGAAAAGAAGTACACATATCCTCTACAGAAAACATACTTCTGCACATTTTAATGCACCATTACTGTTTATTTGCTGGATCTAGCATATTGGGGAAAAAAACAGATTTGGGCCTGTGCAAAACTTATATATATAATTTCTTTTTCTAAGATGTTAAAACTCAGCAAAAACAGAAATCGTGCACTAAAATGTGCAAAGTAATTCCATATTTACTCTGTAGAGAATGTTTTTCTTAATATAATATTGTAATAATCTTGTAAACCATGATAAAATGTTCAGTAATTATTGCAATAATTTATTTGCAATCAGTGTTTATATTGGCACATGCCTAATGTACAGCTCTTTCTCTTGCAGATTTCTCACCTCCTCCATCTTTCTGTTGTACAGGTCTTTAGCTGCAGCTACAGCTGCAAGGTTATTCGCTTCTGCAGTGGCCTGCACACAAACACCACAGAATACAGTCCGATCATCACAGAATAATACTGAACACAAGCACAGCTGCACACAAATGCAGCACTACCACAATCAGATACAAGAACATGTACTTGTACAGCATATGTAAGGGTTCTAGTATGTGTTAAAGGTGGGACAGTACCTGTAACATGGATTTTGGGTGAGGCAGCTCTTCCCCCTGGTAAATCTTTATGTATGCCTGGAAAGAACCAAAGTTCATATCACAGATTTTGTTTTAGGACTCACATATAAACACCTTGTACTTTTGTTTAATCATGTAGACGACCATGCTACTGCTTTACAGGCCCAACTTTATAGTGCTTATAATCCTTTTTCATACATCTAGTGCTATATAGTATATATAAATACAGCATATATATGAAGTGTTATGATCTAGTGTTGTCTATATGTTGGAATAAGGCTGAACAGCTGTTTCTCAGCTCAAAGCTTTTCTCCGGCATCCCTGCTGTGGTGTTATAATACTTTACTTACTTTAAAGTACTCCAGCAGGCCTCTACAGGTGATTTTGCTGCCATTGATTTCTTTCACGTCCAGGTTTTTGGGACCGAGTAACCATGGCACCAGCACCTGCAGGTTACTGATGAATTCTTGATCGATTTCTAAAATGCAAATCTTTTATTTAGAGATCAGTTCTCCCAGTTATCTGAACACTTGCAATGGTCATAGAGTTCATTTTTAATTGTCTGATGGTCATGTTCTGAGCTTAAAGTAAACTTAAACTAACTAAAATGTAACTGATTGGCCAAAACATGTCTGATGTCCAGATTTTCCTTCTTCTTTAGTGCTCAAACTTTGAGGCTAACATTGCTAACAAAAACTAGATATCAACAGATATCCACATCTTTCCTATAAATACATCCCCAAAACTTTTCTCAAGTCATTCAAATGGTACATCGAGGTCTTTATTAAGGTCACACAGACTTGCTGATGTGGTTAGGGCACAGTACAACTTGCTGTGAACAATAAAAACAAAACTTTGCAGCTAAATGCAGCAGGGCAGCCATTATAGCCAACAGCCTGTGAAATTAAGAACTCTTGTGTCTATGTACACATTTGTGTAAATATGTGTGATCGTGTAAGCAAACCCTTCAGTCTGCCGTCAAAGTGAGGGTTGGTGGCAACTTTGAGGCCAGGATGGGGCATAAGGAAGCAGGAGATGTTGGTGAAGCAGGAGTGAATGTGCTTCCTTACGTTCTGCAGCTCTTCATGCTGGTTCTCTGAAATCTACACGTGTACAGACATAGTATTAGTACATACACTAAACAAAACATGACACTATGCCACAGAACAAATGCAAACAGTGCTAGGTACATGACAATTAACTATGCTAGTCATTTTCCAGTAGCTGTCTGTAGTTTCACTATCACCAACTATTAAGTATTACTTTAAAATAGTAACAAGTTACCTTGATCAATGCTACTTGTGACATTATGACTAGACTAAACTGGGTGGCCCTATTATTATAGTGATATTAAATATCATTAAGCAATAAAACTTCAGACAGTAAACTTTTCTCTTCCTTTAGTTTCAGCATTGCTGGACAAAACTAGCTTCCCCAATACTGCATATGAAGGAAGAACGAGGTGTTCTCTATTCGCAGCACAAATTTAGTCACGGTTCTGGCCCATGACATGGACTGAGTCAGTCTGATCTGATGAGTTACCACACATAAACAGTGACCCTGAGGAGACCTCCTACCTTTAGCCTTTTCTCCAGGAACTTCATCCCTCCTTCCTGACCGTAGGGAAACTCATATGGAAAACTCCAATCTCGAACCAAGAAAATCATTGACTGGAAAAAAAAGAAAACAGAAAACATTTGGCTTGTGAAGTATCAGTCTAGTTTTATCTCTTTCACACATCAAACATCCACCACAGTTGAAACTGACTCTTTAAATGTGATGGATTACAACAAGTACCTGGAATGGTTTGAGGAATGTTTCCTCCATGGCCAGTCTGCCATATTCGGTAAAGAGCTACAGAAAAGACACACACAGTAAGGTCAGACAGATCAGTCTCCTGCAGATATGTTGCCAAAGGGAGTCCTGTTGCCTTTATGTTTCCCTCTGAGGCTCCATTTTACAACTTGCCAAGATGTGATTACATGTTCAGGCTGTGCAGTTCCCTTGAGGCTATAACAATTGTTCTATTTTTTTAAAAAGGTATCTGCTCTATAAAACAGTGCCTAGTCTACTTATTGGTGTTTATTCTGTGACACATCACAGCTGACATGATAAATATACTGAATATTACATAAAATTTAGCTCTATGTTTATATACTATAAGGGGTACTGGTCATGACACATTGCAATTTGGAAGTTTAGGCATCACAATTCTATGTGACATGGCAAGATATTTTTATTTTTGACCTGGAAAGGCCCAGTCATGAAGTGCAACAGCACATGAAGGTTGTCAGCTTTCATCTGAACATTCTAGCTGAAGAGGCAGCACAAAGACAAAACTGCTGCTGTTTTTAAAACAGCACTGTGAGCATTTCAGTACAGGTCAGAGGCAGAATGGCCCTGTACCTGCAGGTGCTGTAAATCATCCTCCTGAATGTTCTGAGATATATTATACACCTGGAGAGAGAGAGGGGAGAGGAAAGAGACAAAGACATCAGCACTTCTGTCAGTGTGCGTCATGTTTACTGTGAGAGTGTTTAACATGACCGTGAATGTTGCTTTGTGTGTGAATTCTCAGTTACCTGCATGGAGCTGATCATAGTACTGAGTGCGAATACGGTAGCTGAGTCTCTGAGTGTGGACTGGCTGTCGAATGTTCCCTGGGTGTCCATCAACAGCACTGCCACCTGCAGGTCAAGCATCCAATAAAAATTTAGCCAGAACAGTCACAATCTGCAGTAAAATTATAAACGCTTCACAAAGCAAACAGAAAGTCATACTATATATGTGTATTTATGTGGGAGTATCAACATACAAGGCTAAAGAACGTGAGTGGATGATTGTGTCACTGTGTTTGTGTCACACCTTGGTGCCATCTGGTTTGTCCACAAGAAAAACTTCACTCCAGATCTGGATGCCGGTGGTTTCTCTCTCAGACCCTCCTCTCCAGGAGAAGCCAGTCAGAGGCTCATCAGGTTCCCCCAGCCAGTCCTCACCTGCCTTAAATACAAACATACAGTTTTTATATTTGCACACACCTCTCACACATACACATTATGCACTGTATATAATTATAAGTGCCTCACAGAAGCATACAGATTATACGCATTACATAATCCAGAGGTTCCCATGGTCAGTCCAGGGGACCCCACGCTCTGTACAATTTTGTACTTCCCTACTCTTAACACAGGACAGGGCATGAAAAGCTACTTACTTGAATCAGATGTGTTAAATGAAAGAAAGCACAAAAATCTGTAGACTGTGGGGTCCCCAGGACCATGGTTTCCTGTGTGTAACTTTAGTATAACAAGTGTAATAGTATGGATATTTGTTTCATACACCAAACACAATAAAACAGACTCTTGGAGGGCTAGAGGATGGCAGAATTTAGTCGTTCCCCTGCTCAAACACACATGCCCAGTTTTAGTATTAAAACACTACTATTGTGATTATATTGCTACATGTTGTGGTTACTGTAGTTGCAATAAAAACACAATAATATGACATTGCTAAAGACTATTTTTAATTAAAATAATTGACCTTTGTTGGATTATAAATATTTTTATTCAAGTACCCACACAAGATCAGTATTGCAAAGGGAAATGTCACAAGAACAATAAACAACCTGTAATGTGCAGCCCTGTTTAATAGCTTTACTAGAGCAGTGAAGTCACTATACCATGCTGGACTCTGGCCTTCAAAGACCTAAGCTAGGCACCCTTGCACTAAATCAATACATGAATAACTCATGAGTAACTCACTGAGGGCAATAATCTGACATCACATCTGATATTACAGGAAGTCATCATCTCATTAGCACTTATTAGAATCACTCTCGATCTAAGACTCACTCTCTATACTTTCTGTTTCCCTCGAGTTTATCCCTGTAGACCCCCTGCTTATTATTTAGTTGTTCACTGTCACACAAAAAAACTTAAATCTCCATTTTTGTCATTTTTTTACTGTAAAAACTCTTATTTGAAACCTCTAGTTAGCCTAACTTCCAATGCTTTTTCATTCTCTTGTAGTAAAGCTACCTTCTTGGAGATTTGAGGTTTTGTTCTGACAGTGACAAAACACTGTGAATTATACAGTAACTACTACAAAACTAATATGTAAATTATGAAGGTATGGAAGTGAGAAACTGAAGCGTAGGTCCACATACAGGTTCTTAGGGTCCTGGAAACAGCTTTAAGACTAACTAACCCTGAACCTCAATAAACTGACAGAAGGATTGGTCATGTTACCTGGTTGTACATGTAGCGCAGCATGAAATCCATGAGGAAAGACTTGCCCTTCCGGAAAGCCCCAGCAACAGAGACGGCGACCACCTCTCTGTCTCTGAGCTCCTCAGCCAGCAGGATACGACTCAGCGCCGTCTCATCCAGCTCAAACGAGTGGTCATCTTTCACCACCAACACCTGCACCGGCCGAGCCCTGGTGTCCGGCTCCTCATCTTCAGAGCTCCAGTCATATACATTCTTATCCACAAATGACCCTGTAACACACATACATATTTTTAAAAAATAAAAGAAACATTCGAGGCCAATGTGGAATTAACATTAATGACAGATTAATGATTAAGGTCACATTCTGAAGTGCTACATCACAGCACAGTCTGTTTTTCCTCTGCCCACTCCTGTCTAAACTGTGGAGGTGACTATGATAATATTATTACATTGGAGCACTTGTGCCAGTGTTACAGTGCTGCCAGCCCGATGACATCCCAGTGCAACCCCTCTTTTGTCTATCTATTAACACGGAATTCCATCTGACACATGGATTATGCATGAATATGCCCTGACATGAACAGGGACCATGAGTGTTTAAAATCAATGTGAAATGAAAATCAAAATTCTTTTAACCTTGTTAGTTAGTACCTTATGTCATTGTGCACCAGCAGCCAGGGAAAAGTAACATTAACTATCAATATGATGTTTGACCTCCTTCTCCCACCCTACCTATCATCAAGCGAGCTAGCTCAGAGACCCTCCCTAAGACCAGTGCATTATGATTACAAATTCACAAAGAATGGCTTGAACTGAATGATTTTATTAATGCAGTAACAGCTGCCCCCGGGGCAGCGTCTTGGTTGTAAGCCTTGCTTTCGTTTTTCCTTATACTGACTGGTCTCACTTCAGCCTCACAAGAGAAAGGAGAGACTTATTGCATCCTTTTTTGTCATCAAACTTTCAAACAACACATAGCAATAGAAGGTAGAATGATCCAACTGGCCAGTCTCCCAGAACCAAATTAAGGCCTGTGTCTAGACTACATGGGATTTAATATGGAGAAACACCTCTAACATTGCTATTTATTCCAAAACTAGGTTTAATTCACATCTAAAGAACCCCTCTCCATGAGAATATAGAGCAATTCTATAATTCCACAATCATCACTACTAAAATAGTCACACTAAATCACCGTGATATCAGTGCAAGTGTGATATTATGTAATGAGAGATGTGATACATTGGAGATTCTGTCCAGTTGGACAGACACACTCAGGCTCATCACGGCATTAGCATTAACACGGTGCCCACACCACGGTGAATTATTCACACCCTAATCCATTCTCTTGTTTCTTGTGACCCAGTAGATCTTTCTCTGTCTCTCTTTCTCTATGCACACTCACCCCGGCCTAGCTCAGAGTAACAGGCCAGGAACGCACACATACACGCCCAGGAACATCTTGTGAGGCAGCATCTCCTCACGTCATCATTTGTTGGGTATGTAAAGAGCCAGTGCTGCTGTATGTAGGTCACCGCTGCTCTCCATCGTTCATCCATAAACTTTAAGACGTTCCTCACACATTCCTGCATGTCCACGGGATTAGAGACATTTTTAATGCGCAACAGCTTGAGTGTTACAGCGACCAGCAACGAGGCAGCAGTGAGATGAGAACGGATTGATCATGCGAGAAGATATGATATTATAAAAGGAGCTTTACTGTGGCCATATCTTGGTGCAGAGCCCTAATCCCGTTAAGAAACGGAGCCTCACGTGACGCACAGTCTGGACTTTCACCCAATTCGTTTCACTGTAAATGACTCGCACGTTTAATACTGTTTTTTTATATACCAGCGCAGCAGGCATGGTGTGCTCAGGCACAGAGGCGCTGCATTCACATGCAGACAGGGAATAAACAACCCCATATGACACCGGGCTGTGGGTGAAGCACGCAGGGCTGTGGCTCCGTACATCACTGTACCAGCAGAAAAAAACAAACCACAATATCACGCCCTGTTTCTGCACCCACTGCTGCTCGGCCCTTTCCACAGCGTTGTGCCCAGCGTTAACAAATAATACACACACACACAAATGCCTCGAGGCCACGTCTGTCCAGGACATTCATTCGTAGGTGGGCTTTTAAACGGACACTTACCCCAGCTGTCCCTGTCCTTTTTATCCCGGACCATGGCGAACGGAATGGCGCGTAGCGTTAGCAGCGCTCGGATTTAATCAGCGAGCATGAAGCCAGGAGGCCGGAAAGGCAACACCGACGATGATGCTCGGAGAGTCTGTGGAGAAGGAGAACGCCTCATTCTCATCTGAGACGAAGAGGGCAACGCCACGTTCAGCCGCTAGAGGGGGCAGCGCGACCTCACTGAACTACCACTTCGATCCAATAAACTTGAGTTCTGTGTGCTAACACACTGTGTAGTGCTGGACGTTTGATTTGGCCCACCAGAAAGTTACCCTAACCCCGCTTCTCACTCAGTGAGAGAACAAACGCATTTTTATGCTATATTACTATAACTTTATGCTATAAATAACTCCTACTTTTCTTTAAATGTATTTTTTGAGTATATTAGTAACAGCATATGTGTATTCTTTAAAAAGTACTTTTAAAAACCTACCCATCTTTATTTGTAAATGTTTTTTTGACCCTCAGCCCATCACAAGCATTGCATTTCTCCCAAGACAAAAAGTCAGGGGACCCCTGATTGCATTACATTACAATAAGATGCACAATGCACTTAGTCCACCTGTCAAGATTGTTAAACTGTTTTGTATACTGATACACTTCTGCTCCATTCTAGTAAGACCAGTGTGAATCTGCTAGTACTAAGTACTGGTACCTAAGTACCAGTACTAAGTTAAAAATAATTTAATGAAACGGATAGTTATTAAATTTAATTGGCTGCCATACTCGACATATACACTTATGATCTGTGATGTTGCTTGGTGTTTGAGTGTGTTTGCTAAAGATGGACTCATCTTTAGCAAACACACTCAAATCTAGTGCTTCTTAATTAATCTGACCAACAGTTTGGACAAAGACACACTATTAACAGGGTAAAAATCATTGTTCTCAGTGACTCCATTAGCCAAACGGCTAACCACCAGGAGTCACTTAACAATCCTGCCAACACCAGCTCTACTTACCATATAGGAGCACTTTGTAGTTCTACAATTACAGACTGTAGTCCATCTGTTTCTCTGCATACTTTGTTGGCACCCTTTTACCCTGTTCTTCAGTGGTCAGGACCCCCATGGACCCCCATAGTGCAGGTACTATTTGGGTGGTGGATCATTCTCAGCACTGCAGTAACACTGATGTAGTGGTGGTGTGTTGGTGTGTGTTACGCTGGTACAAGTGGATCAGGCACAGCAGTGCTGCTGGAGGTTTTAAACACCTCAGTGTCGTTGCTGGACTGAGAATAGTCCAGGTGTGTCTAATAGACTGGACAGTAAGTGGACACAGTGTTTAAAAACTCCAGCAGCACTGGAGCAACACACATTAACACACCACCACTGCCACCACCACGTCAGTGACACTGCAGTGCTGAGAGTGATCCTCATAGATACAAGAAGGTGTTCCTAATAAAGTGCTCGGTGAGTGTATACAGTACAGTTTAAAAAGATCTCTAAACATGGTGACATGTTGACATTGATATTGATGCAATGTTTCTCTTTTAGTTAGATTAATTCTAACATTAGACATTCTAAAGATTTAGTGAAAATGTATATTTTAAATGAATAATTTACCTTTAGTCTATAGTTTAACAGGGTTGAACTTTGAAAGTGACCTAGTCAGTCAATATCACAATATCATTGGAAATCAAGAAAATGTACTCTTCTTCCTGTAAATGTGCTTGGGTAAGAGGGTTGAGTAAATTAACAAAAACGTACATTGCAAAAAAGGATAATCTGCAAATATTTCAATGCTTATATTTCAATATAACGTGTAGTGGGCTGGGACAACAGGTACAAATGTTGTTTTCTAAGTGCTGTAGATATGTTTGTTATTGTAAGTTATTTATCTGAAACATGCACATAGGTTGCTGTGAAGGACACTTTACTTAAGTTTAAAATGTCTTATAACTTTGTAAATGTAATATCAGTGGGACACCAGTTGTGGAATCACCCAGCTAGCTAATACAAATGTTACGCAGCGTTAGATTTCAAAAGAAAAGAATCAACATTTAGCTGGATAACTTGTGGCATAAGTGAGTACTGTTCAAAAAGGAGTGTCCCTTAGCTGGTATTAGGTACAGTGCTGACCTTTTTGGTTTGAGTTCCTGGCTTTGCGAAATCACCCTTAGGAGATACAGGTTAACACATTTTAAGCAACACCACAGCATAATTCAACACTCAAACGCTCACAGAAGCAGGTGGATTCTGATGTTTGTACTGCAGTGATTTGTTAATGGAATTGAGCATAAAACTTCGGGTAAAGTGTGTATTGTTACACATTAGAGTTTTTCTGTGATCTGAGAGTGCAAATTTACTTCTTTTGTACTCAGTGCTGCAGCCTGCTTCTGGTTGGGTCACTAGCAGTGATAGCCAGAAGTGTATACACTAGCTGTAGTTATGTCACAAGCAGACTGCATAAATGCATAGGTTTTAAGCCAAAACTTTACTGCAAAAAACAATGCGCCTGACATCAAGCAGCAAATATTTAATCATTCCATGTAATAACTTTCTGTGAGGGAACCTACAGAGGCATTAAACTCTTCAGACATCTCGTTCCTATCACCACCACTGTGAACAATTCTGACTCTGCACGTTGCTGTAGAACGAAACATTTCACATCAAATCTCTCTGGATGACATTTAATAATGTGGAATTTCTAGAAAATTGGTGGAGTTCCCCTTTAAAGAACAGACCTACTTCAGCTGGCATTGAACTTCAAACATTGTTTTTTAAACTATTATGAAACATTATTATTTTTTATTTTGTTATATTACAGTGCTGTGAAAAAGTATTTGCCCCTCACAGACTTCCTCTGTTTTTGTTCATTTGTCACATTTAAATGTTTCAGTGTAAACACAAAATGCAGCTTTTAAATTTATTGAAAATCTATATCACCCTTGTGAAAAAGTAAAGGTAATAACTGGTTGTGCCACCCTTGGCAGTAACAACTGAAATCAAACGTTTGCAACAACTTGCGATGAGTCTCTTACATCGCTGTGGAGGAATTTTGACAATCTCTTCTTAGCAGAATTGTTTCATTTCATCTACACTGAAGGGCTTCCGAGTATGAAGTGCCCGTTTAAAATCATTCCACAGCATCACAATCGGATTCAAGTCAGTACCTTGACTTGGCCACTCCAAAACCTTAATGTTATTTCTTTTGAGCCATTCAGAGGTGGACGTGCTTGTGTGCTTTGTCTTTGTCTTGCTGCATAACCCAACTGCACTTGAGCTTTAGGTCATGAACAGGCGGGCGGACATTCTCCTTCAGGATTTTCTGATAGAGAGCAGAATTCATGGTTCTGTCAGTTATGAGAAGTGGTCCAGGTCCTGCAGAGGCAAAGCAGCCCCAACCCATCACACTACCACCACCATGTTTGACTGTTGGTATGATGTTATTATGGTGGAAAGCAGTGTTAGCTTTACACCCAATGTAATGGGACCCATGTCTTCCAAAACGTTCCACATTTGACTTATGAGTCCACAGAATATTACTCCAAAAGTCTACGGGGTCATCTAGATGTTCTTCTACAAATGCAAGACGAGGGTTTGTGTTCTTTTTGGTCAGCAGTAGTTTGTGCCTTGCAACTTTACTATGGATGCCATTTTTGCTCAGTGTTTGTCTTACTGTGGAATCACGTATATTGACCTCAAATGAGGCCTGCAGTCCTTTAGATGTTCGTTTGGGTTCTTTTGTGACCTCCTGGATGAGTTGTTAATGCACTCTTGGCGAAATTTTGTTAGGCCAGCCACGCGTGGGACGGTTCACTACTGTTCCAAGTTTTCTCCATTTGTGAATAATGGCTCTCGCTGTGGTTTGCTGAAGTCCCAGAGCCTTAGCAATGGTTTTGTAACTCTTTCCAGACTGGATTTCATTGCCTTTGGTTCACATCAGTATTTGACTCTCTTTAGAATGCAGCATCATGTGCTGCTTTTTTAGGCCTTCTAGTCTGCTTCACATTGCCAGACAGGTTCCATTTAAGACATGCTTAGATATAACAGGTCTGGCAGTAATCATGTCTGGGTGTGGCTAGTAAAACTGAACTCGATAATCAATTGAATTTGGTTAACTGGTTGAATTAGTAGCTAATGGCGCAAGTACTTTTTCACATAGGGGCAAGTAGGGCTGAGCAGCATTTTTCATTCAATAAATGAAATCATCATTTAAAAACAGCATTTTGTGTTTACTTGGGTTATTGTTGTTTAATATTAAAAATAGTTTAATGATCTGAAACATTCAAGTGTGACAAATATGCAAAAATTTGAAGAAATTGGGAAGGGGCAAATACTTTTTCATAACACTGTATGTTTCATACTGCTGTTTGACCAATTGTCTCAAGAAAACAAATAAAGTAAGGTTGCAGAACAGGCCTACTTAAGCTAATGTGTTTTTTTGTTTGTTTGTTTGTTTGTTTTGCTTATTTGTTTTTGTTGTTGATTATATTTATTTGATGATGAAAATAAATATAACTCTGCAAGGCAGCCATGACACACATTAAAACTAATTTGGTTTTAATCAATTAAATCAGTTAATAACATTTATAGAGCTGCTCCTTACATAATAAATTGGAGTGTCTCTAAAAAGCAAAAAATAGTTTAGTAAGTACTTCAGTACTGTGTTTTTTAACAATTGCATAATTAAACTGGGGTTTAATATGAGTAAATATCCATTACCAAGTTCAGCTTTCTAAAGAAAGTAGCCTCTAGATATGTATGAGGGTGAAGTATTAAAACAGCTCTTACGTGTTTGTTTGTTTTAAACACCTTAAAGGTCATCTTTATTTTCAACAGATTTTCTCTATATTCTGACGGTTTCACCATTCTGTTCATTCTGTTCATTCTGTTCGTCCTGTTTATTCACTCCATGCCTTACAGGGGGAAACTGTTGCTGGAGCAGTGATTTAAATCAACCACCAGATGGAGCTCGATGCACAACTGTTGCTTGTCAACGACTATAAAGCCGAGAAGACTGTATTTACTGCTTTTGTCTTACAGTTGCATGAACGTGTATATAACTCGTGTAGCTAGTTAACTAGTTGGTTCAGGTAAAGTGTCGATCTCGCTGGTCCCGTGTCAGCAGAGGGACATGACACAGGGCGCTTGTCAGGCTTGTCAGTGTGGCAGATAGGCGGGGAAAGAGAGAGAGCTCCGACTGAACGATTAGCGACGCAGCGAGTTTGCCTGGTCCGCACAGCGGTTCAGGTGGAAAAGTGAGAAGTTTTGAGCCGATTGAAAAGTATCGAAAGCGACCCATTGGGATGTTTATTTCGACGCAAAATGAACGTCAAGACTTGAAGAACAGTGTGTCTCATCTTTTCCGTGTTGCGGACATGGGATATTCACGCGGAAACTGTATGTTTTTTGAAGAAAAATAGCTTTAGTTGTCGAATGTGGTTAGCAGACGTTAGCCTGCTAGGGTAACGTAGTTTTACCACAGTGCCGTTAGCTGCTTTAGCTTGCTAGATCTCTTGAGTGCTAGGTGAGCCTGATTTTCTACAAAGTGAGCTCATTAGCAGCTAAAGATGTAGAGAGCTACCAAATGCCAGTTGATAGCGTAATCAGACAGCGGATATAACTAACCTTAGCTATCTGTCAGGCTTTACTCCTGTGCTAGGTTTAACTAGGCTAGGACAGTGTAATGGTATTTGTCACTTAGTTGCTATTAACCTAACTGTTGGTCAAGATTCATCACAAGTTTGTAGCTGTACAGAAAGTTGTACACTAAAAATAGGGTCTGTCGTCAAGTCATGACAAGGTGCTCTCAGATTAACTTGGAGCTTTAACTCGCTAGCTAGCTGGCTAACAACGGCCGGATAGCTAGACGTAGCTGGATGGTCAACCATCTGGACGGCGTTTTAGGTCATGCTGTGAGCCCGTGTTGAATTCTCTGAGGTTTTGAATAGCGTTCTTAGAAAACTAGCTTAGCTAAGTGACTTTGTTTGCTGATAGTGTTTGCTGATAAATAGCCACGTTGTGTCACTGCTGTGTAAAACCTGGCTAGATAACTAGCTTAGTTAACTATAAGTTGGCCTTAAACTTCGAGTCACATTAAGTTAGGGGAAAATGAGTTATGTACCTAGATTGGTGGTATTATAATAGATTATTGGTATTAGTTATTATTAGGTTCCTGGTAGTCGCCTGCTTGGCCTGGAAACTTTTTTGTCACGAAGTCTGCACCAAGTAACCAAGGCAAAGTTCAGGAATGTGTTTTTGGAAAGCATCCGTCAGTAGCCAGAACGCCTCATAATGTGCGAGCTAGAAAACTAGGATATTTATTTATCACATTTTATTGACCAAAAACGGCGATTCTGTTGGGCTAGAGATCCAGAATCGTTCACCTAATATTATTAATACCAAGGCAGTGAAGTAAATTGCGTAGCCGTAAAATCCAGCCATGCTTTCTTAGTGGGCTAGGTGAACAGTAACGTTAGCTAACTAACCTAGATAACTTGTGAGGAAATATGTAGACTTCGCGTTATTGTGCAAGTAAACTTTGTAAAATGCAAACAAAGCGAATGATGAGACTTGTTTATTCATAGCCTCTTGCCTGTTATTTTTTCGATCCAGGAAAATGACCCAAGGAAAGCAAGATATTTGATGCAGTAGTTGGAAAACCGAGAATCCACCCACATATCATCGCTGCCCCCGACGTGATTCGCACCATTAGTTGGAGAATGGATCCCTTCTCCAGGCCCAGCGGCGAGATTCAGCGCAGGAACCCCCAGCACGACTTCGAGCTCATTCAGAGAGTCGGGAGTGGGACATACGGCGACGTGTATAAGGTACTTGTGTGTTTGGAAAAAAATTATGTAGTCAACTATGAAGTGTGGAAAGTTTAAAGGTGACTCCTCTCAGACCTTTTAAGACCTTTTCAAAGGAATGGTTCACCGGAAAATCAAATTTACACAACTGTCCCCTTAGCCCAAACATATTCGATGTGCAAAGTTTGCTTCTTTAGTTTCACAGCGAAGTTGTGAGGTTAATATACCAGATGAACATTTTATAAATATACCAGATGAACATTTTATAAATATACCAGATGAACATTTTATAAATGTTTATTACTTTAATTGAATAAGCCTCAGAGCTCCAGTGCAAAACTAAAGAAGCAGATTTCAGACACCAAACATGTCTTGGCTAGTTAACTATATTTGAGATAAGGGGGAGGGTTGTGTAAATGAGAATTTTTTTTTTTTTTGTGAACCATTCCTTTAAGACACTTTTTCCCCCACTACTGATCTTATAGCTGTAATAAGTTGGACCATTATTACCCAACACTAGTCTTGTCTCAATGTCAAACTAGTGTCGTGCTACCAGTACTTAAAAAGGCATAGTGTACTACGCAAGTTTGTATGCTAGTATGTAAATCTGCATATGTGTATAAAGTGTGTGTGTTGCGTTGTGTGGCACCAGTGATACTTTAGTGTGTTTTCCACAGTCCTTAGGACTGTATGAGTATCTGTCAGTTGTCATCAGAAAGACAGCAGAGTATGGGAGGTGTTCTCCCATATGAGCTTACCTTTCCCAGTCGTAAACTTTAATGTTTAAATCACTAATGCCATTTTTAACCTTTACATCTTCTCTTTGTCTTCCTGATTGGGTAAGCTCTCTTGATTTATCTCATGTGTTCATATTGTGTCAGAGGGAATGTAACACGCTAGTGATGGGAGAGTGTAGCCTTTAAGAACAAGCTCCATTTTAGAGGGTGATGATGAGCCAGGGTCAATGCTCTCTCCTGGATTAGCATGCCAGGCAGTGAGTAGCCTACTTCTAAGCATGTTTGTGTTACTGTTGAGAGGGTCCGTGGCTCTTGATTTTGGTGGCGAATGAAAATAAAGCAGTGAATGTGTTTAGAAAGTTTATAGTAGCTTTTAAAATGCTGACTTATATATTTTTTTTTTAAGTAATATGTGTGTTTTTTTTAAAAAATGAACTGAAGCCATTTACTCTGTTATAGGATTAATTTATTTACGTAAGATTGTGTATCACACTTTAAAACGTTCAGACTCCAGACCCTCATTGCTTTTCAAAATTAGCCTAAGGTGTTCCTCATTCCTACTTCTTCCACCTCAGAAACCTTAAGCAAGAAAACTACACATACTAGTTTTTCCTGTGTATGCAGTATTTTATTTTTCCATTTGTACATTCTAGGCACGTAGAGTGCACTACGTCAGCTGTTTGTCTTAAAATTTATTCTAACAATAGACGGTACATGATATAAAGTCTAGTAGACAGTACATGGTAAACGCAGCCAGTAATAGTAAGAATAAATCATATTTTGCATGGAAAACAGGAGTTTTTGAAAGTCCAGACATTGAGGTTTAAGATGGAGTAAATGCTGTGTACAAGAACTGAACAGTTAGGGTTATTGTGCTGAACACTAAATGCTACTTTGGATTTATGATGTCTTTATGGTAACCACTGCATTAATAGGCCACGGTGCTTAGGTTTATATAAATAGGACCTCAAACAATTTGAATATGAAGTTGTTGATAAAAGCAGGTAATGACTGGTGTACAAAGACTTCAGCTGCAATGTTGGTTGGTATCCCAGCCAAATATCAGAAATAATCAAGATATCAGTATCAGAATCAATGTTGAACCTACACACTGTTTAATTTGTAAAATGTTCAGCTGCTGGGATTAAATTGCCCAGCGCTCTGATTAAGTTAATCACCACAAAAATCTGCAGTACTTCTTCATTCTTGTTTTTCACTTAAAATAAAGTTGTTTTGGGTGTTTTGTACAGTGACCTTGTCTGTGTGTAATGTGCCTTAAAAAGAATATTCTTTTCTAGCTTGTTCCATAGGATAAAGTAGCTTTCCTCTATTTTGAAAGCAGCAGTGAAGCATCCTCCGTTCGCCCGTTCTGAGAAGTTCAGGATGACTTCTGTTGTGTGTTGTTGTGGTTCTTCTGACACAACTCAATTTGCTGGTCAAGCTAATATTGTGAAACATTGGTTACGTGTGGCTGGGAGAGAGTGATGACATTGCAATATAACAATGAGTGTGTCATAAAAAGCTTTCTGATGTTGAGATCTGAAGAGTTTCACAGTGTACACAAGGCTTAATTTATGGGGTTATGGTGACACTGGTGACTGTGTTAGTTTTTTAAGGTTCAAAGTCCTGATGTACTCCTGACTGTTAATCTAACACAGGCATTTAGATTTAGCAGACTTTCCTGATATTCCTGAAAACCTGGTGAAAGTAACAGAGTTTCCATTCATCTGGCAGGGAACTTCCTCAGGCCAAGAGGGACTCAGTGTGCATGTGTGCGTTTCTGCACTCACACATAGTATATGCTTTGCTACTGTTATTGTTTGGTGGACATCCTTCCTCTCTGTGAGCTTAGCCACTTCTCCATTAAGAACTGTAGCACGGTGTGCAGCCTCTGTGAAATGCACTGGTAGCTGTCTGCTGAGATCAGTAGCTGGTACAGCTACTGTGTGATTTTTACAGTTCTGCACCAGCAGACTGATAGCTTGACCTCTGTGAAGCATACTCGGTCTGATAAGATAACATAGCTGAGTCTCTGCTACCTAGTACATGCACATCAGCCGCTATGTATCAAGTTGTTGTAGTCCAGGGTTTATGATGTCTGAGGCCCAGTTAAACCCCTCTTTCAGGCCTGTAAGTAGAGAATTTTTTCTCAACATACTGGTGCTTGTAAACAATGAGTTGCCACCTCCTGGCGTAGTCCGTCTTGGTTACACTACTGTTCCACTTCCCGCAAACCAGCAGTAATTGGAGAGTTGATGCTAAACTGGTGCTTCAGCCTCAACAATGTCCTCTAAATCTGCCACACTGTCGCCTCACAATGGCCATTTTGCTTTTATTGGCCGGCATTGTGTACATCAGTGTTGTTTTTACTCCTTCTGACCTGTTGTACTACTGTAGGTGGGGCAAAGAGCATTGTTTAAGACACAGATGTTCTTTGGTTGGAAGATGTGCTTAGAATACATTAGGCTTCTGATATCGTCTTGGCTTTACACTGATTTACTTTATGCTAGATTAGCATGAAATTGATAAGTAGAATTGATTTTGTTTCTTTCCATTTTTTGTATGCATGAGTGTTCTGCACTCCAACTCATTATCCTAATCTCCAGGTTTTGCTTCATTAACACTGCATAAGTGAGTGACATGGTGGAATATTGCTGCCCAAGGAAAACACTATGAGAAAGTAGTATTTTTTTTTTCTTGCTCGATTATAGTTTAATGTCTTCTTGTTTGGGCTGGGCGATATGACCAAAAATGTTATCAAGTTAAAAATGTTCGTATCAGTCGATATAAACGATAAATGTCAAATCATTATTTCTATGAGATTTAAAGGCTGATTTTTGCTTTGTTGTTAAATAAACTAGATGGTTAATCGTGGTTTTAAACTATTCTTTATGTTCTGAACATGACAAACACTTGCCAAACAGTGGAACAGTGTTTTTGTCTTGTTTGTTCACTGTAGTTCAGTACAATAACGCCCATTTGGCCATACTGTGCAAGTGACCATACACTGCTTCAAGTTAGCCAGCTGCTAAAAACAGCTAGCCTGGGAAGATAGCGTTCTCCCACTCTCCCATGTCACACATACAGCATCTTCAGTTTACTTTAGTTTAAATCAGTGCTGTAACTAACATGAACCCACTTCTTTCTTTCACTTTTGTAGCTTGCAAATAACTGTTTGGGTGCTGTAACTCACAGACCACTTCGGCTGTAGTTGTGTGTGCAGATGTGATTTAAGGCTGCCAAAGCCTGTTAGGATAGAAGTGAGTTCGCTCTGTGCCAGTACAGTTACATGCCACTTATCACTCACAGGTGAACAATTGGCAATCGTTCCAATCAAACAGGGAAGGTATAACCCCACGTTTACGTCTAAGTATATTTGGTGACCCATTTTAGTCCCCATCCTGGAAGTGTGCCCTCTCATGGTGACAATAGTGTTGCTTTTCTTACAGTAGAAGATGCCACCAGGGCTATTGCTAGAACGCGGAAGAGTGAATAGTCTGTTATATCAAACATTTCTTATATTTCTATTGAGAAAAGTTGTATTACAGTAATTATTGTTATCGTTTTATCGCCCAGCCCCTCTTGTTGTTGTGTTAGCATTTATCACAACTTGGTGTGCGCTTTTTCCATTTGTTTCTCCCTGTTTTGTTTTTTTTTGTTTGTTTTTTTGCTTATTGTTTAAGCTCTACAGATCAGCTAAACATAATTCATTTCCCAATCATTAAAATGCATCGTTTTAATGAAGTCTATGCCTTTTTGTTTTTTTATTAGTGAAAAGTAAAACTCTTTTGTGTTGTTTGGATGGTTTTAGAAGTGAAGGAATGTTCAGTTTAGCATTCTGTACAGTATCCAGACACAAGGTAATACTTACATAAAAGCTCTGCCTTTGTCGCATTTTATGTCATGTGGTTTCACCCAATTAGCAAATTATTACACACCTTAGGACAGGTGAACACACCTGAGTATTACTATGTGATCAGGAATGTGAATGAACGTTGCTGTAGACAGTAGCAATTGCTTGGCATGAGTCCTAGAAATATAAAAGAATATGTGAAACGGAAGTGGGTGCTTATTAGTCAGATAAGAAGTATAATGTAATGATGTAGATGTGAAACCTCTTGGTGTCTGTTGCATTTCCCAGCCTCTGCGAACGTTCAGACTGTTTGTTGTTGTTCCTGGTTGTGCATGTATGTAGTTGATTCGCACTTATCTGTATTTGTCTGATACAAGCACTGCCCTGAGGATATAAAATGCACGCAGGGCATGACGTGGTTTTAACTGCAATTGCTCTGTAGTTTATACTTAGGTATTTAGCTGGAATCCATCCTTGGACCTTCTGAATCATTGCCAGAAATCTCTCCCATATCCAACACTTGACACTTGATCTTCAGTAGCTCTCAGTAGCTCTAAACCTCTCCCCCCTGCTTGTATTCTAGTCACTTTTACCCCTTTTTTTTCCCCCCTCTTTGTGGAGATGCTCAAAATTGATGTGTCTGTATGTGTGAGTGAGAGAAAAATTAAGCAAGACCAATCTCTAGCCCCGTGCGCCATTAGTCTGGATTTGAGACTCATACTGACCTACTTCCACATGGAAACATGGCAAGCCAGGGCTGCGTTTTTTTGGGTCTGTGTCTTTCGTACATACACACACACACAAATGCTACTGACACAGCTTCCACCAACTTCTAGATTACAGCTTCCAGGAGCCCCAGCGCATAGTTTTATGTTCTGCTTTGAAACGAAAGCATTCTGCTTGTTAAAGCTCTGTGTCTTTGTGTTTTTCAGGCTCGTAACATCTCCACAGGAGAGCTAGCAGCTGTAAAGATCATTAAATTGGAGCCAGGTGAGTTTCAGCTTCAGCCATACTTTAGACTGCCCCAACTAAGACCATAAAATTTCAATAAAACCATTCCAGCCACTTGACTGTAGGGAATTCTGTCGATTTGCCCTTTAGTATTTTTCATAACGTTTTTGAAGTACAGCCATTGCAGTAATCCTAAGAATGTGTAAGCTTCTTTCATTGTGGCATACAGTGTAAAGAATGCATGTCCAGTCCAATGCCTGGGGAAAGGAAGAGCCTTCCAGTAAAGTCCATCTGTTGAGTTGTTAAATTTCTCTATACACAAAGGTCTTCTAGATTCTGTTCAAAGAGTATGGTTTATAAATAAAGTCTGATGCTCATATCACGTGTAAAATCTGAAATAGTTTTATATGTAAAGCTAATGTGTCAGTGTTCACCCACAGAACATCAGCCACAGAAGGGAACTGCCTAAGTGTTGAAAGTGTGCTAATGTGATAATGTTGTCATTAGCAGGGCAGGGCCTAGAAATAAAAAACAAATCACTTCACACCAAGCAGCAACATTCTAAGATTTCAATATCTGTCTGCAAAAAAAAATTCCTAATCCTTCTAGTACAAAATAAGCGAAAGCAGTTAATTTATTTCATTTTACATGGACTACAGGGAGACCTAATATACTGAAAAAGTAGGTTAAAGCTGTTACATTAGGCACTTGTATTTATATTATTGATGTTCACACAGACATAGGCTGTGGAGTTTTTAAACCAAGTTGCCTCAGAGTACATCAGATATCCCATTATCTTCTGGAAGTTGTTATTTGGTGATCTTTCTGCTGCATAGTTTAGTGTGACAAAGTTAATATTTAGAATACATTTACCGTAAGCTCAATTTACCTTGAAGTTGTGTGTAGTGCCAGTGGTCTAAATGACTAGAGGCTCTAACACAGCTGGCTACCTTCTTCAGTCATTTATCGTCAGCTTTTGAGATGCTGCACAGAATGCATTAAATGATTGTAAAGAGCAGCACATGAGACATAGCATCGATGCAGAGACATTGAGGAGTTTGTGAAGACATAAATAATGCATGCATCCACTCATCACAGACATAACTTACCCAATGAAGACTACATAAATGAAGTGAGTAATAAAAATCAGACTCCTGTGTGTACAGCAAAGTTGAGGAAAAACAACACCAGCAAAACTCAAAACGTAGCTTAAAAAGCGTTCTGAGGCACATTGCCGCAGTGGGACAATTTATATCATACTTTTAATTACTTAACTTTGACTTTCAAATGTAGCCTATGTAAGCAATTTCAGTACATAAAATAGATCATCATACCCAGCAGATCACTGACAATGACCCAGTAACCTTTTTAAGAAGTGAACTTCTTCAATTTGTGTTTTGCTTTTGGCAATAGGTAGAAAACAACTAATTCTTGTCAATCTTATTGGGGCTCACTATTTACTAATTACAGGTCGCAAATGCACATCTTTTGCCTTTTTTTCTGAAGCTTGAAATTCAACATAGTCATGCAAAACGCTCCAGTGCTAAGAAGTAAATGGAGAGCTAAGATTGCAAAGATTGTCATGAAACATGCCAGAAAACAATAGTGTCACTAAAGGAAATCTAATTTCTTCATCTTAAAAATGTAGCTTCGAAATATTTTTCTTCGCATCTGATTGGGTAGGCTTGTGATAGCTGGCATACCGTGTTCACATGCCTGCATGGAACGAATAAATAACATTGTTAACAGATGCCAGACGCTTCTGTTCTGGAACAGTTCATGTTTACATATTCAGTTTCACTTTTATTCTTTTAAGGAAATTACAGTTTGTTTCTGGTTTTTGTTTATTAAACTAGTTCAGAGCCTTTGTGCAAAATTTTGAGGTAGTTAAGGTTCACTTTTTTTTTAATCACAAGCCATTTGCATACCTAGTATTATCCTAAGAAGTGTGATATTCTTGGACCACTTGCAAGTTTTGAAATGTGATTCTGCAAACTCTGCAGATAGTTTTCCTGAATAAAAAGAAATTAATTCCTGGGGGCACTGGAGTGCCTCTGTGTTTTTTTGTTTTTTTTTGCCAGTGTGGGTTTATTGTGTCTAAAATTTGTAATCTCTGTATTGCTTCAACCTGCTGCTCCAGTCTGGCCATAAGAGTATAGGAAGGGGAGAGTATCTAGAATTGCTGTGACAAGGTACTTTTAGGGTGTACATGCATGTGTGTGCCTGCATTACTTGAACAACTGATCAGTACTTCAGGTGTAAAGGAAAGAAATTGCAGGTTGGCATTTCATGTTTTACGTTGCGTTTTGTATCGTATAGTAGTTCTATAGAATGAAAAGCAGATCTGTGAACTTCCTGACCTTTAATGAATTCTTTAATGAATCCACTTCTTTTAACCCTCAATGTTTGGGCCGACTGCAAATATGGACACACATTTGCTGCATGTCTGCAATGAAACGTTTTGTAGATTGTCTTATCTTATTGTCAGGGTGTGTATGTAATAACGTCACATGTTGTACTGCAAGTGAAGATTACCTTTTTTCCTTTTGTGTGTGTGTGTGTGTGTGTGTGTGTGTGTGTGTGTGTGTGTGTGTGTGTGTGAGTGAGGAAAAACTGGTTTGTCAAGTGTTAGTGGTATGTGCCATGCTGGATGGTACTCCTGCTTGAAAAAACACACACATATAGGGTGCATTCAGATTTGGTTTGTTTAAAACGAACCCTGGTGCAATAGCTCTGTTTGTGCAGTTCATTAGAACAGTGAGAACGCTATGCTGGTGTGCACCAAATGTGCAGACAGAGACCTCCTGAGCAGGTTGGTCTTGGTTCGCTTCTAGACAAACTCTGGCACGGTTCAGTTGATACAGATCAAAGACGAACCGTTGTCTCCTTAACTTTTTTGGTGCTTTGGAAAAGATGAGTTTATGATGCTGTTTTGACGCATGCATGTGTTTTATAATCTCTTCAATAGCCATGAAATGGTAATTATAGAACAGATAGTATGGATTTTAAAACGAGGCCGAGGAACGTTTGACGTCATTATAACATACTCGATATACACATTTGACTGCACACATAAATAATCTTATGTATCAAGGCTCCAAGGATTCTCTGTTTTGTCAAAGCAGTAAGCCACTTCAGACTGTTGCAGGGGTTTCCCCCAGCTTTGTGTTGTGTGAAACCACCGTAACGTAGGGAGTCTTATTGCTCTGATACCACAAGATTGTTATAAATAAAACCAACATAATAAAACTAACAATCCCATATAGAACAGAGAAAAGGATAATTCAGAAAGTACGGTGGACGTTATCACTGTTATTGTACATCTCATAATCTTCCCAGTCACCTTGTTACCTTTTACTGGTATGACTTTTGTTTACAACTGTTAGTTTGATGTTAAATATGTCAGTGTGAACAGTAAGCAAACCAGATAAATGCAGCAATGTATTATTTTCTGCTTTGGTCAGGACCACAGGAAACAAACCACAAGTATAAAGGCACCTGTTAGATGTATACTGCACTTGCGTGGTTCTGCTGACAGTAAGCTGGCCCTCTCAGAAATAGGGGTGCACAGATGAGGACTGTGTTTTAAGCAGATCAGTTCTATGAGTCTAGCTGCTTTCCCAGACCCATATTAAGCCTAAGCCTAGAGTAAACAGAATATTTAGTGGTAAAACACCTTTAGCACTGCTCCTTTGCCCAGGACTAGATTTAATCAATATTTAAAGACCCCCTGCTCACAAAAATGTATTTTTAAATGGTTAACTCGTCTTGGATGGCTTATTATGATTATATAGACTGATATTTGTGTCACGTGTTGCCATTGTGCACATTTTTCCTTTGAAAACAGACTTTCTTAGTAAATCTGAAAAAAGCAATTTGTGGAGTGCTACGTAACAGCTTAGTTTTGTACGTCATAAATGAGCTAGAACCTCATTTGCATACAGCTACAGAACATAACAGCACTAATGTAGCTTAATGTAGTTTGAGATGTTTGGGCCGTGCAGTAAGTCGTTAGCTGAAATAAATAAATGACTGTTGGGTATTTTTTTTTTCTAATTCTGATAGTACCACATTTATATTCCACATAAACTAATAAACTGTCAAATGTCATGTGAAGCAGTTCTAGTAACAGGTAGCGTTCTACTTCAGTAGCCACAGCACAGGTTCCTTCTGGCTTACTGAAGTTTCACTGACGCAAGTTTCGGGGGGGAAAAAGCTTCAGATTTGACAGGGGAAACCTGTTTTTTGTGTCTGTCTTCATTAGCACCAGAGCTTAGTGAGAAGTTTAAAATAGATCCACACAACCACAAACGTTCGTTACGGCTCACTGACGCTGCGCTGAGGCAGGTTCAGAGGATAAAGACTAAGTGAGGCAGACAGAAAGACAGAATCTTTGATTAATAAAAGTGGGAGCTTAATTTCTGCTCTGCTTTGTCTCATCTGTTCAAATAGAGAAATGCCTTGCTGGGTGTTGGGGAGAAGGGCTTGGTTTAGAAAGAGAGAGGCAAGGAAATGTTTACAATTTGCATAGTAATGCATATTTATTAATTTAATTAATTTATTAATTAATTTGGTTTAGGGGTGCTCCTATGCCATTTTTAGTAGTTTCTTGGACATAACTGTAATACACTTAACATATTCTACATGGATTATTTTTTGTGTTTGTGTTTTTATTTATGCTTTTTGGAGTTTATTAAGAAACTGGTCTGTAGAAAAGTGTCTATAGTTTGTTCCCCCAAAATGAAGACCACATCAACACTACAAACTAACTCTTTCTACTGCAGTTCAAAATTTTGTTTTTTGTAATTCCTTTAGTAATGATGGTTTCAGTTTTTAAAAGGGCAATTTGTGAATTAACCTTATGATGTCACGTAATTGTGTAATAGTGATCTGGAATGTGTAATTACACACAATGTGCAGAATAACATTTTGTAACGTGGGTTATGTTTGGATGTGAATGGTTGAAAAAGGCGTGTCTTCCAACCATGTCAAGTGAGTTATCTACTCATACGTCAGTATAATGTTGATTTTACATTTGAGACCTTAACATTGAGCTAGACTTTCTTTTTGAGCCTGTGCGTGTGACATTAATACATAAACACCTGACCTGACAGCTGACTTTTAAATTATTGTTATAGGCTTTACAGCAGCAGCGCGCACACACTATATTTGACTCAGTAACGCTATTTTTCAGTTTCAGCAAAATCTTACATAGTGTTGCTCTGCTGTTCATTTTTAATCTTCTGCTAGTTGATTTGCTAGCAGTAAGGTAATGATTCCCTGTTTACGGAATGTGCTGTTTAGTTGTTAGTTGAGATTGATATAATGTCACAATGTTTATATAATGGATACCCATAGCACCAATGACCATGACCACACAAAGGATAACTGACCCATGTTTGTTGTTCTGCAGGACAAAGAGGCCCAAGATAAGATACAGATGGGTGTGACACATGCGCACCTCAGTTTTATGTTCTCAGTCTTTCTGGTACATTTAAGATGCTCAGCGTGTTTACTGTGAACAAAGCGGATGTGGTCAGGGCTGTGGGACTGTAGATCAGAATGAGCACTCCAAGAGATTGTTATTTTGTTTCTGACTATTCAGGCACTTTCAGTATGGCACACCCAAGATGAACTAGGCTGCATTTCTGTGGCAAGACATCAAACATAGCTGAGGCCGTAGTGTCTCCATAACTGCCTTGAGAATATATTTATCTGGGTTGTCTTTTGCTGTACTGACTAACGCTGTACTGAGCACTGTGGAGCACTTAATTAGCATTAGTGCAAGGCTGCAGTTCTGGAGTTATGTCTTCGAGGTGTGATAGTGTTTTACATGTGCCGTGTATGTCATTTTCAGGTGTTAATCCCACTGCAGGGTATGTGAGCCTTAACCTGTATCGTAAAAGGTAAAGCTGATCAAGTGGATTTATAGCTAAAGGGGAGTCTTTGCACTATTCTCAGACCCATGCTGCTCTAAAGAAGATTTACTGTGGCACTGAGGCTGTATATAGTACTGTTAAGCTCACACACAGGGTGCATTCATGTGTAATTGTTTGTGTTTGCACACCAGCCATGATGGCTAGATTTTGTTATACACTTATACAGACTTAACTGTAGAAGTGCTTTCCTCCACAGCACTTGTTTCTAGAGGACTACAAAAACTGGTTGCAGTCTTAGTACTGCTGCTCTTTTTTCATTCTTAAGCACTTCACTCACTTTAAAACCCTGTCTGCAAACGTTCTCCATATTTAGAATTTGTGTCAAACTCCATTTACAGGCTGTGCTCTCAAGCTCAGCTTGTTCCCTTCAGTTTCCCTTGATCAATGTTAACTTATTAAGGTATTTATTGAGTTGTTGCCATATTTTTAGTGGGAGAATTTGAATGGAGTATTTTTCCTGTGTCATACTAACTGTTGTACCTCCATCTGTGTCTGTCTTTCTCTCTTTCTTCCCTCTGTGTGTTCTAGGAGATGATTTCTCAATCATCCAGCAGGAAATTTTCATGGTGAAAGAATGCACTCATCACAACATAGTGGCCTACTTCGGTAGCTACCTCAGGTATTGCCAAAATGCAGTGTGCGTTTGTGTGGCTGCTGAAATGGGTGCTGTGTTATCCACAGGAAGCGGAACATAACTCTTTTGTCAGATTCAAGTAAACCTGTGCTCTTGTTCCTTCTTTGTCATATTTCTACAGCACTGTTTCTTTAAATTATATATTTACATTTTGTCGCTGTAAAAAGCAGATATTAACAATGCTGCGTAACGTAAATAAATTAATTTAAAATGAATGGCAAGCAAAGGGAAATTTGGAAAAAAAAAAAATCTAAATTCTGTTCTCTCTCATTTCAGTCGAGAGAAGTTGTGGATTTGTATGGAATACTGTGGAGGAGGCTCCCTGCAGGACATCTACCATGGTACTGTGTGTGTGTGGGTGTATGTGTGTGTGTCGTTCTCGTACTTGTTATTCTTGTTTTTTTTTATTGGCATTTAATTTTTTTCTATTTGTCTATTTTTTACATAGTGGTTTTAAGTTGCAATTTGTGTGTTGTTTTTTTGTTGCTATATAGGTCTATGTTGCCTGTCTTAGTCAAAAGCTTCATGCTTACCTGTTTTTCAGTGCTAGTCCCAAAATAGCCCTGCACTGTACATTTTACTGTCTTCCCTACTCTGATGCTCCTGTTTTACACCCATGAAGGGTTATTAATTATCACATGCATTCAGTCAAGTATCTTGGGAGTGGGGCTTCATGAAATGTAATTTGTTAGTTGTTTTTGCAATACCGACCTTCACATTCCTGATGCAGATGACAATAAAAGAAAAAGGCTTGTTGTGTGCTGTGATGTCTTAGTGTGTTTTAGATCAATGTTTCTGTGGGTATTTTCATAAATTAGTGCATCTGCATGAAACCCACAAATGCGTGTAAGTCTTGTCAAAAACACGAAAATGTTCATTGAAATGTTCAGTAAAAGTAATCCAGGATAAGGAATAGATAATTCTTCTGCTAGGTATGTGATACATATTCAAGTAAACCTGTGCTCTGGTTGTTAGACTCCCTAAGCACAAACGCAATGCTAGGAGAGCCATCATAATAGCTTGGACTTCACAACTTCAGGCACCGGTCTCACGAAACGTTTAATTTAGACAGCATTCCTGACTAAGTTTCAGCTTCACAAATCCTAACAAATGGAGTACCGCTTGACTAGTTTCACAACAGCAGTTAACAACTTTCTTTCTAACTCAGGTTTAGACACTCAAGCTATGATCTTTGTACACGTTAAGCGTGATGTACATGACAAACAGCCAGTCGTGTGAAACATGAGCAGAAGTCAAGGAGCTTATTTTCAAAAGAGGAAGACGCCATGCTACGTAAATATGTAGAAAGTAAAGCAGATGTAGCAGGAAGAGTTCTGGAGAGATGAATGTGATTTATTTTCTCCATTAAAAAGCGATATTTTTAATGTAAGTGACGCAACGGAAGTGGAACAGGACCAGAGGGTCCACACAAGCTCCACCCTGATTAGTCGAAAAACTGTTTATGATCCAATATCTCGAATTTAATCTGACATTGAACAGAAATACGTTTTCGTGAGACAGGCTGCAGGTAAAGATGATGTTAATAAATAAGACTTTAAATACTGTACATAATGTTAGTTTTTATGTGGTCATTGTAACATCAGTGTCTAATACCATGATTATTCCATATTATGACACCCTGTTCAAACAGAATTTATATCAGTGTTATCCCACATTATCCTATAATCAGCTGTGAATTTTTACACTTATTTAACAGTGTATCTATCTGTGTCTGTGTTTGTGTCTGTTGGTGTGGCTGTGTTTATGTGCACAGTTACAGGTCCTCTGTCTGAACTTCAGATTGCATATGTGTGCAGAGAGACATTACAGGTAAGGTCTGAGGCTCAGAAATAACTTGTTTCTCCTTTTACTAAAGCTAAAAGTATGTGATATGATAATGGAGATTATTTGGGTTTACTCTTTGGTGGTTATTATAGTTATTGCAGTCAACAAGCTTTGCACAATACATATGTAGTTATGATTTGCCAGGTCATGTTAATGCATACAAATAATCTTTTATTTGATCATATATACATTCAACATTTAAAAAAAAAAAAAATTATATTTTTTTTTGTGCAGTAGTTGGAAATAAAAATAAATGAAAAATAGGGATGCACTGAAACTCTAGCCATTGAAACATTTCTGCAGAAAATGGTGAAATTTGCCATTTTCACCAGGCTGAAATTTACTGAAGAAAGCAAAAGATGAAATAGGATTACAACGAAGTGTTGCAATGTAAGACTTTACAGGTACTTTTAATGGTAATGAAAAATAACTGTGTTCCCTTTGGTCTCCTAAGCTGCTCAGCACAGATGCGTTCAAACAGTTTGAGAGGCAGCAGATGAAAGTGGATGAAGAAAAAGTAATCACAAACAACAGTGCCAATGTGCAGAGTACAACAAAAAATATTAAAATTCATTGCATTGTTGTTGAGGATGCTTCTATAGGATCTTACTATAGGCACATACTGTAGCCCAGCCTACATACTGTAATAATTTAAGTGTAACTCTAAGCAGTTTTTATCAATAGTGACAATTTATATTCTTTACTAATTTATAATAACACTGTGTAGTATGTTTATTTTAACAACATGAATAAAAACTTCAGTTTCGACCTGGTGTGTCTTGGACTTTTGCTTTGTATTTGGGCAGGAGTTTTAATTTATTTCAGTGTGTTACTTGATAAAATTAATTAAAATTGAATAAATTCTTTGTAATAAGAGAGGAGAAGTTGACTTGAGTTTTAGTTTAAATCAAACCACCTTTTCTTTAGTGTGGTACTGAATTGAATGTACACATCAGTCTATTCTCAGCCAGCTTTGGTATATTATGATATGGCACTAGTTAATGTGGCATAATGAATGACAAGCTTAAAACTGATCTTTTAACAACATGAGCATGGTCATAGTCATTTGCATGAAGATATTATGTATGTTTGGAAATGTTTCAGTCTTACATCTAGTGCCTACAAGGCTAGATTTGACTCTCATGGTGATATCCGTTTGAATTCATGGTTTTGTGTTGTGTTTTAATTATTATTATTTTTAGGGTCTGGGTTATCTCCACTCTAAAGGAAAGATGCACAGAGATATCAAGGTAGAGTTTTCACTGCTTCTTGTGTGTGTGTGTGTGCGCGCGCGCGTGTGTGTGTGTGTGTGTGTGTGTGTGTCTGCATGCGGGTGTATTATCAGAACTGTGACATTTTCCTGCTTCCTCTTCTTGGTTAGCAAGCTGTCAATCAAATACAGATGTACATGCCCCCAGTTAAAAAATGCTTAGCAGCTTCCTTATAGTCTAAATGCCTTTGATGAGATCAAATACCATTTCTTTAGTATGTGTATGTGTGTGTGTGTGTGTGTGTGTGTGGTGTGTGTGTGTGTGTGTGTGTGTACTAATCTCAGAATGCTTAGCATAAAATGCCTTAACTTTAATGTAGTAAATGCTTTGTTTGACTTTCATTTTATTCATTTATCACTGTTTAAGTACACATTGCTATGTACATAGAGACTGTTGACCACTGTATTATGTGTCCCACTGTTGCAGGTTATTGTTTACATTATTATGGGTATTTGATGCATCAGGGACAGCAAATGGAATTTAACTCTTAACATGTCCTGACACTGTGATGCACGATCTCTCCGGAGTCTTCATATTCTTAACAGCTTTTCATCCTTATGCTGTATATAGGGGGCGAATATTTTGCTCACTGACAACGGAGATGTCAAACTAGGTGAGAGTTTGTTTGTATGTGTGTTTGTCTGTTCAACATTTTTGAAACAAATATATTTGAGTTTGTTCAGTGTTTCTGTGCATTATCTATACGATGTGTGACTGATAAGAGATCTAAACCAAGACTGTTCTCATTTGTCAGCTGACTTTGGAGTTGCAGCAAAAATAACAGCCACCATCGCCAAGAGGAAATCATTCATTGGCACCCCCTACTGGTAAGTGTGCTAATGTGTGATTTACAAGTTGTGTGACTGTTCTTTTTTTTAATTAGTCAGCTAGTCATTCAAAAAACTACTTAACTAGATATCATTACTAATGTATATTGGAGGAAAATATTGTGTTCCAGGCGTCCTTTAAAAATTTTAGCAGCTTTCTGCAAGTGGCAGCAGATGCTGCATTTTGTGGTGTGAGATGTGCCTTGCGGAAGAGGTGTGTTTTTTTGTGTGTGTGTATGTGGTTCAGTTAAGCTCAGGCTCAGCCACTCTGCTTATAGTTACGCAGCCTGTCTGATCTAAACTGCATATTAAAATAGAGAGGACTGATTAAGCTTTATACAATCATTGACTAAAATCATCACAGTTCTCAGTAGCTTCTCTAGCTCTCTTCTTCTCTAGTAATCCTGTGCACCAGTTTAATCAGTCAGACGGGAAATAAAGGCATGCCTTTGTCATTTCTGTACGCAGCCTTTCAGCTTGAGATATAGTTATTGGACTGAAAAAAAATCCTTCAAATAGCAAGTAAGCAAGATACTTTGGTTGCCAGTATTGCATACAGCTTTGTTTTCATTCCGACACAACATGCTGAATGGTTTGGTTTGCATGTCATCACAGTTAGTAGTTCTCAAAACCTGCAAAGACTAGCTTGTGAGACTATATTTTATCATGGGTTTACACAGCTTGCATCTTGTGTTGCTTTTCCATACTTAAAAGTATTTTGGACTTTTGTTTTCAGGTGTCTGGTGTTCTAATTTCTTTTCTTCTGCAGGATGGCACCTGAAGTGGCTGCAGTAGAGAAGAATGGAGGTTACAATCAGTTGTGTGACATCTGGGCTGTAGGAATTACAGCAATAGAACTTGCTGAATTACAGCCACCCATGTTTGACTTGCACCCAATGAGGTACACAAAAACACACACTGTCTCTAATTAAACTTGATATAATGGGCAGAAAATGTATTAAGCATGTATTTGCTTTAAATGTTCTATGTGACTGTATTTATCACACTAATATATATATGTGTGTGTGTGTGTGTGTGTGTGTGTGTGTGTGTGCGCGCGCGCCCATGCTGCCTCTCCTTGTGCCCTTGTGCTTTGAAGGGCTTTGTTCTTAATGTCCAAAAGCAGCTTCCAGCCACCCAAATTAAAGGACAAGATTAAATGGTAAGTGTGTATCTATAGAAGTATAATACATATAATATGTGTGTTTGATGGCAACAGGATGTATTCATGAGAGAGTTCCTTAATCAGTTTGCAGCTTTGTTTCCCAGCTTCTCATTTTCACTCACCCTGTCACCTTCTCTTTATTCTGCCTTTTTTTTGTAGGTCTACAGCCTTCCAAAACTTTGTTAAAGTTTCTCTTACCAAGAACCCGAAGAAAAGACCCACAGCAGAAAAACTGCTCACGGTACAAGCACGTTTTTTTTTGTTTGTAAACTCAGCTGCACCTGTGTCTGCTCTCTTACTTTTTTGCTGTCTTTACTGGGGATAATCAATTGAATAGAAATTGGCTCGTAAACTTTAATACTCATGATCGGTCTTTGGTTCTTCCTGATATGTTGTTGCTATAATTGGGTCATTTTTAATTAGACTTGTGTGGAAAAAATACATTTCTGAATGATGTGACTAAAATTACACTTGGGTTTTTGTACTTTATTTGCAGTTCTGCGAAACACTGTACTGAACTTATTTTAAGCATTGTTTTCAGTTTCTGGTTTTCATTCACCTCTTTTGTATGTGTGTATTTGTCCTTGTGTATGTGTGTAGCATATGTTTGTAGCTCAGACAGGTTTGACACGTAGACTTGCAGTGGAGCTGCTGGATAAAATGAATAATCCAGACAACCATCCTCACTACACTGAGGGAGACGAGGATGATCTTGAGGTAATACAGTGTGTGCAAGCAAAAGGTCGAAAGTGACAAGATGTGTAGAAATCCTGTGACTCCATGCTGCTTTGTTCTGTCCATGTTCAGTATCTGGTTACAGGCAGTGATGTCTCTGTGTGTGTCTCAGGACCATTAATTCTGTCTGCATGTGCAGTGCCTTACAGATGCGTCACACTGTCAAACACTTGTTCTCCCTCTCTTACACACTCACATTCACACACTGAAACACTGCTTCAGTGCATGTATGCAGTCAGCAATGTAGTACTGTTGTATTAACTCTTCTAACTGCAGCCTTTCTTTCTCGCTGTCTTTGTCTCACTCTCCAGCCCCTGGCTGAGCGCCACACCATCCGTTCAACCCACAACAAGAATGCTCGGGCTGAGAGAACTCGCTCAGAGATCAACTGTAAGTGAGCACCAACGTACAGCCAAATTACACTTCGGCTCATTTGGTTACAGCCATGCATACTTAGCATTACTTAACGAACATTTGTCTGTGGCCTTCATGGTCGCATAAGCACTCACAAATCAGAGGATTTATTCTAAAGTGGGAGGGCGGATTCTAGAACATCCAGCGAGTTATTGGAAATGTAAATTCATGACACCGTTATCAACCCATAGTTTGGGCTTTGTGTGAGTTTGGGTAGTCTGGTTGTACATTGTAGATTATTCTGCTTTTTCAATTTGTTTTCAGTCTCTACTTGCTTATTCAGAGTGTACACACAAAAATTACAAATATTAGTATGGAAGTAAACTCAAATCCAGCTTAAGAGAGCTCACACTGATGTCCAAGGAAGGCGTAGGCATTGTCTAGGAGTGGTTGGTATGAGTAAGGCACCACTGCACACAGGGTTTCATTTCACGTTCGAATTTGTGTGCAAGTAGAAGTTTTGAATACTTTCTGTTAATTTTATTCTGTACTGTAGTGTTTCTGTACTCATATTGACAGTGTGTATATGTATGAATTTATCCTGTAGCTGCAAATGGTACGGACTTGACTGAAACCCCCTGCGTTCTTTGCAACTCTCAGTGCAAGGGAGAGCCAGGTCAGAGTAGTTTAGAGTAAAGGAGTAGAGTTGTGTGTGTCTGTGACTGTGGCCCATAAATGTAGCTGGATGGAGAGAATCCCTGTACTTCTAGTAGGAATTTTTTCAAAATTGTTTTGGCTGACAACTGACAAATTGTTGGTAAGTGATTAATCGCTAACCAACAAATCTAAAAGCAATGCCCAAAAAATGATCAGTTGTAAATCAGAAACTTCCAGATCTAAAAGCTAACTGGCTGAGCAATGTTCAAAACCATTGTAAAATGTTTGATATACCCACACATAGGAGTGCACTCAACTAGCAACCAGCAAACCAAAAATCAAGAATGTAACCCGTCAAAATATCACTTATGAACAAGAAACTCAACGATGTAAAAGTTGACTGGCTGTACTTTGTTCAACACCACTGTAAACTATTGTCAAAACGTTGTGAAATATCAGATTTTCACAATTTGAAGTGATTTTTCCATGTCCATTGGTCAGAAGCGATTGATGGTGTGGATGAGCTCATAGTGTGAGAAGAGAAGTCAAATCTTTAACCTGCTGATTGAGCTCTGGAGTGAACGAAGGCCTTCCACTGTTTTCAGATATGTTTTAACTCGTTGACAAGTACTATACAGTAAGATGGTCAGTGATGTAATTGTATGAGTGATTCAGGCGACAACTAGTCAGAAAGCAAGCAGAAAGGAAAAAAGGGTAAGAGAAATGTGACGTATGCGTGCTGCATAAGCAGTGGACCGCTGAGACAGAGGAGCTGTTTGCTGAACATGGGCAAATCGTCATTCTCTTTACAGTTCCTAGTCAGCTGCCAGTTTGTATTCAAATATTTCTCCATTGTAAAATTCTTGATATACACACACTTATGAGTGCACACTCATTTACTCATTTACAGAGATATGAAGAAGTGTTCCTTGGGTAAATCCTAGAATGCAGTTCACTGATAGGTTGAGCCAGACAAGAGTGTCTATAAAGAAAACAGCTTGAAACTGTATTGATCCTATGTCAGAACTCAAAGTTTTGTTTACCCTGAGGGGCTGACAACTATAATTTTTTCATAATTTAATGACCAAAAACTAAGATGTTGAAATGACTTCTGTATAGAATGATGGACTACTGAAAGTTTTACATTCCAAAGTTATGTTCACCACTCATTACTACCCCAAGTGAAAATGCCATGACTAGGGCTAGCTTTGGTTCAGTCTACCTCAGTAGCTCTTATCACATTTCTTGATAGCTTTGCGCACCCATGTGTGATTTCCTCACTCTGGTCTGCATGACTTTTTTTTTTAGGAGATTAAAAAAAACGCAACAGTTGTCTCTTATCACTTGTGGTTATGTGCTTTCGGTATGGTGCGCCGTTGTAAGTGTGCTGTCGACCTCGTGAAAAGTGGTTTTCAACGCCACTCTTTGCAGCTGCACACTTGATTTATTTAAGTACGGTATATAGCAGATAATTCAAAAACATTCCTCAACTTGCATGACATCAGCCTATTCAAATAGAAACTGTTTATTAGAAATAAAATAAAATTAATTAATTTTTTTACTCAATAGCATTGGTCCAACAATTGTTTGTCAGTTAATGGTTAATCGGTTAATTATTTACATCTCAAGTTCCTAGTGTCCATGGTCTGTATGTCTGGCAGTTAGAATGTGTATGAAAGGCCAGTAGTGAACTGTGAGTAATGGTTTGTGCTTGGCAAGTAGTGCTTTCCTCGATGTGCTGTGTGTGCATGTTACTGTTCTGTGGGCATGTTGAGAGACATGAGGCTTTTCACTTTCTTGTTTGAAATGCATTTTAGGAAGTGTTTGAAGATGCTTAAGCTGATTTTTACAGAGATATTCATTATAAAGTAAGTTCTATAGCAGAGTCTTAAAAATAGTTAACTGGAACTCTTCTGTAAAACCTCTTCTGCTTTACAGCCATGGTTTCTTTCTCACATCCTCACAGACGCACAGAGACACACAGACAAGCAAAGCTGAGCTGTCGCTGCAAATGCACACATATAGAAACAGACGTACACACATGCGCGCGCACACACAGTCAAGTATTTGTGGTAAAGCAGACTGTTGTGTGAAGAACTATTAACTGCTACCCACTATTAATGTATCCTAAACAGAAAAAATGTTTTAAAAATTCCACAGAAAATTCTTTCTGAAATCCTTTGAGATCACCCTAAGAAAGGGTGAAATTTGCTGAAATTCCTCTGCCAAGGTTGGCTGAGCTAATATTCTGACAGGCCTGCACACAGTCTACATCTGTCCAGCCAACAGTAAACAGTCACAGACACACAGCTTTGAATTGTAAATTGTGCAGTTGATGTTTGGACCGTATCTTGTCTGCGACAAGAAGGCTCTGATATCTCTTATTTCTGTCTTTTGTCTATTTGCTGAGAAAGTATGGGTGTCAGTGAGTGTGGTCATGATGTGACCAGTCTCTAACCCTAAATGGCTATGTACAGAGCGTTTGACGCACTTGACAGGCGCGCGTGTGATCTGTCACTGAGCATGTTGACTCTCTTCTGGTTACCCAACAAAGATAAATGCTGAACTCCTGCCTCCCCCTTGTGGTGTGTTTGTGCATGGCATAGATCCTTTAGAACGGAAGAAGATTTAGAGGTTAGGCTCGGCAATGCATCAGTCCTCAAGTAGAGTATTAACCACTATACCGGTATTACCACAGTATAATCACTCTCAAATTATGCTTAAAGCAGCTTGCTGTAGGAGCACAAAGTAGATGTCTGGAACATAAGTACTTTTAAAAAAAGTTTATCCTCTGACTTGACAGCAATGAACATTTGCCTTGCACAATACTACTCTCTATTACTTCCTTCCTGCTTTTCCAAACTTTACATTTCAAAGAATCAATTCTACAGAATCAATAGATTAAATTGTGGTTAATTCTGTGGACAGTCGCATGTGAGATTTTGAAAGGTTGTAGTCTCTAAGTGGATCCCTGTATATATTATGAATGAAAGTCACCCTGTCCTAAAATATTTACTTCTAATACAAAAAAGTTAGCTGCATTCCTGATGGGGCGGAACAGCATTGATGATATTTTCCAAATATTTCACAGTATTTCACGATACTTTGCATTGCTAGTTTGCATTTATAAAGATAATGGACTCATGTTTCATGAATTTTGCTTCTCTGTATTAAGATTGTCTTGGGAACCTGACATACTTTTGTCTTCTTTTGATTAGACTGTTCTGTTTTCTTCTTGTAAAATTACACCACACTACAATGAACGCTGTCTAGACAAAAACTACATTTCAGAAAGGAAACTGACTATTTTCTTTATGGATTTGTAAACTGTTCTTTTGAACCAAACTGAAGCACCTGGTAAATGCCATGTATTTCTGTTGCCAATCAGGTTTTGGATATCATGAAAACAAAGTGTGTGGCAATAAGGACAGCTCTATTTTATGGGTGCTATGGCATTGACATGATGATCTGTGAAGTATATTGCAAAAAATTACCTCTCAAACTGAAAAGCAATGTGATGGTGTGTCATTATATCAATATGCACCATATGTCGTCCCAGGCTAATTTCTAGTAAACTTACGGTGCAGATGGTGTTAATTCAGTAGCTATAAGTAAGATGTATTGAACAGTGTTGTAGTTCGTGTGCATATGTGGTTGCTTTATCTGATTTGAATTGTGTCTGTGGTATGTTGCAGTTGATAAGCTGCAGTTTGAGGCTCCACTCAGGAAGGAGACAGAAGCACACTCAGAAATGGTAAATGCATAGACGTCCTATAATACTAATGACTCTCATCTCACAAACAAACTGGAAAATAGGTTTTTACTCCTTTAATGTATCATTCATAAAATCTATGCTAATTTGCCTGAACTCAAGCAATAACATACACTATAATGTGTGATTTCCTGTGACCGTATTAATGAAGTAGCAATATGATGTTACTCTGCACAGGATGTGACCAAAGAGAGTGATTTCTCTTCCCAGTGGAGCCCTTTTGCTGAGGGAGGCATCTCCAGCAGGTAACTGCAGAAACAGTTAAGATGGAGAACTTAAACAACCTGCTCCTCCACAGCAGGTGGCCTCCAACCACCACTTAACATACCAACACTCCCTTTTCATTCTCTCTTAAAACGTTTCTCTGGTAAATCACTGGGTCTGTGCATGTATTCCGCCCTTCAACATTGGCTAACCTGTCGCATTTGTGTGCCTGAGTCACTTGTTCTGGTCTCTCTGCTCTCATTCCCTTTGCTTTTGACTCCGTCTGTTTTTTTTCTTCTTCTTTTCCTGTGTTTGTGTTGTCATCCCCCAAATTCTGTTGCACCCGTTGCTTCTCCACTGAAGAAGCCTCCTGAAAAGCGTAGAGGAGGAGTTGTTCATACGGTAAAGCATGCAGTGTGTGTATGTGTGTGTCAGTGTACCCATGTTCCTTCCTTCATGTTTAAGTGGAGTGATGGTGCAGGATCGTTTTAGCTGTGTGTGTGTGTGTGTGTGTGTGTGTCTTACTACGACATTATTCTGGGTTTGCCTTTTTCTTCCACTCCTTTTTTTTTTTTCCTTTTTTTAAATAAATAATTAATATTGTTGCAGATGTTCCATTCCAGCTTTGAATTTCACATACCCCATCAGATCGGGGAGGGAGCCTGACTGAACGTGATTACTGAATATGTTCTCTCTCTCCCTCCCTGTCTTTGTCTCTTTCTCATTTCTCAACCCCTCTGTCTTCTCCACAGGGGACATATGGCTCCACTGGAAGATGCCTTTGAGGATGTGGAGATGTAAGTTTTTCAGTGCAGTACCTTCTGATCTGTGATAAATGACTGCATCTTCCTTTGTGCATGATTTAGTTTTACATATGTGTTTTAAATATTTTAGTTGTATCTCTTTCATATACTGGTACTTACTGAACATACCACTCATCTGACACGCTCACACTTTTTCTCATAAACTTTCTCCTTCAGATCTACCCTGAAACACGGAGTGCCACCACCTCTGCCTCCCAAGGTAAGCTTGGAATGATTGCATGTGAGCTAGGTTCTGTGTGTGTGTTTCTACAAAACATGTAGAAAAGGAAAGCTTGGGCATAAATTAAGAGTGGCTGAAATGTAACATGGATATTTTATGTAGTCAATCAGGTTCGAGTAGAATATGCTTTTAGTCAGGCTTCACATTCACAGTAGATATTTCTCAAGATTCACCCTGAAAAGTGTGTTCTATATGGTCTTGCATGCTTTTCAACATTAATTTAATGAAATTACTTAACAGAAATCACAAACAATACTGAGAAACTCAAAGCGTTTTGGTGCTAAACGTTTTACCTCTGGTTTTGACAGCTGGTACTGCGAACACATGTTTGTTAGATCCTAATGAGTTTTATTGTGTGTCTTTTTCTAAATGGTAAAAGGGACTTGTGTGCTAATGGAGAAACTTCAGACTGCTGGGTGGAAGTTCCAATGCCATGTCCACCGTCTTTACACATTAAAAAAATGAGGTGTTTTCCATCATTTTAGTGGAGAAGCTCTGGAATTCTGTAATGATAATCGCTTTTGAAGCATTGTCTGCATTATCACATTATTCAGCGTCATAAATAAATGGTCAAATTATTTATAAAAGAAACCTTTCTTTCAGTTTCTGTGCTCGACTGAGTGTCCCCTGAATTTTGAAGAATTTTCATTTCAGTGCTTGTTAGTAAATGTTTTTAACTCCTATATTGCTTAAATATCCCTGGTATCTGTAATAAAACACCATTTTGTGGAATGTAAATGACTCTCACTGAGAGCTAGTCAGGCTAAAGTACAGCCTCCACATGGTGGGCCTAGTTTTAACATAATGTTACAGCTGATACTTCTGAAGGGATGACACTGGGACAGGTCCATGTGTCCCCCATCTAAATTCAAAAAAAAATTTTTTTTGGAAGTTTACATGCACAGGGTCATTTAAAACGTACTATATTTGCCAAAATAAAATGTACCAAGTTGTCTAAATACAAATATTTGAATTTTATCTTGCTGACTTTTGGTGTCCTACTTTGTGATCAGAAATAACCAACAAAAAGGACTTGTCAGGACTCCCCACACAAAAGCTAACATATTTTGTTTGTTTTTTTTATTAATAATCTTTAAATTATCTGAGCAAGATTAATCTTTTTATACAGCAAATTTATACATCTCTGCTACAAATGAAAACATAACTTTCTTTACCATTTGAGAACAATTCAGCTGAAAGTAGAGTGGGTGCAAATGTTACAACTAACCCTATAGGTGGCATTAATTGTAACAGACTGAGGGGCCAAGTGTAATGGTTGCTAAAAGGTCTGGTAAACTGATGCAAAACACAATTCACAAGTTTTATGTTGTTGGAACCAGACAAGCTTTCCAACCTATGCACATAAAATACTTCCATCAAAACAAATATGATTAGTTAAGAGAAGGTGGATCAAACATGGTAGCTAAACATGGTTAGGGTCATTAATATTCCTCACATGTATAAGTAATGCCTAATGTATTTGTGCATGTTTGAGACACTGCTAAATATGCACTGCTTTTCACCCATTAGCCACGTCTGAACAGCGCATCTGATGAGCTGGGCTTGAATGAAGGATCTTCGACAATTAAGCGGTTCCCTGGCTCGGACAATGGGCCTGCGCTGGAGCCACGCAGACAGAGCACACCAGAAAGAGGCAGTAGGGCCGAACACACACAGCCTGATTACCTCTCTGCCAGTGTGAGCAGCCCTGGATTGCTCTCGCATGCCACAGAAAACGGTACTTGTGTGCATGCATATATTGTTACTCTTTGTTAAGGTTGTCTTTGCACTATGGTTTATCTTGGAAAGCAGGACCCAGTTATTTTTTCCTTGATCTATAATATCTGAATGAACAAAGCAGCTATTTTTCTTCATGACCCCGATTAATTGATAGTTCAGTGACAAATCAGTTGTATCCAGTTTTCCCTTTCCTCAAATATAGCCAGTTAACCAAGACATGTTGGGTCAAAGTTTAGTTGTGCACTGGAGTTGCAAGGCATATGTTGCTAACAAGTAATGGAAGCTTATACCCATCAATTAGTGCTATACCAAATACATGTCTAATATCAACCACTTGTCTTAAACCATGCTGTTGTTAAGTAATCTCAGATAGACTTAAGAGATTTTTGACACTGTATGACATACTGTTGCCTGTAAACATGGACAAAAGTATGGACAAAATTCAGACTTTAAGATGGCTATTGCTACTGTTTTTAGCTGTAAAGTGTAGTTTTGTCCATTTCTTAGATTTTTCACCAAACTATCACTTTAAAGGGTTTAAAGCTGGGGGAATGTGTTCAGTGTGTTGTGTTTTGAGAAAAGTTGCTCTTGAACTGCTAATCCAAGCCTTCACTTGCTGCTTTGTCAGTGTTCTATCTGTGCTGTTCCTGTTTTTCATCTTTGTTGGGGACTTGAGTTATCTCCTGTGTTTGGGGCTCAGGACTTTTGTATCTCTCTTCTTCTAAACATTCTTTCTCCTTTTGTTTGCCTGTCTGTCTTTCTTCAAGCTCCTTTTGTATCCAAACCCAGAGGTAAGACACTGCAGGTCTGTTCTGCCTCACTTTATGAGTCAGGTTCCTGCTACTAGACTCAAGAGATTTATATTTTGGTCATCTGATCCTGCCTTCATATTGTAATGGTTTCTCTCTCTCTCTCTTTCTCTCTCTCTGTAGAAGAAGACTCTGAGGATGCTGTAAATGGAGACGGTCCTAAATCACCACCCAGCCGTCCACAGAGGAAAGAGAGAAAAGAGTTCCCTGTGAGTGTGTGGGTGTTTGAGCGTGTGACAGAGGGAGTGAATGCGTTTGAGTCATAACATCCAAACGTTTATGAATTCTTTGGGGATAGTAGAGAAAGAGCAGAGCTGTGTGAGTAAGAGAAGGGTCAAGATTGAGGTAGACAAAGACTGGAGAAATAGCATGGAGCAAATTGTCACACAAACAAGTGTATGCTGCTAAAATTAAAAGTAATGTTTAAAGAATAGTTTGGCTAAAGCCTCTACAATAAAAGCTGGTGCTCAAAATAGTGTCTTGAAATATATAATTTGTTTCTGCGTTAGTTCCTTTAAATGTAAATGTAAAATGTGTAATACTAGACTCAGTATTACACTAAATTTGTTTATTACTTTCTCATAGAAGCCAGCAATAAATGGCCTGCCACCTACACCTAAAGTCCTGGTGAGTGTTCACTTCCTTTTTTCCCAGTGTTGCGCATTATTAGGATAAGGGGAATCTTCCCACAATGTTCAACATGTAATTTAATACACAGTTTCTTTGAAATATAGGAAATGCAATAATAATAATAGTAATAATTCAGTTATTTATGTGATGTGTACTACCTCTGTGATATTGTACACTGATCTGTTGATCTCAGCCTGCTTTGTGAGAAGTTGTGTCTATATGTGTTTGTAGATGGGAGCGTGTTTCTCTAAAGTGTTTGACGGATGTCCTCTCAAAATTAACTGTGCCACTTCATGGATCCACCCAGATACTAAGGGTAACTACCCCAAAGAGTTACCTTGCCAAAGTATGTGTTTTTTCTGGGTATACAAAATGTTGCCTGCCTACACCTGGAACGTTTATTTGTGTTTTAGATCAGTACTTGATCTTTGGGACGGAGGACGGGATCTACACTCTGAACCTGAATGAGTTACATGAGGCCACCATGGAGCAGGTACAGCATGATTACTGACATTTTACCTTTTTCATCCATTATAAAGGTAATATTGGAAACAGGAGGTATGTGTGTATGTTAGCACATATATAAACCTTGTGTTACTGGGGAAGTGGGAATGTTAAGAAACTCATTCACATTTTGTGTATGATAAAGAGCATCCTGATCTGCATTTCTGTGTGAGACGAGGAAGTTTTGTGTTTTAATCTTTTTGCTACAAAGAGTTTGGTAAGGTTGGCCTGAGCTGATAAGGCATATAAAAAGTTTTGAGTGTTTATTTATTTCTTAAGGTCCTGCTTGATACTGCTTTTGGAGAGTGTTTGTTTGTCAGTCAAATTCTAGTTCAGTATTAAGTGTCTCTGTTTGTGTGTGTGTCTTTGTATATGTGATTGTGTTTCAGTTGTTTCCACGGAGATGTACCTGGCTCTACGTCATAAATAATAACCTGATGTCATTATCAGGTAAGTGTCTCATATACGCTAAATACATTCTGTTAACCTACTGTGTGTGTGTGTGTGTGTGTGTGTGTGTGTGTGTGTGTGTGTGTGTGTGTGTGAGAGAGAGAGAGAGAGAGAGACTGTCTTTGTTTCTCTTACAATCAAGGTTTGTTAAAGATTTGTGTGTGTGCTTTATGTCTTTCTCATGTATTTTGTTAAGGTTGCACAATATTGACATACTGTTTAATATTTGATCAAATCTGGCTATATGTAAGTGATAAATTATGATAGTGTGTCTCTGACTGGACATGCTGGGAGCACATTTTTTCCCTAACTAACCTCTCCTTTAAGCAAACAGTGAAGTGCTTGTTGTTTTGCTATCATGCAAAATACAAATAAAGAAGTACTAATAACTACTTACATCAGAACTACAAGCACACTTTTGCTGAAAAGCAGCCCTCCCTGCGGGCATTCCCTGAACAGCTTTTTCAAAGTAGCCTCACACATTCTACACACAATTCTGGGAGTGCGAAAAGTGATCACATTTGAAGTATTTACAGTTTACCAATTCCGAATAGGGTAGTTTTGAGCTGTGCGCATGTGTGTTGTAATTGGCTATTTAGCTGAATTGTTAAGTTACCCGTTCTTTGCACGGAAGAGCAGGGTTTGAGCCTAGCGCAAGGAAGCACGTCAGTTGCTACATTTCTGCCAATCAACAATTAATAAAAAATGGTGCTCACAGTTGAAAATAGAGGTGCTCTATACCACTTTGCAAGGGAATGATAGCACTACAGCGATGTACCATATTGAAAGTAAACATCTGCAAGACAGTGTTTTATACCATTTATATTTTGATGGGACGCATCCTTGATTTTTAAGGTTTTAATGATTAATCACTGAATAATGACAGTCGCTTATCGATCCAAAGAATGTTCCAAAATTTCCATTGCTTGTTATAACTGTAGACATTTCTGCAAATGGATGTTGAAAGTGAAGAAACAATGTTGAGCTTAAAGTCTTTTGTGAACATTTAAAATCATGGAATCATACAATAGTTTATACTTGTCTTCAGTAGGAGATAAAATGAAAAATAAAAGTTATTTGCTATGTAAATGTGAACCCAAAAGACGAGCCCTTTGCTGAACATGGAAGGTACCTTTAATGAATGTGCTATCAGCTGTTGCACCATAAATTTAATTATTTTTCCGATGAGGTACATTTGATAACAAAAGCAGATGGTTATGTTTGCTGTAAAACTTGCCCTAGATCTACAGGGAAGGTTTGAAAACTAGGGTTTTTCCCCCAGCAGTATTTTTTCATGTGGAATTAAACTTGTCTTCCTAATCTTGGATGGACACACATGCTGTCAGACTCTGCCTGTCCTCTACAAATTATAATATTGTACACGCTTCTTGCTCCTGTCTTGTATTGAATATCAGTGTGCAGTAGCTACATGATTACTTTTTCTCCCTCCCATTTGCTCTCTCTTTCTGTCTTCACTTCTCTGATCATGGCTGATCTCACTCCCTGCTGACTCCTCTAATGTGTAATCACCATAATCAGAAGGTAAAGCACTGTTACACGCACCCGCACTTACATTCATGCTCATCTGGTGTCACCTTTTCCTTTCTTTACTTTTCTTTACTATATATCCCTGTGTAAATTGTAAATGTGCCTCACCGTGCATATCTTAGCTTGCTGTCTTTGTTGCTGAATGAAAAAAGTCACTATGAAACTGAATCACCTGCTTCAGCTGTCCCTCTGCAAAAGTTCCTGTTCATTTTACAGTCTATGTGTAACGCATGTTGTTCTGTACCAGGTAAAACCTTTCAGCTGTATTCTCATAACCTGATTGGACTGTTCGAGCAGCTGAAAAAACCTGGACTTGCTGCACAGTTTCAAACACACAGATTTCCTGACAAGATACTACCCAGGTACACACACACACACACACACACACACACACACACTCTCTTATGAGCCCTGTCATTCAATTTCTTATCAAAATGGCCATTAAGTAGCCTACAAGTTATTCATTTTTCAGTGTAAGACAATTATTTCACACATATAATGTCACATAGTTTACAAAAGAAAAACACACAAGAGCTTTCAACACAAGTATAACATGAAATATGTCAGTATTTAATGTGTCCACTACCGTAGTAAACACTTCTGCCACTTTAACTCTTCTATCCTGATGTCATGTTACCCTTCAAAGAGACACTTACATTCACACAAGCAACTACCCAAACACACCTGAGCTGCCTTGCACTTTTCCTGTCAAATGTGTTTATTGCTTTTTTTCACCTGACAAAAAAAATAATAATTTGTACTTAAAAGCTGTTTTGACTGGAGAACAAGTAAAGGGTGGTCTGTGACTTTTGCACGGTACCATATTTACTCCTAGACAGCCACACACTCACAACTCTATTCTCTGTCACATTTTCCATTTTCCTCTTCCTGTGCAACTGTCCAAATACGTTAACCCACCAGTGTCATTAAGCTGTGTGTAGCCCTGAGTTGAACCCAAAGATACTTTAAGCTCAGCTTACAGCTACCTTAAGTTGAACCCAGCATTAACACTCACTAATCAATGATGTCAGCTTTGTATAGTATCTCCCAAGCACACACAAACAAATTGCATGTAAACACATGCCTTTTCCATGAAGACACACTGGTAGGACGCTCAGCATTTCCATAACATGATACTTCTCATTCACACAAACACACAGACAGACAGACATATTTATATACATTCATATACAGATTGTTGTATAGAAACTAATGAGTTGTCGTTGCTAATGTTATGTTTTGTTGCTCAATAGGAGATTTGCTCTGACCACCAAAATCCCTGACACAAAGGGCTGCCACAAGTGCTGCATTGGTGAGACAAAAATTTTCTCAGACATTTTCCTAAAACACACACATGCACAGACTCGAACTTCGATTCAGAAGCATTTAGACCAAATCATAGCTTTTGCCAGTGCTCACATGATTATTTGCTTATTCAAGAAAGTTACTATGAAATAGGGCTGAAGTAGTTAATTAATTTTTATAGCAAAGTCGCGATGCAATATTTAAATCGCAAGAGCTGCAATTTTAATTATAGCCTACATTATCAACAAAGTTGTCTTGACAAGTTTAAGTGTGGAAGTAAAACCCGATATCAGAGCTTTTGAGCTGTCTTTAGATGAATTAGACCAATCAGAATCAATCAAATGCCCTGTGTGTGTATGTGACATCACAACCATTGACTAATTGGCAGTCTGGCACACTATGTTCAGCATGCACTATGTTCAGCCTGGACCTTAATTTATAAAAAATAATCTCACTCACACTGCTGTTTAGAATAATTGCAATTGCGTGCTTTCTCCAAATTATTCAGCCCTACTTTTAAATTAGTGCAGCACTTGCAGCCAAAATTACATGACTTTATTTATTCTTTTGTATTCTTTTCTTACTTTTAAAACCAAAAACTAATTTTAAAGAATTTTGTGGGCTCTGCATGTAGTATTGTGTAGGGATGTATCTTTACTGGTATCGGGCCGGTACCTTGCTCATTTACTCATACAAACTCCCCAACACCATTCAGATAGCATTCTGATACCTGCTCATATCATGTGACATAAGGCAGTGAAGCAGGCTCTGTTCACACAGAGAAGAGCTACTGACTCTGTAACAGTCGGGCGCAAAGCTGTCGGTTACTTTAAACGTTCCGCCTTGATATTTTCCTGCCAGGAATAAACTGTACGATTTTAGACCATTTTTAAACACGTACTAATGCAGCATAGCTAGATGCACTTCATTTAAAATCAGCTGGGTTTTAATAATTTGATAATTTGTTTTGGTATCGGTGAGTACTAAAAACATGTACTCATAGTCGCACTGAAAAAAAATGGTATCGATGCACCCTTTGTATTATGTATACTTTATGTGACAGATTCCTTCTAATATCATAAGTTTTGGAAGATATTGTGATTTCACAATGCCTATTACAAGTCAATCAAGTCAAGTGGTCTTTGTCATTTCTCAATATAACCTGTATACATTGGATTGGAATGTAATTTCTGAAGTGCAGCTTATTACCACTAATGAATCTGAATTCGTTTAAGTTACATCTTTATTGTTGTTTATATTATATCTTCATCTTATTTTTTTGTGTCTTACTTTTTTTTTCCCCCTTTTGTCTCAGTGCGAAATCCGTATACAGGTCATAAGTACCTGTGTGGAGCACTGCAGTATGGCATCGTTCTTCTACAGTGGTACGAACCCATGCAGAGATTCATGCTTATAAAGGTTAGTAACAAACATAGTCACAGTCATACCTACTTACACACACACACACACACACACACACACACACACACACACACACACAAATATGTTCTTAAGAGGTTGTCATATGCAGCTGGTCAGACTCTCTCTCTCTCTCTCTCTCTCTCTCTCTCTCTCTCTCTCTTTCTCTTTCTCTTTCTCTTTCTTTCCCTCTCCCTCTCCCACTCCCTCTGTCTTTCTGGCTTTATTTCTCTCCACCAGCACTTTGATTTCCCGTTGCCAAGTCCTCTGCGTGTATTTGAGATGTTAGTGGTGCCAGAGCAGGAGTACCCCATGGTGTGTGTGGCCGTCAGTCAGGGTACTGAGCCTGGCCAAGTCGTACGCTTCGAAACCATTAACCTCAATTCTTGTTCCTCCTGGTTCACTGAAATTGGCTCAGGTACTGCACACTCTGTGTGAACTCTTATATACAAAAAGATATTCCCTTTCTTTTCCTGGTTTATTGATACTGGTTCAGGCGCACACATGCATATGCTCATAAGTGGATGCGCTCATGTCTGCTTCGTAGTACTTCCACAGGTATGACATACAAATTTTCCCTCTCTTTTTCGTTCTAGCTGGTAATCAGGTTGATGCGATTCATGTCACTCAGTTGGAGAGAGACACTGTGCTTGTGTGCCTAGATAGTAAGTATGACATTCTTCTGAAGGTAGAAGTATTTGGGTCATGCAGGAAAATATGTGCTGTAGATCCATGTTTAACTGTGTGTGTGTGTGTGTGTGTGTGTGTGTGTGTGTGTGTCTACCTTCAGAAAATCTGAAGATAGTGAATCTGCAAGGAAAGCTCAAGTCTAATAAAAAACTTGCTTCTGAACTCAGCTTTGACTTCTGCATCGGCACAGTCGGTAAGATAACTATCTGATATGTTTGTGTTTTTTGTGTGTGTATTGTTTATGAATGTGGTTATAATTCCTGTATGTATGTGTGTTAGTGTGCCTGCAGGACAGTGTTTTGGCCTTCTGGAAACACGGTATGCAGGGGAAGAGCTTCAAATCTAATGAGGTATATAGTCTGTCTCTTAGTTACCAACATTAACATGAATATTTCTTTTTAAGAATCCAAATATACTTTACAATCATTGTATACAAAATGAACTATGAACCATCTATCAGATATGTGCCCTACCCAAAGTGCTAATGCTGGATGCAGCTCTTATTTTACACATATTCTCACACTTCTGCATTCTTTGTCAGATAAATTTTTTACTTCAGTCCATCTGCTAGTTACCATTCCTGTCTGAATGGTATTCTTGTACTTGAACCATGTGTGCAGTAATAGAAGGAACACTATACTGTGCGGTGCTGTGGCTCTCTTTCATGTCAGTGTTAATCGGAAAACACAACAAATTATTCTTCCATACTGCGATTTGGGAGGAACACAGTATACTCGTTGATGGGAGTGGTAGGAGGTTAAACGTGATTTATTATTATTTTTTTTTGGGGATAGTGAAAAAGAACACCTTTGTATGTTTCACAGATTCTCTTATTCAGAGAGGTAGAAGTGGTAGTTGCCTCGTGCACATTACATTTACCTTTTCTCTGTTCTTTAAGTAAAATGAGTGCCATTTATGCTCATACAATTTTCCTGATTCTTTGTGATAAGGCCATGACAGTATTTTCATAGAATTGTGTATATTTTCTCTGGGTCTTAAGTAATGAGTTTCATTTTGCTTTGTGTAAGATTTTTATGAATATCTGTGGTAACACATTGCACAAAGTAACCAATTTTATAAATGTGGTTCTATTCCAAGATTTTTTGCCATTTGCAATTTATTTGCAGTCATTATCTAGCAAACTGATACATCATCCATGGCATCAACTTTATTCCATGCCATGAGGTTTTGTAGAGAGTGACAGGGTTGGCAGATATGTTCCACAACAAACCTAAATGATCAAAATGAAATCTAGTCGAAGTCCATACATGCATCATAGGCTATGTGACAAGTAAAAGACAAATGCAAGTGCAGATAGAGCATCTAGAGTGTAGAGAATGTTTTTTGTTGTGGCAAGAGTGGGAACTATGAACTTTGAATACATCTTCATAAAACATTTATGTAGGTTATGTAGCCTTGAGAACGCTGCCCTTCAGTAAAGTGCTACTCACAAAAAGGACTCTATGGTTGTATGATTTCTGGCTTTAACACATCCAAATGTGACATCCAGTGAAAAGTTTTTAGTAAATATTTGATTGTCGGTTATGTTAGTGTGGGTGGGTGTGCAAGACACGGTGTGTATGTAGGTGGGTGGTGTGTGTTTTTGAGGTGTCACCCTACACACCATGTGTCATGTTCAGATGATTCACCTGATAACCATCATCTGAACAATAAAAGACCAGAGATCACCAGGAGGTGAACCCCTCTTATGAAAGCCAATACTGTGTGTGTGTGTGTGTGTGTGCGCGCGTTTCAGTGAGTGAAGGAATATGAAGGGCGGTGTGTGTTTTTAGATGACAATGTCAGAGGTGATGTAAAATTGATGTCCAATCAGAAAGCAGCAGCTGCTCAGAGAGAGATGGATTAAATAATTCAGCTGTTTTTCTCCTCTATGATGCACCTGAAAGGCTCTCAGCACCCACAGTATTCCAGTCTGTGCGCTTGACTGCACGTGTGTGTAAGAGAGAGAGAGAATAGCTGGCCACCTGGGACTTGTCTGTCTTGCAGGATAAGCCGGTCAGGTGTTACACCAGCACTGTCACCTTGTGTAATTGCTTGCTTGTGCGTGTGTGCGCACATGCTTGTATGCGCAAGATAAATTAAGAGGGAGGATGTTGTGCTATAACAAAGTCAAGTTCATCTGCTGGAGCACTGAACTTGACTTTGTTATAGCACTAACAGAATGGTGTGTTTGCATTGTTCTGAAAAATCAGAATGTCAAAATACGTATGAAGCATCAAGCGTCACAAATGTGTAAGTCAGATTTTTGACTACGGAGTCAAATTTATTACCAGTTCATTGGAGCGCTTAGGTTGCTCAGTTACCAAAATCAGTATGTGGAATAATGTGGTTTCTTTCAGGTCCTTGTGCCTTAAGAGATTCTTCAATTCTCATCTGATTAATAAGCATCTGCTTCTAAAATGTAACAAGAGAAAAGCAGCGACTTTACTAATAATAAGAATGTCTGTAGTATTTTGTGAATTGTGGTGGGGAGAATAATTAGATTTTATTATTGAGGCTGAGTTCTATTAAGTCTTTGTTACTTTATTGTAAACTGAGATGTGTACATTGTTTCCAAGGCTGGACATCACTCTATCCCTAACCCCTTCTTATCTTATTGTGTTTTTTTTGTTCAGTTTTGTTCATGCCACATTGTCAGTATATTTTGTTCCTTGCTTGCATTCACTTTAGTGGCATATTTATGTGCAGGGTACAGCTGCACAATATATTGTTTCTTAATTGTTATCATGAGGGGTGTCTGATGATATTGGAATCATATGTGTGTCAGCAGATTTTTGCTTTAAAAATATATTGTCATTGAACAGATCAAAACGATGTTTTATTGTACTCTGGAAGAGCAGATTATTTAGGAGATGCTGGGCTACTGTGCTAAAATGTCTGCATTTTATTACTGCATTTACAAGCCTCTTCAAATAAGTGTTACATTCTTTTCTGTAATGCTAATCCAAGTAGAGCTAGTCCCAGTTTCTTATAAATGTTTATCTGTATCCACATTGGCGGGTATGTATGTGCATAAAAAAAATTGGATATCTGCATCTGCCCATAATTTCCATATTCCTCCATATTCATCAGTATTCCATCCCTAGTTATCACTGTATGGCCTCTGCAATACTAATATTTCAAGACTGCAAAATGCAAATGAGCGCTCTAACAAATCACAATTTTGGGGTACTGTGAGCATCCTGGCCAATGTCAAGGCAACAAAATGTGGCAAATAATTTTGGAAGAAATAATGCAGACCACCCATCAAGAGGTTTAAATATACATCGTAATTTTGGAGTTGATATTGCAGAGCTCCACCTGTTCATTAATGCATCTGTCCACTTGCCCGCAGGTAACACAGGAGATTTGTGACCCAAGCAGAGTGTTTAGACTGCTAGGATCAGACAGGTAACACACTCTCTCTCTCTCTCTCTCTCTCTCTCTCTCTCTCTCTCTCATCCTCCCTCTGCCCCTTGCTTAATCTGTTTGTATGCAGCTGTCTATCACTCACCCACCCATTCATACATTATTCCCAGTGGCAAGTGCTTCATAGTTCACTCTGTTTCATCATCACCTGGAAACACTTTAACACCCCCGCCTTTTCCACCCCCATGTCTCCTATCCTCTGGGAGCCAGTGGTTTCCCTTACTGCTTCTGTTTCTATGGTGAGCTAGGCACACTGGGCTCTGGGTGAGTGTGAGCACGTACGATGCAAGGCTTAAATTTAAATCTCAGTAAAACTTGTTTCATGGCCAAATAGGAGGACTTTTGGTTGGTTCACATTATTATTATTCCAATAAAACAAAACCTATCAGTTCAGAGTCTACACCATTGTGCACATATCAAAAATGAAGTGATGTCATGCAGAATATTAAAATAGCTGGTAGCCAAATTATCAGAGAGGTCCATCAGATTTGATCATGAGCCAGTATTTAAACACACTATAAAAAGTAACTTATTTTACAGCAGAGTAATCTTACCTAAATTGTACAGTTACATTATCTATGTAAACACACAAACACAAATAGTGATTAGCACTTGGTACCAGCTGATACTCTATTAAAAACTGATGGAATTGGAGGTGGCCAAAAAAAATTGGCATTTCTAGTTAAATTGCTTAAATTTAAATTTAAGTTGATACCTGAAGACTATGTTTTAAAGAGTCATTGTGTATATTAAGCTAGCATGCAATATTTCACCAACCAAAAATATCCAGCTGGCAGCGGTCCTGTTGTCAAAACTGACCACTGATGAGGGGCTGCAGCAGAATACACTGAAAAGACCATAAGGGTCATACAGTCTCAAAGCTTTATCTGTGTCTTTTCAACCATTGGGTTCCCTATGTGCAGCTAGTTCTGGAGGAAAATAATGTCAGTGTTGGAGTACAGTGTGGGAGGAGACAGTATCTATTACAAACACACACATTCTCCTCTGTGTCAGAGCTCTGGTAGGTTGCACTCATCCATTGTGAAACAGGTGCGCTGGCCCTAGGCCCCAAGGCTTTGGCCTCTGCCCGGTTAAGAAATGAGTCTCGTTCTCACAACCTACATAGTCTGTTTCTGCACAGCGCCATAAATTCTCAGCGCATATTGGTCAGCCCAAGCATGAGCACTGTTAGCCCCACTTTTGCTCATAGGCGTGATTTGGCGGTCTCTTCTGGTACTTACATGCTTCATGCACTTACACATTCTGTCCCTAGACTCTATGTTTTATTCACTGTGACATGGGCAGTGCCAGGCTGGTGTGTCTGTGTGTGTGTCTGTGTGCTGTAATTTCATCTGATGCCCTGTGCCCGCTGCCTCCCCCTCTCATCTATCTCCCTCTGTTGAGGACACGACCAGCCGCACAGAGCCAGAAGCTCAGAGAAAGTGTCTTAGTATTACTGTTCATCTGTTCTCTTTCTGCGTACAGCCCCAATTCCAAAAGAGTTAGGACAGTATGTGAAATGCTAATAAAAACAGAAAGCAGTGATCAGTAAATTCTATTTTACCTGAAATTGAACATGTTACAAAAACAATATTTTATGTTTTTCCCTATGAATTTTGTTTTTTTGTAAATATGCACTATCTATATTACAAATCTGATGCCTGCTACACAGTCCAAAAAGGGTTGGAACAGGAGCATGTTTAACACTGTTACACACCTTTCCTTCTAACAGCCTTTAATAAATGTTTGGAAATTGAAGATACCAATTGATCAGCTTTTAAAAGAGGAATTTTTTTGTCAATCTTCTGTTATGGAAGTCTTCAGCTGTGCTACCCTACAGGGCCTTTGTAGTTGTATTTTTAGCTTAAGACACGTTTTCAATGGGAGACAGCTGTAGGACTGCAAGCAGGCCTGTCTTGCACTCTCTGATTACGCAGCCCTGCTGTGTAGCTTGTGCAAAACATTGCTTGCAGTCATATTCAAACAAGCATGGGTGTCCCTGAAAAAGACAGCGTCTATAAGGCAGCTTATGTTGCTCCAAAACATGTTGAGCGTTAATGGTGCTTTCACAGATGTGCAGGTTACCCACTAACACTCCCCATAGCATGACAGACTTTATGCTGATACCAATCTGAGTGGTCCTTTACTTCTTTGGCTCATAGAACATGACGTCCGTTATTTCCATAAATATTATGATTTATAAAGAGCCTCGACCCATCCTTGCTCGTGAAGGGCTAGACCTTTCCTGGATGCTTCTTTTATATCCAAGCATAATTGCATCATCTGTTTAAGAGTGTGTGGGGTGGGGTGTTGGTACTGTGTTGGAAGCATCAATTTCAGAACAAGCGTGTATTTATAAAAATAAACAATGACATTGAGAAGGAAAAACGTTACATATGTTGTCTTTGTACTGTTTTACGTAAAGTAGATTTATAAATCACTGTTTTCTGTTTTTATTTACATTTTACCCACTGCCTCTGTTGGGTCAATTTTGGAATTGTGTTTGTAAATTTCTGCCTCTCCCTTCCTCTTTTCTCGCTCTTTTCCTTTCTTATTCTCTTTTCTAACCTTTGCTCCTCCAAGCATTAATGTATGCTGTTTTTTATTGTTTTTTTAGGGTGGTGGTTTTGGAGAGCAGGCCCACAGATAATCCGACTGCTCTCAGCAACCTCTACATCCTGGCGGGCCATGAGAACAGTTACTAGCCTGTTATTACGTATATGCTGATAGTACTCAATGACTTAGCCACTGCAGCTGCCATTATGGATCCATAGCTGCCTAGCAATGGACTCCTCTCTGGCACTATGCTTGGTGAGCAGAACTGTTCTCCTTTAAGAAACAGTTTAAAGGCAGTGAGTGAGTGCAGTGCTCCAGATTGTGTCTTATTATATCTCTGAATGGTTTCTCAGAGCTGCCCAATGCCATGCATCTTTCTGCCTCTGTTATTGGCTAATGGGTATTTAAATCAGACCAAACGCAGCAGTGTAATGGTTCAGATTCCAGCAAGTGTAATAAATAGCAGAGCTGCCCGCAATACTCTTCAGCAACGGGAATATTAAACAACGGTGATACTGCAAAAAAAAAAACGATACTATGAAGTGCCTTTTGTAGGGGACTGTTGGGTGTGCTTAACTAAACTCTTTAAGAAACAGGACCTCCTGTGTGTCTAACTCAGTATGCAACTAATGCATGCTCAAAATGAACTTTACCATGTTAATTCTCATCTAGGGCCGGAATTAAATTTTTCAAACTGTTATTGGGAGTATTTACTAGGAATGGGATATTGTAAGGAGAGTGAGGGCTTTTGGAGCATCAGCTATTTAAATGTAATTTATTGAGCTGTAGCCACATTGTAGTTTAAATTAAATGCTACCCAGAGGGCACCAGCTGCTCCTCTTAACCAGAGCAGAACTCAGCATGGCTACATCCTTATTTTACTGCTATGTAATAAAGTCCCTCCTACTCTCACGCTTGGTTACATTTTAGAATGCGGTTATGATGTAAAATGGTTATCTTTTTTTTTTTAATCTTTTATTCAATATTTGCACCATGTAAGCACTTTTGTACATTGATGTTTTTGTATTTAAGAATGACAAAACATGGGAGATGCTAGGTTTTTATGACTTGCAGAGTATTTCCATGGCTTCAGTTCTAATGTATGCCGTTTTTGTAATAAAAAAAGGACTGTTAATGATTCAGTGTCATTATGTTAATTCAAATCTCATGTTCCATAAGTATGATTTAAAGTTAAATTATTAAATTAAAATGTGATCCTACACAAGGAACTTTAGATTTCTTTGGGATTTTGATTTGTTCTGTAGGTACATAAGTCATATTTTGTGTTGGACACATTTGAATATACATGCACACCAATTTGCAGCTGTATTTAATCCATTCAGTGGTTGCAGAATTGTTTGTCACAGTTGGTTGGCAGTAATACAACGTGAAAACTTAAACACTGTGCTCTTCATGTTCCATTCTTAATTCATGACTGCTGCTAATGCTGAAGGAAGACTGGGTTTGATGGTTTAGGTAGTTTTCAAACTCCGTTTCTGAGAGCTGCAGCGCAACACAGCTGAGAGTTATTCCAGCTGATCTAACTCAGTGACCAAAGTAGACTGTTTACTAACAAATTTTTTGACAATGCCATGTCATTTCAAAATGACTTACATGATGCAGATGACATCCCAGGTAGCAAGAGGATAGTGAGCCACTGTTGGCCCATTGACTGCAAAGCTGGTGTCCCACTGGCTTTCTGCTCAGCATTTTCTGGGTGGCCCACTGATAGTTGAGCAGAGTCTGAGGCAAAATGCCACTTTTCAGTGCTCATTTTCCACTCACACTCCAATTTACTTTTTTCACTCATCTTTTTTCATTCATCTTCAATTTTTTTTTCTCTCAATTGTTTGTAGTATTTGTCTTATCAAACCAGCGGTCCGATATATGTTTGCTATATGTAATCACTGAACATAAATATATGTCCAGTACTGTATGTTTTTACTCCTTTTTAAATTTTCAGTCCTCTAAATCCTCAATCCTTGTCCTGGAGGTCTGCACTGCTCGTTATGGTGTTTTTCCTCCTGCAACACATCTGATTCAACTAATAATGTAATTAACAAGCCATTCCTGAGTTTAGAGTGCGTTTGTTAGAACAGAGAGAGCAATAAAACGTACAGAGGAGGTGGCCTCCTGGACCAGGGTTGAGAACCACTGTTCTTGAGTGTACTGTGGATCATGCATCTACTGACCACACTCGTGCTTGTCTGCCCTCTTCACAAGTTGTAAATATTTTAATATTAATTAGTTCCCTTTTTATGCTGAGCTAGTTTGACAGTAAAAGATTCTATACCACTGAACTGCAGTGACTGAGCTTGGCTTTATATTTTCTCTGCTGCTTCATAAACACGCCGCTTAAGCAACAGCGTGTTGCTGTGCAGATTGTAAACCACAGGAAGGTGGAGTCTACGCGCGGGTTTCTGTGGAAACCAAGTGCGTGATGTTTTTTTTTTCTTCGTAAGTTCTACCCGTATTGCGAAAGGCACCGCCCCTGCGCTGTGATTGGCTGATAGTAATCCTTCTCTTGCGCACCGATTGGCTGGGAGTAATTAGAAGTCGCAACAGTGTCCTGTGAACACGAACATCTAACCAATCGTAGCGCAGGAGTGCGGGCTCTGTCGGAATACGGGTGAGGGAAAAAAAAACGCGGACAGCAAGTAACGCTCCTTCCGCGTGCGAAACTCCGACTCTTTGTCCACTCACACACCTCCCAAACACTCACCAAGCCCAAACACACACAGGGACAAACAGCTCTCCTCCACAGGTTTCACCTTCAGCAGCAGCAGCAGCTCCGAGCGCCCCGATCAGCAGCAGCCGCTGTGCAGCCATCACACACGAGTCCCTCAGACCCCTTTGACTCAGCTTTGAAAATCTTGGAGAAGTGACGACGAACTTGTTTTTTCTTCCATTTGTGTGGACCATACCTTTTAAGGTAGGCCATTTTAAGCTTTTAAGTGTTTTTTGCTTTGTATTGATCTAAATCTTTAGTGCTGAATGAACCTACACATTGTCTCGGTCTGTATGATTCCAGTTTGATATCAGACTTAAGTGAACATTGTAGAAGTTAATTCTACACTGATGGTGTTGATGGTCTTTGAGCACTGAAACACTGTACAAGCCCATTAACAGCCCCTTCCTCCATTAGAGGTAGTTAGAGCAGGAAAACACGAACCTTTGCAGGACCAGGACTGAAAGCTACTGCTGTAGATGCAGGTTTGACTATAAGAACTGATTCGAGTCCACGCGTTAATTCAACACTGCCGTTACAAACGCAGCGCTATGTTAGTTAATCCGTTTCCAATCCATTTATGGACTGTATACTGACTATGTATGATCCATATATTATGCATATATGACCAATATTTGATACTTAGATATAGGTACACTACATAGGCCTATATGACCATATGCCTGACCCTTTATGATATATGTGCATGTATGGCTATACATCAGATTCCCATATGAGGGGCTGAACCGGAGCGCGTTACGTAACGCGAGCGCCGCGTGGAAAAGTCCGCGGAGGTTAAATGATCTTTAGTGAAACACAGAAGCGCTTTCCGCTCCCAACACCCGCCCAGGAGCCTGATAGTGATCGCGGCCCCGGGATCCGTGCTGGGGGAAAGATCCTGAGATAAAGAGCAGCTGATCTGTTCTTCTGGACGGACTCCTGATTTTATCACGTGCTTTAAAACACTCACTGTAATGAAAACCGCGGGCGAGAAGTCTATTGTCTTAGCAAAATTACTAAGTGGTCTAATATACCGAGGCTGGTCCAGGCACGGACAGGTCGCCCATGACCTCCAGTTCCAGGTTCTCAGGAATAAAGGCAGCTCATGTCGCGCGTTTAATGATGTGCTTTTCAGACTGGTCGGTGGATGGTGTGCGCGCGCGCTCCTGGACTGTGCTGGCCAACTCCAGCATGGAGAAGTACGAGAAGATCGGAAAGATCGGCGAGGGCTCGTACGGAGTCGTGTTCAAGTGCAGGAACAAAGACACGGGTCAGGTCGTGGCCATCAAGAAGTTCGTGGAGTCCGAGGACGATCCAGTGATCAAGAAGATCGCGCTCAGAGAGATCCGCATGCTGAAGGTAAAGGGATGGAGGGATGGGGTTAAAGGGATACTCCGGCGGGTTTTCAGCCTCATCTCTATCTGCTGCTTCTTGAAATTACCACAGACGATAGCAGCAGAGCACAGAAAAGCGGTCTAAATTATGGTCTGTAATCAGTCAGAAGCTACCGCTGCAGCTGATAGAAATTAGGTTGAAAAACGCTGAAATATTTATTAAAACACTGCATGGAAAACCGAAAAGTAGCTAATGTTCATAAAAGGGCTGTGGGAGTTTATATATCACTATTGTATAATAGTGGGAGTTTATATCACTCTTTTATAACAGTGAGAGTTTGTATCACTCATATCACTGTGGGAGTTTACATGTCACTCATATCACTGTGGGATCAAATATCACTCTTATGTTACAGTAGGAGTTTATATATCACTCTTATATCATAGTAGGAGTTTATATATCACTCTTATATCATAGTAGGAGTTTATATATCACTCATATCATAGTAAGAGTACATATGTAACCTTTTATCACTGATGCTTTTTACATCACTCATATCACTGTGTGAGTGTATACCACTCAAATCACAGTGAGAGTTTATATCACTCTTCTGTCACTGTGGGAGTTTATATATCACTCTTGTATCACTGAGGCAGTTTACATCACTCTTATATCACTGTGGGAGTTTATATATCACTCTTGTATTACTGTGGGAGTTTACATCACTCCTATATCCCTGTGAGAGTTTAAATATCACTCTTATATCTGTGAGAGTTTAAATATCACTCTAATATCTCTGTGAGAGTTTAAATATCACTCTAATATCTCTGTGAGAGTTTAAATATCACTCTAATATCTCTGTGAGAGTTTAAATATCACTCATATCTGTGAGTTTAAATATCACTCATATCTGTGAGAGTTTAAATATCACTCATATCTGTAGAGTTTAAATATCACTCATATCTGTGAGTTTAAATATCACTCATATCTGTGAGGTTTAAATATCACTCATATCTGTGAGAGTTTAAATATCACTCATATCTGTGAGTTTAAATATCACTCTTATATCTGTGAGAGTTTAAATATCACTCATATCTGTGAGTTTAAATATCACTCTTATATCTGTAGAGTTTAAATATCACTCATATCTGTGAGAGTTTAAATATCACTAATATCTCTGAGAGTTTAAATATCACTCTAATATCTCTGTGAGAGTTTAAATATCACTCTTATATCTGTGAGAGTTTAAATATCACTCTAATATCTCTGTGAGAGTTTAAATACTCTTAATCGGAGAGTTTAAATACTCTATATCTCTGAGAGTTTAAATATCACTCTAATATCTCTGTGAGAGTTTAAATATCACTCTTATACCTGTGAGAGTTTAAATATCACTCTAATATCTCTGAGAGTTTAAATATCAATCTTATATCTATGAGAGTTTAAATATCACTCTAATATCTCTGAGAGTTTAAATATCATATCTGTGAGAGTTTAAATATCACTCTAATATCTCTGAGAGTTTAAATATCACTCTTATATCTGTGAGAGTTTAAATATCACTCTTACATCACTATGGGAGTTTACATGTCATTCTTATATCGCATCAGGAGTTTATATCACTCTTCACTCACTGTTAGCACTCATTTATCCCCTTAAACTGGAACTTCAGTTCGTCAATCTCATTACTACATAGTAGTTACTGAAGAATGTATAGTAGTTACTGTGTAATACAACTTAAGATTAAAAGCTGAATAAAACTTCTCTGCAGTTTCATACTCAATTAGTTAATATATAGTGTATGCACATGTTTATATCGGTGTTAAAGTTTGGATTTTTTATTTACAATCTCGCAGTGTGAGAGCTTGTGTGTGTAAGCTTTGGTAGGTTCTAAACTCACTTAGTAGAGTTTGTCCAAAACAAAACCGTCTCATTAATAAAAAAAGGCTGGAGGGGTGGTGTGTTGTGTTACATAGAAAAAGAAAAGAAAAAAAAGCAGTTCTTAATGTCTGGTACTTCCTGTTCACTGAGATTCCATGAACACACTGCCCTTGATGTGTTTGCGTGTGAGAGAAGGTGATTAAACAGCTCTGTTCCATAAGAGTGAATCTACCTTCATTTCTGCACTTTCACTTGCTTTGCTATCAGTTATTAGTCGTACACAGAAAGTCTAAATGCACAGGTTCTAAACATTGTTTCAGCTGAGCTGTTCTCCTGTTTTAGAACAAACTGGGAAAAGCTTGGCTTTCTGTTAAAGAAGAGAACGCTTATCTTCAAAAATAAATCAGTGTTAAAAAAGAGGACACTTCTTTTCACAGGCTGTTTAGGTTTTAAAGGGAATTCCATCAATTTTTCAAAATTTATGCATGAACAAATGGTTAAGATGGAAACAAAGTCATTCAGAGTGGTTTGACGTGAAATGCTCTGTTTTATAGAAACCTACCAAATCAGACTTGTTCACAGTGGTGGTGAGAGGAACCAGCCGTCTGGTTCCAGGTTAACGGCTCTAAAAGCTATCCCACGAAAGTGTTATTACAGGAAATGGTTACAAACACACGGCCTGATGCCTGAGACATTGTTTTATGGTAGTTCTGCTATGCAGTTTGGGCTTAAACCTTATTTTTAAAACAGACACTTATAGTGGAGAGATACATGAAGGGCATTGTAAGGCAAAATAGTCTCTAAAGAAAACTTTTTTCAGGTTTACTGCTATTTATCTGTAGGTTCACTAGTCAGTTTGGACCCTGTCTATTTGTGTTGCAGACAACCCCTGATTCCCGTCACCACCACTGTAAAGAAATCTAGTCTAGAATGGAACATTACACTTCAAACCACTCTGAATAACCTTGAATCAGACAGAAATTGTGAGAAATTGGTATATTCCTCTTTCAACACTGACGTTTAGGTTGTAAACGTCACATGTTCTGTGGTTTATAGTGTAGTAGTTATAATCCTCTTAGTTATGACGGATAAGTGAACTGTCTCCTAGAGATGTGGACTTTGGTTTGGAGTGTGTTTGGACCCTGGGCAGTGTGAATGTGTGTGAGCAGGTTTAACTGTTTAATGTTAGAATCGTAAAGTGGAAGCTGCTTTAAATAGGGCAGTGGATGGTGACCTGTTGCCATTGGAGATGTTGTGTGTGGCCTCTGTGATTTTACGATGCCTGTCAGATAAGACATGCAGCAGCTTGCCTCTGTCCACACACACACACACACACAAACTCATGTGAATATGCGGATGTTCCTTTATGACTACAGAACCAAAGTGACCAAAGCATCTCTGACAGCAGGTGTGTGTTTGTGTCTATAGCAACTCAAGCACTGTAACCTGGTGAACCTGATAGAAGTGTTCCGGAGGAAGCGGAAGCTGCACCTGGTGTTCGAATACTGCGACCACACAGTCCTAAACGAGCTCGATAGATACCCCAGAGGGTGAGTGCCCCCCACACACACTCACACAAACTCGCACAAGATGCTGTGATGAAAAGTGCCTGTGCTCATTTTTCTGCCCCTTTCTCCTTTCCACACAAACAGCCATATTGTTTCTCTGTTGCTGTGGTGGCCAGACACGTTTGTTGTGGAATGTTTACAGCAGTGTGTTCCCAGAATGCTTTGCTGGCTGACCGCATCCAAATAGCCCAGTGTAGTGCACTTGTGAAGAGCCCATAAAAATAACTCAGACAATGCTAGCTTCAGTCTCTAGTGCATTTACTTCACATCGTAGCTCAAAGGATGTTGGGAAATGGTTTCCTGTTTCACTTGTTTATCAAAAGTAATAAAAATGTTTGTACACTTTTAAAGGACCAATATGCCACATTTTGCTTGTTTTTTACCATTGAGGTCCACGTCTGAGTGATCTTTTAGATCAAATTTTGGTTCCTCAAAGAACCTTTCATTCTTTTTGTAAATGAGATGTGAGTGTGAAGAACCTTTTTAAACTTCGTAAAGTTTCTATACCAGGTTTTTTGTAAAACTGTACATCCAAGCCGAGAAACATTTTAAAACCTTTATTTTTAAGAGCAAAACAAAGAGTGTGCTCTGCACATATTTTCACAAGGACAGATTTATGAGGGTTTCTTGAACTTCCCATTGGAACGGTCGCTTCGTTCCAATGCCTAAGATTATTAATGGCTAGGCAGAAATGTAGCCTTTATACGCCTCCAAGAGAAAGGCTTGTTTCACTCAATAAGTCTCTTAGCATATTTATTGCTTGTCAAACAAATGAAACATGGGGTTATTTACCTATATGTTGGACTTGTCCTGTAATAAGGAGGGGGAGGAGGAGGAGGAGGAGGAGGAAGAAAGGCAGGGTGCCGATAGCTAGATTTAGCTCCCTCTGTCAGAAAACAGATCTATGAGCCCAGAGTCAACAAACACATGCACACACATCCAGCAGGCTTGAATAGAGAGTGTTCTATCTGTTACTCCTATACACACACATAGATCAGCTCACAATAGTGCCTTTACATTATGTTTCACACACGCACTTACACACATTAGCACCACAGGACAGAATTAGAGGAAGGAAATGGCACATGAGAACACTCTGTTCACGGCCCATGGTACAGGGCAGGGCCAGCTAGGCCATAGCCTGACCCATTTTTTCTAGCTAAAAAACTTTCATTGACCTATTTATGTATAAAAATTAGATCTAACAGTCTTTCTAATTATTGAATTCAGCTACTTTAAGATACGCCCATTACTTACACAGGTGTTCAGTTTAATCTCCATAGAAAAGCCAATAGAATAGGACACTCTGGTGCAGCTGCATGTGATTCTAAGTTTACCATGCCCAGTGCCTAATGTTGGCTAGAGGAGTGTAAATCCCCCCCAGCTCTAGGCTGTGGAGCATTAGAACTGTGTTCTCTCTGAGTGATGGAACACCATCCAATAGCTTTGGGATGAGTTGGAGTGGCATTTGTGATCTAAAACTTATAATCCAACATCAGTACCTGACCTCACTAATTCACTGTGGCTGAATGCAATCAAATCCTCTCAGCAATGTTCTAACTTTTAGTGTAAAGCCTTTCCAGAAGAGTAGAGACTGTTACTACAGCAAAGAAGGGACAAACTCCCTATTAATATCCTTAGTTTTGGATGAATAGTTGGATGAGCAGGTGTCTACAGACTGTTGGACATATAGTTTATATTGCTGATATGAACTGATTATCTTAATTATCTATATTGCATGAAAATAGAGCTTTATAGGCTTTGCTTTTGTTTCTGCAGAGTTCCAGAGCACCTGGTTAAAAGCATCACCTGGCAAACTTTGCAGGCTGTTAACTTCTGCCATAAACAAAACGTAAGAATTTTTGTCTTCCACCTGCCCATTATTTTCAGTAGCACAAGTTAAAGGTGAATCATTTTATGGGGAAAATGAATGAGAGACTCTGTGTGCACATTTGATAGACTGTGAGTGAGAGAGAGATAGAAAGAGAGTAAGAGAGAGGGGTAGAGAGACAGTGCAAGTTGCGTGAGGTCAGGTTTCAGATTGTCGATGTTAATCTAAACGGTGTTAGTGAATTTAGAGCTGCTGTAAAAGTGGGTAAATGCTGTTCTCAGATCAGATATCTGCCCCATGATTTATCTCCAACATGAGACACACACACACACACCAGGCTCTATTCGACTCAGTCAGCAGCATTACATCAGCATACTGAACCTCTCTACAGCCATGCCAGATACAAAGCTCATGTAGGTGTTTAAAAGTGTGTCTGAAACCATAGACAACCATCAATTTTTAATTTAACACTTGTGCGTGTTGGGATGTGTGTTGTGTTTAGTGTATCCACAGAGACGTGAAGCCAGAGAATATTCTAATCACCAAACATCAGGTCATCAAGCTCTGCGACTTTGGGTTCGCAAGGATCCTCAGTATGTACAAGAACACAAACACATTTGTTCCAAAGTTTGGAATCACCGCTCAAAAGTTCAATGTTTTCAGTAATATAAATTAAATATCTGGATTCTGTTCAAGTTTGTTTTTCTAGTGACAGTATTTAGAATACAGTTGCATTTAAATTTGTAGGAAAACACTTTTAAAATACATACCCACTGAAGTTAAAATGGTAAAGCTTTCTTCTATAGTTCCCTAATGTCTAGGTATTAACCATGTAAGTTTGAGGGACAAACACCAAAGCAGATCATTATTTTGGGCAACATGACAGTAAGTTCCAAGACAGTTGAACTTAATTACACTAGAATGCCCAACAGTTTTGAGCTTTGTCATTACATATTATCAAAACAATCTGAACTGTAAAAGAATGAAGGCAATGATTTTTACTGTGGTTTTACTGGTTTCTTACCATTTAATGTAGAAAATATCTTTGTATTGTGTACTGCCATCTTCTAGCATATAAGTGTTTCTGATTTACTTTCTTGCTTTTAAACATGTGACAATAGTGAAATTATTTGGTATGTTTATACTTACCACCTTGTTACTAAAATGAAAATAATTATGATACATTTTACTATATCCTTTATTAGCTTACCCTCTAAAAACTGTTAGACATTTCAGTGTAATTTAGATAGATTGTCTTGGTAACTACATACTCCAAAAGAGAAGTGACAAAACAGCTTTTTTACAAACACTGAGGTTCCTACTAAAGCCTGAGTAGACTGATAAATCTACTATAATAAATGTGATGATCAGTTACTAATCTCACTGTTACTAAAATCTTTTGAGGGATGATAGATATGTTCACGAGTGATAGGCTTAGTGTTGTGTTGTACTCATGATGTTACATAATGTCATTAACTGAAAATCACTACCTACTGCATAGTCAAATTTGCAAGATTTTGCCATGAAACATATTAAAAGAAGAATTACATGAAGAAAACTACCAAACAGTAACAGTGAAGGGTTTTTTTCCAGCGTGCCTTATCATGACGGATTCTAAATCTGTTCTGGGTATGTTACTTTTCATATATTGCAATGAATACAATACTGAATACTTTTTCAGTATTCTGCTTAACTCTGACTACAGTTCACTACAGTACTCTACAGTTTGATAAGCTCTGTCCTGTCAGGTAAGGAGCACACCAGTCTCTCGAGAGTTCCTGTCCATTCTAGCCCACTCTTCCACTAACTTGGTGCACAGTTGGGATTGAGGTCTGGTGATTTTGCTGGTCACTGAAACTTTGCCAGAGTTCTGTCATGTCTATTGAACCAGTCACATTTAGACAACCTACGGTTGTCATCTTGAAATGTGGGAGTGTTAATGTAATGTTAGTCTCAGACCTTAAACAGAAAGTAGTAAGTGGCCTAAAGTGGACAAGAACTATCTGAAGAGATGGTGCCATCATTAAGGCAATTAGATGCCTAACCAAGTATTAGAGATGAAATTCATGCAACTATTTTTGTGCAGGGAGCTTAAGTTTTAAATAATTTGTAGGAATCTGTGAAAATTACATTTTACATGTGCGCAGAATGATTTTCAGAGCTGTAGGTCATTCATTTGTCTGAAAAGGCTGTAAAAAATTGCAGAAGTGTTATAATAAAATTAACATGCATAATGCCTCATATTAGAGATTGGCATTCAAAGGTGCAAAGCTAAAAAGCAAATGTGAACACTAATGAATGTAACATGTAAAAATGCCTTTTTTGTGTCCAATTTACAGTATTTCAGTGTCTGCTTTATAAGTTATAAATCATTATTCATATAACAAGTGATTTTGAGTACAGAACATGACAACAATGACACAATGGCCTATTACATTATACAGACAAGCAGATTTTAATTATCTACATCAAACACTGCACACACAGGACAACTGGGACACATTTCCTTAACAATGCACCATCCCTCTCTCTGTCTCTGTCACTCTCTCTGTCTGTGTGTAGCTGGGCCGTGTGATTATTATACAGACTATGTGGCTACGCGGTGGTACCGCGCTCCGGAGCTGCTGGTGGGGGACACTCAGTATGGCCCTCCGGTGGATGTATGGGCAGTGGGCTGTGTGTTTGCTGAGTTGCTCTCTGGCTCCCCCCTGTGGCCTGGCAAATCTGACGTAGACCAGTTATATCTCATCAGGAAAACATTGGGTGAGAGAAACAGCAGAAATAAAATGTAGGACAACACAAACATACATACAGTGGCCTCAAAATGTATTTGGACACTTTATATATTTAACCATTGGTAAAATTAAACACTTTTAGCACAACACCAGACTAATGCTCCTTGAGTGAAGGATGCCTGGAGAAGAATTCCAGCCAGACTACTGTAAAGCACAGAGGTCTGAGGCTGATTTTTTTTTTTACAGTGGTGTTGGTGAGCTTGTGGTCTTTGATGGGCATTCTGGATTAGAATCTGCAGAAGTCTGTAAAGAAACTGCTCAAATGAAAACAATCTGAAACACAACAGCTGCTTTTGAAAGAATTCTTTGCCAAAAAGAAAATGACAGTGTTGGAATGGACTGTTTAAAATAAATGACACTTGGTTTGACATTTTGACATAACACAATACATAACACAATAAACTTAATATATTTTTAAACATATTTAAGTTTCAATACTTTCTTTGACTCCATACTCAGATCTGTATCATACAAGTGGCCACTCGCAGCAGTAGGGGAGGCAGGGCCACCTCAACTCTGTAAAATTCTTGGACACTCGTTAGACTAAATTCAGTGGATGCGTAGCTATTTAAAAATGCAGCCAAAGGTAGATACGTGTCAGTTCAGCTACAGAACTTCATCTTCTCAACTATGTGTTGCAATAGAGCCTAGTGCGTTTCACAAACAGTGCACCTTGAGGGTAATCTGAGCTAATCAAATGTATTCTTTGTATACAAATGGTTTGATAAATAAAAAGAAACAGCTTAAACTTCCCAAGAAATGCTAATATATGAAAAACACTGGATTATGGATTCTGTGACAGGAATAGAACTTATTTTCTCTTAGACACACAGCCAAAATCTGGGATGATCAAGAAAAATCCTGAACAGGTGGCAACCTTAGAGGGAACAGCGACGGGTGGATTTTTTAAACTGCCAAGGGCAAACCTTGCAAGCAAATCTTGCAATGCGCAATGCAATGTTTTTTTTAGAAGTTTGAACATAACATGCATAATTTTAATAATTGCTTTGTCTGGCTATATGTGGTGTACATCCATGGTGCAAAGCCTTTTCTTTTTGTTGTCATTAGCTGTGTAGCCTTTAGCTTGCTAACTGACAAGCTAGCAGAGGACAGTGATGAAGTTCTATCAGCAGTTATGTATAACAGATGGAGTAGTTTGTGATCTAAAGCCCAGTAAATCGAATGTGATGGTTTTGAAATATTAAGCATTTTAAAGTAGTTTATTGCTATGTATTATAAACAGCTTAGTCCACCATTATTTTCAGGTTTGAAAAGTGAAATATGTCAGGTCACAATGATTTCTGGCTGCCGAAGTCAACATTTTGTCAACACTCGATCCCTCGGCCCTCATCTAACACACTCCACTTGAGCTAATAAACTAATAAAACAGCCCTTAAGATGGTGTCAGGGATTCACCTGAGGGAAAATGATGAGGCCAAGTGGTCAACGGCTTGTTAAAACCAGCATTGAGACTAATAGTCTGTATGGCATAAATGTCCAAATACCCTCTGGAGCCACTGTATATTCATAGTGTATTGTTTTTATGGGAGCATGTACACTGTCCATGTACATTAGCTGGTAATGAGTGCTGTGTCTGTGTTTGCGCTGTGATTGCAGGTGATTTGATCCCCAGGCATCAGCAGGTGTTCAGCAGTAACCAGTTTTTCAGTGGAGTTTGTGTTCCTGAACCACAGGAAATGGTGAGTGTCTCAGAGTGGCTTCAGCTCCAAAAAACAAGCTCACTTTGATTGATCTACAGTCAGCTAAAAGGTTATCTAGGGCTGCCGTTTATCCAGCATATACCTGATGGAGTTCACATAAATAGCAGGGAGGAATCCTGCAGCAGCTGAGGCAAAGGTGATTATGTGAGCTAAATGTGGAGCTGGGCAAAGCGACACGCTGTCTTCAGAGGTGTTTGATCTTCTGTCTACCGCAGCTCTGCATTTTTATTCCTCCCACTGAATAGAGTCTTTAAAAAATGAAAGGGTTTCTCAGCTCTCTTCAGCTAGCGCAGTGTGCTGACCTGTGTCTAATGAGATTTAGGTAGAGCTGCTGGTAGCAGCAGAAAGATACTGTACTGTGTAATAAGCACTGTATAATCATAAAAAACATAGACTGCAAAAATGCCTGATATCTCCACAAAATGTTTATGGCTTAATCCACACCAGTTCACCCTTTAAAAATTCATAATGAAAAATGAAATTTTGCCTGGTTGCATGAATTAAATAAAAATTTTTGTGTGATATTATTTATTTTTCTATTCATTTCTTTTTTTATTGATTGGTGGAAAACCATGATGTGACCTGCCAGGCCTCAGGTGTGTCAGTGTGGAATAACCCTCATTTTTTCCATCGTCCTCGGACATTTGGTCCCAACAAAGAGCCACGTACACACATATATGTTTCCACTCTGCAAACACATGGCCTTACATATGTGTGTGTATGTGACGTCACCTCAGTCCCCTGTGTGTGTGTGAGCGAGAAAAAGAAACACAAGAGAGATGACGCAGGGTGATCTCACCTCTATCCCATGTGTAAATGAGTGAGTGTGTATGTGTGTTTTTTTTCTGTGTGCAGGAGCCTCTGGAGCAGAAGTATCCAAACATCTCCTACCAGGCACTGAGTCTGATGAAGGTGAGGCCTTTGAACAGTTTAATTAAAATGACATTAAGTAAACTGAACATGGGCTCTGTAGACGGACTATATAGAATATTCAGGATCACTCACTCGCTCTTTCTCTTCCTCTGTCTCTCTCTCTCTCTCAGGGCTGTTTGCGCATGGACCCTGCTGAGAGGTTAACGTGTGAGCAGTTGTTGGAGCACCCATACTTTGACAGTCAGAGAGAGGAGACAGAGAGTGCCACACGGGAACTGGAGAGAGCGAGGAGACGAGCACAACGCCAACCCCGCAAACACCTTCCCCCGGGGGTGAGTTACCACAGCCACCACGCTGACAGAAACAGGGTGGGGGCATTAATCTGTGGTTATATATGTTTATCTGGATGACTTTTTTTTAAAGCGAGGTCCACACTTCATTCCTTCTCTCTCTACAAAACTGTAAAACTTAGATATTAGTAAAATATAGTAGTTACTGAAAAATAGGTTTTGAGATTAGTAACCTAACAACAAGCCTGCAATTTGAGGCAAGGGTCAACGTGGTCCATTAGACAAATAGGAGACAAGAAACACAAGAGAGATAAAGGAAAGATGAGGGTTTAGTTGTGGATAAACATGAGCGTTATTATCTTGGCAAATGTGTGACTTTACTGAGATTTCTGCTAAAGCTCAAGAGGAGACCAGGGTAATTATAGAATTGAAATTTTCCATTTGGTTTTATTTTTGCATGTTGATTTTTTTTTATTTCAGTTTAGTTTCACTTAGTTTTATTGGTGCATTAATAGTATAAGAGTATAATAATAGCATAGAATAAAATGTACACTACAGTAAACTGAGCTCAGCTCCAGCTTTCCTGAAAGACAAACACAGAAGAGTTCTGTCACTGTTACTGTAGTATCCAAAACTTCTCATGTAGGTCATAAAAATACATCTAAATAAAAAATATCAAATAATAAGAACTATTATTCAGCTGACCCAGGTGACCTACACAAGTGAATAGCCACAGGTTGGCCATTTGTCTACTTATAAATAATCTGAGGCACATCTCTCTCTCTATCTGTCCGCAGTACTTACCTCAGCTGACCGGCAGCAGTATCTTCCCAGCTGTGGACAACAGGAAATACTACAACAACCTGCGCAAACTCAACTACCACTTTCCCAACATCTAACACTCGTCACACTGGCATACACACTCCAGTCTGCCCCCATAAACACTTATACAAGTTCATTTTGACCTTATTGTGCTGCAGTCTCAGAGACATAAACACACACACTCCCCAGCACCTGCCCTGGTCTGCCCACTCTCAGGAAAAGAAGGCCCAGAGGTGACTTTGCTGAGTGAAAACACCTCACTCAGGGAATCTCTGTGATACAGCAGGTGTGTGTGGAGGAAAGACTGACTGCAGAGAGAAGACTCTGCACCACTGAACTGCAGCTATACTGTCAGTCTATGCACTGCTGTATTCACCCAATGTATCTTACTGTTACTGCATATGACTGTTCAGACTGTGTCTGTACTCCGAGCGTGTGTGTGTGTGTGTGTGTGTGTGTGTGTGTGAGATAGACAAGGAGCCTTGCTCTGCATGTAGATACACTGATCTGAGTGCAACACTGCCTTTCTGATTGCCAAAGTGCTGTGAGAGAGAATCACACATGGTAAAACTGTAATAACGACCCTGTTAAGTGTGAGACTAACACAGCTGTAGAGAATACAAGTAAACTATTAAGGGTATTTTAAAAATGACAGCTATAGGAATCTGATGATTCCTCTTATTTTTGTGTTTATTTTGTACTGTTTTTCTATCTCATTCAGTCTCTCTGTACTGTTAAAATCCCTGTGACAGATGCAGAGCAGGAGAACAGACATGTTCCTTCTCCATATTCACTGTCTGTGAGCCTAATCATAACTTTTTTATTCTAATTTTAAATCCTCAACATGTTAATTTCGGTGTGAATTACTGTGAATTTCTGATTCACAAAATCTTATGATTGATTTAAAATGTAATTTGAATTTTTTGCTGACAGGACACTTTTATTAGGCCTTAATTCAACAACATTGTAAACTAGTGCTAATGATTTCCTAGCCACTGACTTGCACCTAATGCCAAACCTCTGAGACACAAGCCCATCCCCAGCCCTCTTTCCACTCTCATAGCCCTCTAACTCACTTTCTTTCCCTCTGTTCCTCTGTGTAAGTAGCCTTGTGTGATATTTTGTGACTTGCGGGTGCTTTTTCAAGAGGATGAGTTTAATAGAGTAGAGGAGTCAGGATGGGAAAATGACATTCTCTCTCTCTCTCTCTTTTTTTTAAAGTAGATCTAATAAAGAAATAAAGATCTTTCAGCAGTGCAACTGTTTTGTCCCTTTGTCCTGGCTGTAGGTTAACCTGAGTGTTAAGCCTTTAAGGAACAGTCAGTACCATTGTTATACTTTGCTTACCAATTAAATACGACTTCTCTACTGTTAGTCACACGACCAGCCACAATACAAAAGGAAATAAGAAGCTATTCTGTCCAAGGACAGAACTTAATGTCTCTCAGGTGGTATAGTACATTACAGCCTTTTTATTCAGGCTGAATTCAACCCAATGACACAACCACTGAAGCATTTAGAATCACTTGTCAGATTAATAATTGCTGTTATTTTATTTATTAATACGCTGCTGTTGGAACAAAACCTTGTATATCCATTTTTGTCGTTTTTCAGTTTTTGACATAATTTCAAAATACCTGTTTCCCTTTACATTGTATGTAAATTTCACGATGAACTGATCAAAAGAAACGGCCCAAAATGACTTAGAAAAATTCTGGTTCCATTGACTTACATTACAAGTTAAGTAGGTTTTTTCCTTCTCCTGTAAAGTTATCATTTTGGAGATACAAGGTTTGTTCTGACAGCAGCGAATATCTTATACACTGTAACTTATAATACTGTAATCTACTGTAACATACAATGTATTATATGATCATACATTTTATATTTATGATAATATTTCAAGTTTTCTGGGAACACCAAGAAGTTACTAAATGATAATATATTGTAAATATATCATATTATTTACAATTTGTTGATAGGTTAAATGTCTCAAGAGTTGAACACTTTTAAAATACAAGGCATTCTGGATGTTAATTTTATTAACTTTATTCTTGATGGTATGCACCTTTCTAAGATCTAGAATCATTTACAGTCCTGTTCATCAACCTAAAATTTCTTAACCTTTTACAATTTCGTACAAATTGAAAAGTATAATGTCGTGGAGTACAAGCATCATACTAGAACCCTTTTACACATTCATCTGTGACAAACTTGGTTTTATATCACTGAAAACAGTTATTCCAAACTTTTCCTTTAGTTCTTCAAGAAATATGCCACGATTCAAACAATGATATACAGATACAAGCACTAGTACACAGTAAATATATTCTCTCTCCTTTAATACATCAGGTTCCTGAAGGACCCACAGAATGCTCCATCACAGCACTACACACACCTTTAGCTATTATACTCTCACTGGTGCTGCTTCTGTAACAGCCACTGGATCCTGGCCTATGAGTTTAATTGGCTGGTCTTGGCTTTGAGGGACTGTGTAATTGGCTAAATTAGGCTGGCTGTCATTGGCTAAGCCAAGTCCAGTTCTATTGTGAGCTTGGGTAGTGCTGTCTGCAGTCTGTCTGTCGTTTTCTCTTTGTCTTTTATTCCTGGCAGGTCACTGAGGAACAGATACTCCAGATTCCTGGAAGTTAGAGAACAGGAGAGCTGAACAATATGGAAGAAGTCACAGTGCAGTATTTTAGGTTTCTGATAAGATAATTATTGATTAGATCATTATTGCAAGATTTGAAAAGTTAAAAAAGGAAAATTTACAAATTTTTAACTATACTCAAAATGGAGTTATTGATCACTCTAGCACTGTCAGGAGCAGAGGAGTGACAATGAGTCTGAAGATTTATTCATGAAGGTAGATCAGCAGCTGTGTGCTCCTCTCTTACCTCAGGTGATGGAAAGCGATGATGCCTTTGTCCGTTACGTTGCCACAGGAGATGACCGACATCGTCCTCAAGCTGGCCTGCAGGTTCTCCGTCTGACTCAAGCGCTCCAGACAAGCGTCCTCTATATATATACACTTATTCAGCTTTATCTCCTCTACATGCTCCAGACCATCTACACACACATCCACAAACAGGACAGGAAGAGATTTACCATCTATTTACCTTCCACTTACTCCTATTCAGAAACAAGCCACAGGCACATCAGACAGAGACAGTGACCGGCGTCAATATCATCATCATCATCATCGTTAACCGCTTAGTCCAGATAGGGTCGCGGTAGCAGTTGGGAGAGCAGAGAATCCCAGGTGGCCCTGTCCCCCGCAACTTCCTCCAGCTCATTCCCGGGGACCCCAAGCCGCTCCCAGGCCAACTTGGAGATATAATCCCTCCAGCGGGTCCTAGGACGACCCCGGGGTCTTATTCCGGTAGGCCGTGCCTGGTACACCCCCACCGGGAGGCGTCCCGGGGGCACCCGGATCAGATGCCCGAACCACCTCAGCTGGCTCCTCTCAATGCGGAGGAGTAGCGGCTCTACTCCGAGCTCCTCCCGGATGGCCGAGCTCCTCACCCTATCAAATAGAGTGTAGCCCGCCACCCTGCGAAGAAAGCTCATTTCTGCCGCTTGTATTCGTGACCTCATTCTTTCGGTCATTACCCACAGCTCATGACCATAGGTGAGGGTCGGGATGTAGACCGATCGGTAAACAGAGAGCTTCGCCTTACGGCTCAGCTCCCTCTTCACCACTACAGTCCTGTACAGCGACCGCATTACTGCTGCCGCTTGTCCCAGCCTGCGGTCGATCTCACGATCCTTCTTCCCATCACTCGTGAACAAGACCCCGAGATACTTAAACTCCTCCACCTGGGGCAAGTCCTTTCCCCCTACCTGGAGCGGGCATACCATCCTTTTCCGGGCTAAGACCATGGACTCAGACTTGGAGGTGCTGATCCGCATACCAACCGCTTCACACTCAGCTGCAAACCGCTCCAGTGCGCGCTGGAGGCATCCATGTGATCCAGCCAAAAGAACAACATCATCTGCAAATAGCAGAGACGCCACCCTCCGGCCTCCACACATAATGCCCTCCTGACCCCGGCTACGCCTTGACACCCTGTCCATGAATATCACAAACAGGAGTGGAGACAGGGCACAACCCTGGCGGAGTCCAACGCTAACAATGAAAGAGTCCGACTTAATGCCAAGTATACGAACACAGCTCTCACTCCGGGCGTACAGAGATTGAATGGCCCGGAGTAGTAACCCCGGCACCCCATACTCCCGGAGGACCTCCCACAAGATATCTCGGGGAACACGGTCGTAAGCCTTCTCCAAATCCACAAAACACATGTAGACTGGGTTGGCAAACTCCCATGCCCCCTCAACAATCCATGAGAGGGTGAAAAGCTGGTCCAATGTTCCACGGCCAGGACGGAATCCGCATTGTTCCTCCTCAATCTGAGGTTCAACTATCGGTCGAAGTCTCCTTTCCAGCACCTTGGCATAGACTTTCCCAGGGAGGCTGAGCAGTGTGATACCCTGATAGTTGGCACACACCCTCCGGTCCCCTTTCTTGAAAATAGGGACCACCACCCCGGTCTGCCAGTCCAAGGGTACTGTTCCCGAGGTCCATGCACTATTGCAGAGGCGTGTCAGCCATGACAGCCCCACAATATCCAGAGCCTTAAGCATCTCCGGACGAATCTCATCCACCCCCGGTGCCTTGCCACTGAAGAGCTTGCCAACTACCTCAGTGACTTCCACCAGGGAAATGGAGCTTGACACGCCAGAGGCCTCTGGCAGTGACTCCCGTGAGGGAGGCATGTCACCCGGATTAAGGAGTTCCTCAAAGTGCTCTTTCCACTGACCGACAATATCCTCATTTGAAGTCAGAGTTTCTCCACCCCTGCTGAATACAGCCTGGGCACAGCCACCCCGACCACTCCTGAGTCGCCGGACAGTTGTCCAGAACCTCCTCGAGGCCTACCGAAAGTCTTTTTCCATGGCCTCACCAAACTCCTCCCACGCCCTGGATTTTGCTTCTGCCACCGTTGCAGCTGCCACCTTTTTTGCATGTCGGTGCCTATCTGCTGAATCGGGAGTCCTTCGGGCCATCCAGTCCCTAAAGGCCTCTTTCTTCAGCTTGACGGCCTCCCTCACCACCGGTGTCCACCAGGGGGTTCTTGGGTTACCGCCATGACAGGCACCAACAAGCTTATGGCCACAGCTGCGCCTGGCAGCTTCCACAATGGAGGTTTTGAACAGGGTCCATTCAGACTCTATCTCCCCTACCTCCTCCGGGACATGAGAAAAGCTCTCCCGGAGGTGGGAATTAAAATCATTCCGAACAGGGGCCTCCGACAGTCGTTCCCAGCACACCCTCACTATTCGCTTGGGCCTACCGGGTCTAACCCTCAGTCTTCCCTGCCATCTGATCCAACTCACCACCAGATGGTGATCAGTTGACAGCTCAGCACCTCTCTTCACCCAAGTGTCCAGAACATATGGTCCCAAGTCAGATGAAACGACAACAAAGTCGATCATTGACCTTTGACCCAAGGAGCTCTGGTACCATGTACACTTATGAACATCCTTGTGTTCGAACTTGGTGTTCGTTATGGACAATCCATGCCTGGCACAGAAGTCCAATAACAATTCACCATTCGGGTTTAGATCGGGCAGGCCATTCTTCCCAATCACGCCTCTCCAGGTCTCCCAGTCATTGCCAACATGAGCATTGAAGTCTCCCAGTAAGACTTACTTCTTACAGTAAGTCTTACTGGGAGTCTTACCGGCATCAATATATTTACTGTAAATATAAACACTGTGGAATTTCTCTGATAGGTCTAGAATGTCTAGTTTAGTCAGAGCACATGTTCAAACGCCTGTCAGCAGCTATTGCTATATAATATAAAACCACTTTGGTTGTAGATAAGTGTATAAAATGATTGTTATATGTTAGTAATATGTTACTAATGTTAGATGTGTCTAGAATAATGAACGGAGAGAAGATTCTAAAATGACTGAGAAAACTGTATAACATCTAGAATTACACTAAAAAGTTTGTAGTCACTTATTTTATTTTTTGTTAATTTATTTTTTATATTATGTAATTTAATTTAGTAATAATTTATACAACGTAAATAATATAAGCTAGACAGATAGAAGTATTGTAAGATGTTTTAGGCAATACCTGTTTTTGGGTACACCAAAAATGTATTAAATGATAAACAATATGCTTTAGTTATCTATTCATAGTAATTTCTTGATTAGTTATCTGCCTGAAATTTGATCACCACATTTCAAGTATGAGGCATTCTGGATGTTAATTTTATTATAAAGTCATTCTCCTCTCCTCAAGTTTTACCGCTTTCTCAGTTAAAGACTCATCTACATCTATGTTCATGATTCTGCACACATTTAATCATTTCATACATTTATCTGCAACATTTTTTCTATTTTATTGAAAATGGCGATTCCAGATTTTTCAATGCTAGTGTAACATGCATTATTCATCACATTTCAAAGATGCAGATCAAACCTCATTGACAACAAAATGAGGTACACTGATAATTACAGGATATTATTTATTATTTTATCCACTTCTTGTTCAAAGAATTCTTGAATTTATTATTTAAACATCAAAAAATGTATTTAACATATGTATTGAATAGTTGGTTATATTTAAATTAACAATGTATAAACTGTTGACATTTTAACATATTAAGATATATTGACTTTATAACATAATTTGATTCCGAAAGTAGCAAAAACATAATTTATTATGTAACCAATTATGTAACAGTTAAATAATTATTTAACATTCAACACTGCAAATGCCATAGACCACCCTTCACTTAATTTCCAGTCAAAACAACCATTAAATTCTTCATTATTTAGCATCAGGAAAACACATAGAAAACATTTATTTATCAAAACTAAAACTAAAACTAAAACAATTTCAACTTCTAAATATAATCAATAATTTGTGTGTCCATTATTCACTTTTATTACAGCTTCCATTCTTTTTGAAAGACTTTTCCAGGTCTATTTTTCCAGACCTCAAAAGAAGTTGATTTTCTGCTTAACATGGTAAGTAAGATGTTGAGGTCTGGACTCTGGGGTGGTCAGTCCATTGCTCTGAGAATACCAGCAGCTTCTTTGTTTGATCTGCAAATGTTCTCTTTTTTGTCTGTTTCCTTTTCTCAGTAAGGGCTTATTGACAGCTACACATCCTTTCAGACTCACAGCGCCGAGTTGTCTTCTCACAGTGGAAGGATGAACAGAAACACCTGTGGATTTTTCAGATCTAAAGTAAGAGTGGAGCTTGATTTTCTCCTCTCTCTCAAAGATGAAAGCTTTAAGTACTGTTTATCTGATGGGGACTGTTTTAGTGTTTTACCAGATCATGCACGGTAGTTAGGAATCCCACTTTCTCTGTATCTTTGAATTATTTTTTCCCTTATTCTTCTTCTTACATCTAATCTCCTCGGAAATATCTCTTGAAAAATGAAAACATTGTACTTAATAGCTCTATTGACTGGTAATTAAATAGACGATGGGTGGTCTCTGACTTTTGCACAGTACTGTAGCTCAAATGTTCAGCAAAACCACAACAATAACTCTACAGGTAAAAATCTTTCATATATCTTTAAACAAGGTGGATCTATAGGTATAGGCAGATTACTATTATCTCATGCACTTTATATTGTGATCCCTGTATGGTGGTGTTGGTGTGTATGGTGTCCTGAAGTGGCTCGTGGACTGGAGGTGGTGAGCGCTGATGCAGGGGTCGTCTTGTATATTTGAGGAGGTGTAGGGTTGTGCTGTGTATGTATGAGGAGGTGCAGGGCTGATGAGGTACAGGGTTGCTTTAAGGCCACAGACGAGCACTGACCAGCAGTGTGTAAATCATCCCTTCACTGAGTGTCACTCTACACACCTCAACAGCAACACACACACACAATATCGTCCCCCTGCAGACACCCAGCTAAATGACACTCGAACCTCTCACACACCCTCACCTCTGACATATACAGTGGAAACTTTCTCTCTGTGATGTACACAAAGCCTTTCTCTCTGCTCTGAATTAATCCTCTCCTTTAAACACCACCAACACAATACTATCCCTCTACAGGCTCATCTTTAAACATGTCGTCATTCTTTCCCACGTATCCATCCCTCACAGGTAAAACTTTCACACACATGCGCACACACTCTCTCTCTTCTTTCTCACCTCTCACCCTGACACCCTGACTCTGTCTGTGGGGAAACTTTTTCAGTGCGTCACACTCAGCACTGCCTGCTGACATGATCACCTGCACAGCCAGGTGACAATGAAGGATAACACAGGCTCTCAGAAGAGGCGTTAGACTCTGTTTAACTCAAACGAGTCATGATACACATTGCAATTCCTTTATACTACCCATCAAAAGTTCAGGGACACCTTATCTTCTTGTAAACTGGAATTTTCTCACTGTTCATTTTTAGATTAAACGGGAATTCTGCCAATTTTCAGTTCATTTATTGAGATCTAAACAAAGTCATTCAGAGTGGTTTGATGTGAAATGGTCCACTGTAGAGAAACTTACTGACTCAGGTTTCTTTACAGTGGTGGTAACAGGAACCAGGGGTTGTGATGTCTGCAACACGAACTTAACCACTTTATTTACTATCCAGACTGACCAGTGAACCTGCATGTGTCTTCTGAGTTTTTATATGTAATGTTGATGATCATGAAATAGTGGTAAAATTGAAAAAAATATGTTTTCTTTGGGGATTATTTTGCCTTACAACACCTCGCGTGTATCCCTTCACCATTAATAAACTTCAAAAACATGTTTTGGGCCAAACCCTGATCCCAAAACTATCATAAAACAATGTGGACATGAGGCAGACGTCTGGTACCTAACGGGAGTCAGGTGGAACTTCATATCACCATCTATGTGAACAATTCTAACTGTACGTTTCTCTAGAACAGAGCATTTCACATCTGAAAACAATCTGAAGGGCTGTGTTTAAATTGTAACCACTTAATAATGCAAAATTTTTTAAATATCTGTGACATTTATCGTTAAGCAAGACAAAAGTAAGACCTTTTTTACAATAAAACTAATACTTCAACACTTCATGTTCATCCAGTGTAGATTTGGCAAATTTATTTTTTTCTAGTGAAAATTCCCCCATGTGTTGATGAGTGCTGACATCAAAACAAGAGGATAAAAGTACTACTGTGACAAATATTTGCCTATCATATTGTAGTCCTCTAAAAGAAACCTAGTTAGTCTTTAAAATATGTTAAAGAAAAAAATGCTTGTTTGTATTAAACCTTTTTGAAAAGCTATTTTCCCAAAAAGGAACATACTGCATGCATATGTGTTACTACAGTGTGTGTGGACTTCACTCACTCAAGTAATCAAAGCCCCGGTACATGATGCAGGACTCTGTGGCGTCGATGGCTTGTATCTGGTAGCGACCAAGCGGCCCTGTCGGGAGACCATTATAGTCGTGCTGCCAGCGGTCGAAACCACAGAAACGAACTTTGGCCCCACACCTCAGGAGCCATTCAGCAGCTGCACGGTCCGGACCAACTGCCTTAATCCGTTCATAATCAACTCTGTGACACAGACAACAGATTTATAAACTTAAAACGATGTTGAAATGCACAAGGTAAGAAAATATTTAAACATTTTAAATGCTGTTAATTGCACAGACAAACTGATGTAGGACTGCGTGACCTGCTTTTTGAAGAACCTATTTTGGCACTTATAAAGAGACTGCAAGCTCACAGGTATGTGATGCACAGTCTTACCTAGACATCTTTTGAAAAGAGAGTATGAAGCACTGATATAATACACAGAATACTTAAACTGGCATTCCAGCCTAAAGCTACATTATTTGGCATGATATGTTACATTCGGTAGCGCAGCACTGCATCCCTCAGCCTTGCCAGTTAGACAGAATTCACGATTTTGTATCTTTTTTGTGTTTTCGTCCATCAGTGCTCTCTCACTACAATTGTACTCAGCATGCATTGCGTAAATACTACCCCTCCCCTCAACTCCCTGGCTGGGGCAATGAAGAAATTCTAACTGGTAGCATAGCCACTGATGTAGAGGCTAATAAATACAGATAATCACATTTCTAGCCGTCTCGCACGCATCTACAAAAGACAGCTAATTAGTTAGTTAATAAATAAATAAATAAATAAATAAATAAATAGGCAGGCCCATCCTCAAGTGCACTAAAGCCTTGTAGTTCCTCCCACCTTCATGATACATAATCAGACATGGGTTTTTCTGGTCTTTAAAACAGAAAATCTCAGTTATGGTACAACTACAACTACAGACTGTAGTCCATCTCTTTCTCTGCATACTTTGTTAGCCCTCTTTTACATCTCCAATGGTCAGGACCCGCACAGCACCACTAAAGATATAAATTAGGTGGTGGATCATTCTCAGCACTGCAGTGACACTGACAGGGTGATGGTGTGTTAGTGTGTGTTAAACTGGTACGAGTAGATCAGACACAGCAGTGCTGCTGGAGTTTTTAAACACTGTGTCCACTCACTGTCCACTCTATTAGACACTCCTACCTTGTTGTGGATGTGAAGTCAGAGATGATAGTTAATCTATTACTGCACAGTTTTGTTGGTCTTCCTCTAGTCCTTCATCAGTGGTCACAGGACGCTGCTGGCTTGGTGTTTTTGGTTGACTATTAACATTATTATCCAGCAGTGACACTGAGGTGTTTAAAATCTCCAGCAGCACTGCTGTGACTGATCCACTCATACCAGCACAACACATGCTAACACGCTACCACCACATCAGTGTCACTGCAGTACTGAGAATGTTCCACAACCCAAATGATACCTGCTCAGTGGTGGTCCTGAGGGGGTCTGAACATTGAAGAACAGGGTAAAAGGGGTGAACAAAGTATGCAAAGAAACAGTTGGACTACTGTCAGTCTGTAACTGTAGAACTATAAAGTTCATCTATATGGTAAGTAGAGCTGATATAATGGACAATGAGAGTAGAAACTAGGATGTGTACTTAATGAAGTGGCCGATCGGTGTGTTTGTGTGTGGTTTCTACTACAAATGTGAGTCCTTGTTATGAGCTACAGTACTTGTTGAACACTGCGTTGAGCCAGCCCCAAAATCCTCTGCTGCCCCCTGCCGACGGAGAGAAAACAGACCGCGCTGTCCGACTGAGGAGTCTCATGGCTCAGCTCTGAAAAACAGCACACTGTAAAGTCAGTCTGGATGATAAGACACTCCTCATTCACTCTACTTCACTGTTTGTTCTGCATCACCTTAAAATACCACACTGGACAGTGTGCGGCTTTTATGCAGTTGTATTTTAAGTCTAAGCGTCACGTTATGATGAAATGATTATCAGTGCTGATTATCACAGAGAAAAGCTCAGCTTTTTGTCTTTAATAACTGAAAACAGCAGCGAGTTTATTTCTCTGCGCTTCACATGAGCCCACAACCTCAGAAAAAAACATCAGACCTAATCCTTCAGCTACCGACGACAGGTTGTCATCCTGCTGAACTCGTTACAGCGCGGAATCTATCGGTTAGTTTAGTGTAACTGGTGAGTATAAACCACATAAACAAATTCTGTGTTATTCTGAAGGTTCACCTTTCAGTCTTGTCTGCCAGTGTTATTTACATCCTCCCTCCGCCATGCGCCAGACTTTCAGCTTACGTCAGCTCCTCCTCGTCTCCTATTGGTCGATGAACGTTAAACCACAGAGAGTTTAGCCAACCAGAGCTCATACTAGCATCTACTTCCTAGTAGAAAAGAGAAAGCCACGACGCAGACCGGATACATCGCGCCCCCTTTCGGTCGCATTTTGAATGAGTGGGTTGTGCAGGCAATTTTTCCAGTAGTCAAGGAAATAACTGTATGTATTTGTCATTAATCAAAGTATTATGTCACAGCAACTTCATGTAGGAGGATAACATACATGGTGGCAAGATGAGGTTTAAGGTCGTTTTACCATGGCAGTGGTAAATGGTGTCCTACAACGCTGAACTGAAGTGTTTTATTTTTATATGAAAGAACATTTTGCTTGTTTTCCGAATTGTGAAAATGCATTCAAATTATCTGTATGACATTATTTTAAATATATAAAAATAGATTTGTTTTGATAATAAATCTTATCCCAATAATTTTTGTCAGTAGTATCACAGAAACATAAAATGTCCAAAAAACCCAGGAGATCTTTTTGTGTGCATATCTCAAATGAATAAGAATAACAAAGTCTCATTGGTTAGTCAAATCTCTTTTCATATTTCCAATAAATTTGGTTGAAATACTGAAAGTTTCATGTGTAGTAAAACGATTGTGTCAGTGATGTTACCCACAAAACATTATCTATTTAAATTATTTTAAAACTGAAAAAAATAACACAAATGCAGCATTTGTAATTTTCTACATGCAGTGTGACACTGAAACACACCAGTGGACTGTTTTAGAAAAAGTCAGATTTCAGTCATATTACGGTCAGTCGTGTTACAACTTTATTGACGCTGTTCAATTAACCATACCACGTTTTACACTTGAGTTCAACACTAATATTCACATTCACACCCTGTTTGCCTCCACAGTGACAGAATGGCGCTGGTAATACAGGCTTGGTTTCACAAGATTATAGCAATGAATGTAGAAATTGCTGAGATTACCAAAATCTTTCGCTAGCCTAATATCTTCATTTGCTCGTTTCAGTTCTTCATGAGGCAAAACTCTGATCCTGAACGCTCAGCAGTTTCAGGGATTTAATTTAGAGATCGCCTACAGCGAATCGCCAGCATTGACTGAACATGAGCGACGTCTCTGGTGTAGACTGAGCAGTCGAGCTTAATCTCAATTCAATTCCATGTAAAGATAAAAAAGTTTGAACATTCTAGTTATTACTTTTTAATGGGAAAGACCTTTAGTGACACCACAGACATGTATAAAGCATTCCTATAAGAATTTTACAGTAAAATAGAACAATAGTGATAGTTTATCACAGGACACAGCAAAAGTATAGATCATTATAAAATATTATAGATTTTTGTAGAAGTATTATTCAGCATCTTAGAAATATTTTAGCACGTATAGTATTACTGTAGGTTTTTTCATGACTCAAAAATGAGTCTATGTGAATTACTGTATATGTTTTGCCAGTGTGGAGGAGAGGTTCTAAAAAAGGGCAAATATAAAGTAATCAGCACGTCTCTGGCAGTAGTTCTTTATTCATTTTCTGTGAGTGAGGATACAGGCCCAACTATTTATATCACTGGGATTTGCATTTGTGTCTGACTTTTTCTCCCCATTCAGTCTTCTAGGCTTTTGACTTCATGGCCCCAACAGATGACGACAATGAACATAATATACAACTAGGCCTACTACTGTGGATTTATACAGACAAATTTTTTTCACTGATGTGTCAGTATTTGTACAGTATTTAAAAAGGTGTTTATTGGACACTACAATATCTAAAGTTCTTGCATACTTTCATTAATTTATGTTGCGCAAAACAAATAAATAAAAAGCAATACTGGCCAGTATTATACAACCCCATTTCCAAAAAAGTTGGGATGCTGTGCAAAATATAAATAAAACCAAATGCAATGATGTGCAAATCATTTAAACCATATAATTAATTGAAAACAGTACAAAGACAACATATCAAATGTAGAAACTGAAAAATTGTATTGTTTTTGGAAAAATATATGCCCATTTTGAAATTGATGCCAACAACACATTCCAAAAATGTTGAGACGGGGGCAACAAAAAGCTGGTAAAGTTGTGAAATGCTAAAAAACCTGGTGGTTAATTGGCTACAGGTCAGTAACATGATTGGGTATAAAAAAAAGCATCCCAGAGAGACTTTCAGAAGTAAAGATGAGGAGGGGTTCACCACTCTGTGAAAGACTGTGAGGGCAAATATTGCAACAGTTCAAGAATGACATTTCTCAACATAAAATTGCAAATAACTTTTGCTTTTCATCATTTATGGTACATAATAACATTAAAAGATTCAGAGAATCTTGAGAAATCTCTGTATGCAAGGGACAGGGCCAAAAAACATTATTTGCTGGCCATGATCTTTGGGCCCTCAGGCATCACTACATTAAAAACAGACATGATTCTGTAGTGGAAACACTTCTGAAAAACACTGTCTGTGAAAACAGTTTGGCACTGCATCCACAAATGCAAGTTAAAACTCTAAAACACAAAGAAGGAACCGTATAAAAACCTTCTCTGGGCCCAAGCTCATTTAAAATGGACTGAGATGAAGTGGAAAAGTGTCCTCTGGTCCAACAAATCAATATTTTAAATTTTTTTTGGAAATCATGGACACTGTGTCCTCTGGGCTGAAGACCAATCAGCTTGTTATCAGTGCACAGTTCAAAAGCACATGGCATGGGTGACGTGCATATCTGTGAAGGCATCATTAATGCTGAACAATATATATATATATATATATTTTGGCAATATATACTGCCATCCAGACGAAATCTTTTTCAGGGAAGGCCTTGTTTAGTTCAGCAAGACAATGCCAAACCACATTCTGCATGTATTCCTGCCTGCAGTCTAGAACTGTCACCATTGAAAACATTTGGAGGGTCATGAAATGAAAAATATGGCAAATGAGCCCCTGAACTGTTGAGCAGCTGAAATCCTATATCAAATAAGAATAGGAAAACATTTCACTTTCAAAACTACAGCAACTGGTCTCCTCAGTTCCCAAACACTTACAGAGTGTTGTTAAAAGAAGAGTTGATGAAACACAGTGGTGAACATGCCCCCATCCCAACTTTTTGGAATGTGTTGTTGGCATCAAATTCAAAATGTGCATATATTTTTCCAAAAACACTTTTATGATATGTTGTCTTTATAGTATTTTCCTATAAAAATGTGGTTTATATGATTTGCATATCATTGCATTCTATTTTTATTTACATTCTGGGGTTGTGTATAATACTCTATTATTCTATAACTAAATTTAAACTGGCTATTTATAACATAAGTATAACTAAGTAGCACTGTCACCTCACAGCAAGAAGGGCCTGGGTTCAATTCCCCAGCCGGGCAGCCAGGGTCCTTTCTGTATGGAGTTATGTTCTCCCTGTGTCTACATGGGTTTCCTCCGGGTGCTCCGGTTTCCTCCCGTAGTCCAAAGACATGCAGTCAGGCCAATTAGAGATGCTAAGTTGGCCCTAGGTGTGAGTATGCATGTGACTGTGTATGTCTGTGTGTGTACCTGTGATGGATTGGTGGCCTGTCTAGGGTGTTTCCTGCCTTCTGCTCATTGAGCACTGGGTTAGGCTTCAGCACCCCCTCGACCCAAAGGGATAAGTGGCTTAGATAATGTGTGTGTGTGTTTACTAGGTTTAACTTTACTTAATAACAGCAACTTTCATCTCTACAGGCAAAAGTGTAAATATTTGTAGCTGCTAAGCTCAAAAAATACTTTGTATGGAGAATAAGGTGCATTACTACAGTGGAAACATCTCATCCACATCATAAATGGAAAATTAGAGAGTAGTTCATACAGAAGTGCTCTCTAATTCTCCATTTATTATGTGGTACACATCCAAGGGTTTGTAGATACCTGCTCACCCATTTCATCTGTAATCAGGGGTATTAATAAGGAGTTTGTCGCCCCCTTTGCTGCAGTAACAGCCTCTACTTTTCTGGGAGGCTTTACACTAGATGTTAGAATGTTGCTGTGAGGCTTTGATTGCATTCATCCACAAGATCATTAGTGAGGTCAGGAACACAGTTCCACTGCTCCACAGCCCAGTGCTGCGGGGGTTTATACCCCTCTAGCTGATCCTTGGTGTTGAGATTGGTGAATTTAGGCTCATGTGCAGCTGATGCAGAGCGTCCTATTCTATCAGCAATGTTGTCCTATGGAGATACTACAAGATACGTTTGTACAATTGAGCATCTGTGTGAGAAATGGGTGCACATTCAAGTAGCCGAAGTCACTGATTATGAGGGGTGTGGAAACGTATTGTAGTAGTGATTAAAGTATACCTGCGAAAGGTGACGTGGCAATTACTTAACAGTGAACACGGCTTTGTCTGCCCCTCTCTGAGATCCACGCCCCGTTTAAAAAGGAGAGAATTACGTCATCGAGTTCGGCCCCAGCGTGTCGGTGTTTGTCTCTGACATTTTCACCAAAGAGGTTTGTTTGTGCTTCTTATAACAGAAGAAAGTCGACGTCTTGCATTTAAAGGGGGTTTAACTGTTGAAATATAAATATAGGTTTGAAGCTGAGTGTATTTCTCACTCCCACAATATCAGGTTCCATCGGTCACAGTGTAATTGTTATTCACCAGCGATGTGCTGCTCTCCAGACTAGCTCGCCTCTCTCTGCTCATTCCAGCTGTGCTGGTGGAGCTCCGCGCGCTGAGTGAGGCTAGGCGGCGTCACTTCACTTCAGTTCGGTCAGCTGCCTCTTCGGTCGGATTGACAGACAAGCAAACAGAAAGCAGCGTTTTAAACTGCGGAGCTGCGCTCTTCCAACTGGTAGCCGTCGCTCATATGGCTTCATGAAAGCTCTTCAGTTCAGTGGAAATAGCTAAAGGAGGCAGAGGATTCACCGCACACTCATTCCGACGGAGGATATCGATAGAGAGGTATGATGTCATGCTAGCTAGGTTACCTCGCTAGTTTCGCTAATGTTAGCTGGCGAACCTTGTCGTTATGTTAGCTAACTAGCATCTGTTTTGTGTGTTCTTTACCCGATATACACTTCTCCAAGCTGAATCGTCGTCTCAGAAGAAGGCTTTCCCAGACATATCATGTGGTCAAACCGGTCAAGCAGATAGTAAGTTAGCTAGGTTAGCTAGGTTAACTGTCTTAGCTGTTAGCCGACGTAGCTAACATTATGCGGTAGCCGTTCTGTCAAAGCTAGCTGATGTTAGCCAGCTGCCCTGTCCTTTCATATAAATATTGTAATTTAGAGACAAATGTCAATAAAAGCCTGGATAATTGAATGTTGGAGTGCGCTGGAGTAGAGCACATTCACCCATATCTTCATATTACACAGTGGACAGGGACAAACATGTTCATTTTATATAGAAACTGTATGCATGTGGACATGCTTGGTCCTATAAAACACAGCAACTTACATGTGGGTAGTGCAAAATAGATATTTGAGTCTCCACACGATGTTCAGGTCACTGACAAAAAGAATAAACACATTTTGAGAGAATAAGGGGTACAATTTATATCGCAGCAGTACTTTAAGCACAATACACAGTATGGAAGTGGCTTGTTTTGCCAAGAATGGCAGCCAGTGTAGTTCTAGAGTTGGGGAAACACTAGGTTAATATAGTTTATGGCAAGCTAATGATGTAGAATCCATCATACTTAGTTTCAAGGGCTAAAGATTTCAAGGGCTTAGTATAATCTTCTCTTTAGGCTTTTTAGGAGCTTAAAGTCACCATCATGTTATGTAGATTTACAGTTGTACTAAACTGTAGCATACAGTCACAGGCTTGGTTTGTATTGATAGCCAAGTGATGCAGATATATTACTGAGTGAGTCTCCTCCAACACTAGCAATAGTGGACAGAAAATAAAATTGATGTAACATGCATAACATTACAGGGTCACATGGAAAACACATGAAGAAATGAGAGACAAATATAAAAGCTGATGCATCGACACAGGCATGGCTGCTGCACCATCCTGCCTTGTATACAGACTAAACCATTCGTATCTGCAATGGACCAGTCTTCTGGATGATAATCCTGAAAACAATGGCAGTCTCATGCCATGGCACACTGTTTTCAAATGTAACTGAAGACAGGATGAAAGATTTGTTACGGAATCATAGCATCCCCTAAAACAGTGTTATTGTAGGACAGGGGTGCCCAGTCCTGGACCTGGAGATCTACCACCTGCAGAGTTTAGCTCCAACCTTGATTTAACACAACTGATCCAGGCAATGAAAGTCTTCAGTGGCATCTTAACATTAGAGCCAGGTGTGATGGATCTACACTTTCCAGGGTGCTATACCTTCAAGGTCAGGATTGGGCACCACTTGTGTAGGATGTGTCACTAAATTACTTGGCTAAATAAGCTTTTAAGATATGCTTACGCGGTATTGTTTAGATGGTCATTAAGGATGGCTGCACAGGCCCATGTTTTCTCAGTGAGACTCTATTGTTTGACTTGTTCTCTCATGATAAACTCCAGTGTTATAGTTTAGCTTATTTGAAAGCAGTTTAACACTGAGGGTATGCTTAGTGATGGAAGTAGTAACAGTGAAAGGTGCATTAGCATATATTAGAATGGTCATGCTTGCATTACATTTATATACAATTAAGCATAAAGTGTCGTTCTGTCATGAGCAAAGTGCTCATCCTGTCGCAGAAGGGGGAAGTAAAGTGGTTGTATGTGTCCCAACATCAGAAGCTGCTTATTCATTGCTGCAGCCTTGTGTCATTCTTTACTGATCCTTGTCAACTACAAAAGTGACTCTGTTTAGTGCTGCTGTGTGGCAGCGTGACAACACACAGCAGAGTCTTTGCTCAGCCCATCCATCTTGTGTGGCAGCGCAAGAAAAGCTTGTGCTGTGTGTAGGGTGTTTGTGTGGAGCTGCTGGCAGAGTGAGTGGGCTTCTGTGTATGTGGAGAGAATCTAGGGGTGTTACGATACACATATTAATATTCTTCTTTTTTTGATACAGGGCTTGTGGTATGGTACTGTGGATTGAACGCATTAAGATTTTATGCTATAAAAATACTTGTGATATCAGTCCTACTGGCCTTATTTATGCTGCCTTCAAGTCCTGTTGGAAACGTCGTAATTACAATATGACACATATGCTGTTCTTATAACCTTATAAACTATGCTGCAAACCAGCCCATTTTGAATTTAGTGTTTCTGTGATGTTATGAGAACGAACTCATTTACATTTATAAGACTGATAGTTTTTGGTCGTAAAATCTGATTGGCTGAGCCACTTTCGAAGCTGTTGTAAAATCCATGATGACCACCTCACAACAACTGAACTCTCTATTACTACGCCACAGGGACGAAAAAACCCTTGTGCTGTTAATGGAATAATCCTTGACTCTCATTCTGCTTGCATGGACCTCCAAGTATGTTGATGAAATAAGAACTCGTTTATTTTTTTAACTGAGGGACTTGCAACTTATGTTCTTAACTGGAACTGGGATGGTCAGGTAGCTAACAGCCTAAACAACGCTGTCATTAATATCACAGCCTTGAATTAAAGCACTTATGGTATGATTAAAAGTCTAAAAAATGTCACTTGAATGGATTATACTCTTCAAATGTCCTTGTTTCAGTCAGAAATAGCGTCAAACCCAGGCTGAATCCCAAATAGCTCCATATTCCCTAAATAGTGTGCTGTGAAAGTTTAGAAATTCTAGCCTCTACAGTCAAATAGTGCATCATTTATCGAGTATGGATGTGACTGAGTCCCAAGTGACTATTACTTAGCTATGTTTTGCACGGTTGGGGTGCGGTATCCAGTATTTAAATTCCAACGTAGAGCACTATGTAGGGAGCAGGGAGCCATTAGAGATTCAGCCCCAGCACAAGAAGATGGCACTGCTGGGTTAATGCTAAATAAGACTCGCGGTGGTAATTTGGTGACCAAAAGGTACTTATAAAGGTAAGTGTTTTGCACTAAACAGTGCTGTGTTAGCAAATGTTCATTGTTATACTACAAAAAGTAAAAAAAAAAAAAATCATGAAATGACCACAGTATATAGTGATGGGCGATTGAACGTTCTGCTCATGCAGTGGTCCGTGGTTGCTTGGCGTGGTTGCTTTTATCATAGGGGAGGGGGTTTTAGGCACTTCGCGTCACGGTAACCCATGGCCTCATGTGGTTAATTGCTTTAATATCCACTTCCAGCCTATAGCAGTTTTGCCCTGCACAATGAGGCACAATGCAGAGCAGCCAATCAAAACAGAGCCCATTTATTTTATATTGATCTTAAAGGCACAGTAACATAATGCAGCCTGTTTAATTCTAAGGGATAAAGAGAGGTTGGAAAATTGTCATGTAAAATGAATGGTGACCATTTTTGGTACATAAAACTGCACCAATGTTATAAGTGGACCTCAAGGGAAAAATATACAAGAGACATGTAGAATATGAGCCCTATGAAATGCAACTTGCATTTGCGATGCTTTCACCATGTGCTGTGGTCTTGGCAATTGGAAAAAAAGAATTTTTATATCTTTTTTAGTTTTATGTCTAACATGCATCATTTTGTGGTGCAAAACCCCAACATATATAACATCGTGAAATTTGAGTATCATTACACCCCAAGTAGGATCTTTGCATGTACTCTGCCTGTGTTAAGAGCTGTTTGAAGGAGAGTAGGCCTGTGTCCCGGTCACTTCCCCCTTTGGCTCAATTGTCCATCCGGCCAGACCGCACCCTGCCTACGTACTCAGCTGTCTCCCTGCCCTCCCCTCTGCCCGTCTGCCTGCCTGCTTGCCTACCTCCTCTCTTTGTGTCTGCTTCTGTGAGCTATCCCCCACCCCCAACAACCAAACGTAGAGAGGTATATGTGTCTCTGATTAGTTTGTACTGTTTTTTATGTACAGGACACTGAGAGATAATTATGGCAGTGATGCACATGTTGATAGAAAGCATTTGGGGGAAATGGTGTAAAAGGCTGGCACAAGTCCAGGCACGAGTTCCTGATGACAGTGCAAACAGAGCAGTGGAACAGCGGATAATCCTCAGCTTCCTCTCTATATCTCAGAAATTAGTTTCTGTTTGTTTAAATCTGATGTTTACCGAGTTGAGACTTTGAGACATGCTTGTTTTTCCTTTAGGAACAACAGTGGTAGCCTACAGTTTTGTGGTACAGTTTCACATAGTTAGATTATTTTTCTTTGGGAAGAACTACGCTGGGTTGAAGGGTATGATGTCATGCACAGTGGAGTAGGTTTATAGCTAAAAATTGTACACTGAATTTGTTTTGTTTGCCCCCCCCCTTTCTGTCCCATACATTTTTTTATTTTTTAAACCTGTTCTTAAACTCTTCTTTTCTTTATGATGCTTCAGGAGGGACCTTTGGTATGAGAAATACATAAAAGAATAATAATGATAATACTTATAATCGTAATGATAATGTTTCAAAATATACTTGTTGTGTAGATGTTTTATTATTATTATTATTATTTTTTTTTTTAAATTAAGGTTCGTCTGAAAAAGTTTAGCATATTTATTTGTATTCAAAAGTTTTAACACCTCCAGTATTACATGTTTTGCCGATTTTTCTGAGTGAAAAGTTAACGCATCCTCTGCAGACAACTTAAATAGGGCATTTTCTGCAAATTTTAGCGCACATTTTTAAACTGTTAATTTTTTTGCATTTAACATATTGGGGGAAAAAAATAAAATAAAATGTGCATTAACCTTTTCAATGGTCATATTTTATGTTTCATTTTTCCTCCAATATAATAAATTCAACAAATAAACACTACTGTGCATTAAAATGTGCAGAAGTCTGTCTTCTGTAGAGGATGTGTTAACTTATTTTCACTTAGAAAATCAGCAAAACATGTCATTTAGCCAGAGCACCCAAACCTTTGCCTGTGACTATATTATATATTTTGTAAAAAAAAACCCACACACA